CAGTCTTCGTGTATTTTAAAAATTGATGAAATAGAAAATGTTTTATGTATTTACAAGCAGCTGTTACTTCTTACTCTGTGACTTGCTTGTTTATGCTCTACCCCATTTTTTTAAAAAAGGATTTTATTTATATATATTTTAGAGAGAGCGGGAGTAAGCAAGCAAGCACAGCCGGGGGGAAGGACAGGGAATGGGAGAGGCAGGGAGAGAATCACAAGCAGGCTCTGTGCTGAGCGTGGAGCCCAATGTGGGGCTTCATCTTAAGGCTCATGAGATCATGACCTGAGCTGAAGTCATGAGTTGGATGCTTAACTGACGGAGCCACCTAGGTGCCCCTTTACCCTCCTCTTCTAGTGGCACCTCCGTATGAGCTGTGTTCAATACATGAATATTAAAGCCTTTAGCGCACATATTTGCACAAGCATGTTTTCCAATGTTACTTACAGATGGTCTCTGCCCAACTAACCAACTTCCCCTCCTAAGTTCCTTCCTCTCATCCAGCCAGCTGTGTGCCAGGCACTGCTCTAAGGGCCACTGAAGTGAAGAGTGAGCAACACATTCCTCTGCCTCACAGAGCTCACACACTGCAGTGGGTGAGTGAGACAGGAAAATGATATTAAAAAAAGAAATAGGACTTCAAGTGATAGAATAAACAGAGCTGGATTTGCCTTTTTGTCATAAGCCAAAAGGACAAAGAACAAGAAACCACATTTTGCATACGTTGGACAACAGGCAAGACAGGACGGCGACTCCTGAGAGCAGGAAAACAAGGGAGGTGACCTCTCTCCTCCCTGGCCTTCTGCCTGGAGTCCTCTGCAGACCACAGGGGCGCCCAAGCACAGCCTGGTGGCCTTCTGAGCAGAGGCAGGGAATGCAGTTTGGGGAGGCAGAGGTAGCTGGAATTCCTGGAGAGGAGTGAGCTCCGCAGGGAAAAAGTTCCAGAAGAGCACCTGGTGTCCCCTGGAATCTTGGACTGAAAATGGGAGTGTGGATCGGCCCCAGAGCAGCCGCCAGAAGCCATGAGCTGGGCAAGGCCCGAGCTCATGCAGGGAAAGGATGTGTTTGTGCTTCCACCAACCACAGGCAGAGACCTCACTAAATGCCTGGGCATTTGCTAGATACCCAAGGGTCACAGGCTAGAAACAGAGCAGAGAAACCTTAGAGGACAGGCTTCTTAGACTCACACTAATAAAGCTGAAAACAAGTCTTGAAAGGACCGTGGGGTGACTCAACTATCTGCTAGATAAAAAGTCCAATATGCTTTAAAGGAAAACAACAAAAATCCAGAGAGTCAATAACTGAACATCTCTCTTTTTTCAAAAAGAATTTTATTTTTGTATAATCTCTACGTTTAACGTGGGGCTTGAACTTGCAACCCCAAGAGTGGCATGCTCTACTGACTGAGCCAGCCAGGTGCCCCAGTAACTTACCATCCTAATGGCCAGCACCCAATACAAAAATTATTAGCCATTTGAAAAAGGAAGGCTTTAAGGGAAACACACATAAGAGGAGAAACAGTAGCTACAAAAAGACAACCAAATTTTCTTCAGAGTTGAAAAATATAACATCTGAGATAAAAAGCTGAGTACATGAGGTTACAGCACATGAATGTCATGGAAGAGAAGATCATGACGTCGCAGACACAGGAGCAGAAGTCATACAAATGAGAGCACACAACATAAAAGCCAGAGGCCCAGCTGCCAAGTGCTCAACAACATACATGTCACTGGGGGTTTTAGGAAGAAGCTGGGGGAAGGAGGCAGAAAAACTGTTTGAGGAAATTATTTTCAAAAGTTTTCTGCATTTGACTTTGAAAACTATACACCCATAGATCCAAAAAGCTCAATAACACATGACAGGCAAGTGGCAAGAAAGAAAAGTGATAAAAAGAACATAAAATAGCAGCTAGAGGGAGGAAGACGTATCGCACATGAGGGAACAAGGACAAGAACAATGAACCACTTCCCATCAGAAACAGTGAGAACCGGGGCCCAATAGGGTAAGTTCTCAGTGTTGTAAGACAGCCTCCCACCGAGCTGTCCCACCAGGACCGTGCACCTGTAACTCTACCCTCCAAGAATTAAAGCAAAGCAGAGACTTTTCCAGATCAATCAAAGCGGAAATAATTGGTATACAGCATGCTGCCCAATAAAAAATGTTAAAATTCTTTAGGTGGAAGGTAAACGCCACAGTGAGAACTATACAAAAGACTAAAAAATGCCATAAATGGTAAAACGAGTCAGTTTCCTTGTTATTAAATTTCCTTTGGGGCAGCTGGGTGGCTCAGTCTGTTAAGCATATGACTCTTGATTTTGGCTCACGTCATGATCTCAGGGTCATGAGATCGAGCCCCATGTTGGGCTCTGCACTCAGTGTAGAGCCTGCCTGGGATTTTCTCTCTCCCTCTGCCCTTCCCCACCCACCTGGGTGCTCTCTCTCTTAAAAAAAAAAAAAAAAAATTAAATTTCCTTAAAAGATAACTGATACAGTGACCTATCATGGGATTTATAGCCTATTAAAAGTAAAACATAAGACAATGTTAGCTGTTGGAAAGGAAAGGAAGCGTGTTCCTTCTTCCGTTATTTGTGATGTGGTGTAATATTACTTGAAAGCAGACTGTGATAAATTAAAAATACACTTTGTGATTCCTAAAACAGTCACTAAAAACAAAACACATAGATAAAAGCAAATATGCCAAGACTGGAAATAAAATGGACTATCCCCAAAATAACACCATTTTTCCCAATCCAAAAGAAGGTAGGAAAAGAGAGAAAAAGGAACAAATAAAACACAAACAGCAAGATGGCCACTTAAACCCACATGGCACAGGATGCAAGTAAATGCAATTATATTAAATATAAGTAGGATAAACACCTTGCTTGAAAAGCAGAGATGGGGGATGCCTGGGTGGCTCAGTCGGTTAAGCGGCTGCCTTCGGGTCAGGTCATGATCCCAGGATCCTGGGATCGAGTCCCACATCGGGCTCCTTGCTCAGCAGGGAGCCTGCTTCTCCCTCTGCCTCAGCCTGCCACTCTGCCTTGCTTTCTCTGACAAATAAATAAATAAAACCTTAAAAAAAAAAAGGCTAAAAAAAAAAAAAGAAACAAAGGCAGAGATGGGTCAGACTGGGTAAAAAAACAAAACCCTTGTGTGGTCTATAAGAGATACATTTTACTTATTATGAAGACACAGGTTGAGTAAATGGATAAAGAAAGATACCCATGGAAACAGTAATCAGGAGAAAGACAAAATGGCCAGATTAACACAGAGTAGACCTCAGGACAAGAACAGAGGGTGGTGAGGAAAAGGGACATTCCATATGATGAAAAGACAATGTTTCAAAAAGACACTATAATCCTACATGTCTGTGCAACTAATAAAAACCTTCAAAATACAAGAAGCAAAAGCTGACGGTGCTCACAGGAGAAAGCAAATCCACAGTCATGACTGGGATATTTCAACATCCTTCTGTTGGTAATTGGCAGAACAAATAGAACTTCAAGAAACACAGAATTTGGGTGATTAAAAATTTATGAGGACTGGCTTCCCACATCTCTTTCAGAGACTGGTTACCAACTAGGCACCCCCACATGTGGTATGAGCATGGCAGGGCTAGGGAGCTCCCGGTCTGCAGGCTCCCCTCTGGAATGCACAATCCTGCCTGCTTCACAGGGTTCCTGGGATCAGGAGACCAGAGGAGAGAGCATTCAGACCCGGTCAAGTGCTGTAAGCTCGGCCTCACTTAACTGTCTCCATCTGGGGTCTAAGCAGCAGATGTCCTGGGTGTCACAGGGGTGGGGACTATCCAGCTTTGAGCAACTGCCAGCCTGCCTGCCTCCCTGATGGTGGGGTGCCTCGCCAGCCCCTACCTGTGGTCTCAGTGCCCCAGGTCCCACGCGCTTGTCCCTTGGCAGGTCACGTAGAGGGGACCACATGTTTTAGAAACTCGGCTTCAGGATCATCTGGAGTCCCTGTCACCCAGGCCCTCTGCCATAGGGCTCCTCATTTGACCTTGGGTTTCTCTGTATGGTTCCCTGGCCTCTCCAGAGCCAAATCCCTTTGCTCTGATCCAAGCAGCCTATCCCCAGCTATGCCTTCCTGTAGGGGTAGGCTGCACACTAGACCCACTGGGGTCATGGTGGCTGGCTGGTGTCCCCAGCCTGTGACCCTTTTCTTTCCTACCTCTAATTCTGGGTCTGGTGTCCCCAGATTTGCTCTGGCATCACAACCTGACACTAATTAAGACCCAGTGTTATTAACAAGGGGCTGGGGACATTCTCACAGCAGGGTACCTATGTTCAAGGCACACCCAGATGATCTTTTAAGATGAGGAAAGAAAACCACACAGGCTGTGAGCAGGGTCAGCAGTGTGGCTGGATGAGGAAGGATCGTGCCTGAGACTCAGAACGAATCCTGGTTGGACTGAGTACATCCAGGACAACACTCGGCTCATAGCATCACAGGGTCAGAAGTGAGCACGGACCCCAGCAGGGCCACTAGCCTGGGGATAGGCAGTACAGACGCCCATGGGCTCTCATGCAGAGGGCCTCGTCTCAGGGATCATTTGGCAATGCATGCAGAGGAGTCCAGAAGTTAAGACTTCCTACATCCTGTTTCTCTCCCTACTGCTTCTTACTTGCTCTGCGACTTGACTCCCCAAACAACATATGAGAGAAGACTCAGCAAAGTCCAGGAAGATGGGCTGCACAAGCCCACCGCCTTCTCCTTCTGGGGGGCATGTCCGCATTGAATGCACGAGCTCTTGGGCCGGGTTTAGCAATTCCAGGGTCTCTCCATCTGGAGTAATGTGGGGCTGGAGACTCTGCTCCTGGGTGACGCCGACCCACAGACAAAGCCCACACCAAACTTGGGAGACAGTGCCAACCCACCTCACCCTCTTGGGGGCTCTGGGGCTGACGCTCCTGCCCTCACTCACAGCACACTGCTCCGAGGTACCATTTCAGCAGAAGCAACATCAACCCCAGCATGTAACCACTTACCCAGAACTCCTGCAGCTCTGTTAGATGGCTGACGTTTTCAATTTTTTTGATTCTATTTGATGCAATGTCCAACATCGTGAGTTTGTTCTAAAATAAGGAGATAAGATTTTTCCTGGATTATCTCAGTTCAACAATGGTTGTGTGACCGCGCACATGGCGTCGGGGGCCCAGCTTAGAGCTGCAGGGTGAGCCACCTTCTCCACCCTCGCGGCACAGGAGTGTCCTAACAGGATGGAGATGCAGGCCACCCATTTTGCTCCCACACGGAACCCTCACAGCCACTGTGCAGAGCGCTCATCAATCACTCCTGGTACCTGATGCTCCCAGCCCCAGACTCCCAGACCCCTGCATGCCAGGGTCCCCATCCTGGTGAGATGCATGGTCCTGGAAGAGCACAGTAACACCTTCCTGGAAGCAGGGCAGGCCTGGGGCTCGGGGGGGGGGGGGCGGTGAGGGGGCTCTGTTGCATGGGGGCATCTGGGTGGGCTCTGAAGAAGCAGTGACACTTGTAGCCACATCTACTCAGTCTATCTTGAGGACATGTACAATACCACAAAAATAATAATCAGGGGCACCTGGGTGGCTCAGTGGGTTAAAGCCTCTGCCTTCGGCTCAGGTCATGATCCCAGGGTCCTGGGATCGAGCCCCACGTCGGTCTCTCTGCTCAGCAGGGAGCCTGCTTCCCTTCCTCTCTCTGCCTGCCCCTCTGCCTACTTGTGATCTCTGTCAAATAAATAAATAAAATCTTTATAAAAAAAGTAATCCTCAGGGGCGCCTAGGCGCCTAGGGGTCTAGGAGTCTGGGGCTCAGTGGGTTAAGTCTCTGCCTTCGGCTCAGGTCATGATCTCAGGGTCCTGGGATTGAGTCCCGCATCGGGCTCTCTGCTCAGCGGGGAGCCTGCTTCCCCCTCTCTCTCTGCCTGCCTCTCTGCCTACTTGTGAGCTCTGTCAGATAAATTAAAAAAAAAAAAAAAAAAAAAAAGTAATCCTCAGAATAGTATTTTTGTCTTCACTTAGAGATGAGGAGCCTGGGGCTCATTGGGGGAGGAAACTGCCCAGGTAAGAGCCAAGGTGGGAGAGAGGGCACTAGTGGCCCCAGCCTGTTCTCCCAGAGGACGCCCTTCTTCTGGGAAGAGGCCACCAGGAGGAAGGGGCGAGGAGGAAGGCCCGGGTGTGGAGAGAGAGCGGGTAGGGCGCCGGCCTGGGATTTACAGCTCATAGGAGAGAGCGGAAGGAGTGCTCGGCCCTGCTGGAGCAGTGTCTGGAGTGACTGAGCACCCTCTCTCTGCAGGCCAGACACTGTGTCTCCTGTTTCCAGCCTGCGCCCCACGATCCCCTCTCCAAGGAGCGCTCGGCAGATGCTGTCTTTCACATCACCTAAGCCTCAGGAGTATTTTTTTTAAAGCTCAGCTTTAAGATTTAACAGAGTTGAATAACACTATAGTAAAAACGAAGGCTGTTAAAGCTTGCATTGCTTGCTAAACCAGGTTTAATCAAACTAACCAGCAATTTTTTCTTAAAATCAAAAGGGAAACATTTAGAAGTTGGTTGACAACCTTCTTGTGTACCCACTTCTGACTGTGAATCCCTTCTTACATTTTCTGCTGTGTTCCTGGGATTCTGATTCCAAACCTTCCCAAGTTTTAAGGGAAAGTTACCAACTGTCTCAATAAAATAAAAACAAATCCGTGAACACACTCGTTAGCCCGTAGCCAGCAGTCATGCCGACTCAGAGGGGCTCTGGCTCCGGTGTCTGACTCCTTGAGGGCCCTCCCTCTGCCCCACCATGTCACCTAGCAAGAGTGCTGGCCAGTCACCCTCCAGGCAGCCACAGGGTCCATGCCGTGTCACATGCCAGCTGAGCATGGGCACGTAGATGAGGAGTTCCTCTGTGTAGCTTGTGTTGGGCTCATCATGTGCGCTCAGGCTGTGGTGTGAGTGCAGCGTGGCAGGAGGCTCCTGCCTGGGGGATGGGGTCTATAGCAAACAGGGACTTAGCGGGTCTTGGCAGAAGAGGGGGGGTGGCAGGCAGTGGCAGGCTGGGGTTGCCCCCGCAGTGACCTCCAGCCCTCTGAGCCCGTCCTGCGGTGCCTGGTGTCACCGGGTACACGTGCAGAGACGCAGGCAGGCTTCGGTCGCAGTGCGGACTCTGCGTGAAGGCTCGGTCCCAGGGACGCTGTGGCTGGCAGGACTGGGCCTGGGACCCTGAGCAGAGGGACTTGGTTATGCGCTTGACACTGTCCTGTGTTTTTCTGGGGAGCTGGACAGTGTTTTGAAAGCTCATCTGAAAGCAAACCAGTAGAGAATTGCTTCCCACCCCCCAAAAAAAGGGAGGGGGGTAGGAACTGGGCGGGGGGTGGCGAGCAAGTTCAGCAGACAGGGTGTCCATTGTGCAGTGACATACCACGGACAGCCATGTGCGCAGGGAGGGGGCTGCATGGGGTGGGGTGCCCTGAATGCTGAGGTGGCATCATAGGTGGTACTGGGACGGGGATTTGCCATTTGGGAAAAACATACATTACTTCCTTACTTCCCAGAACAAAAATAAATTCCAGATCAATTAAGAGAAAAAACTTAAATGAACATTTGACTTCCAATTGAATGAAGCCCTGGGGAGGCTGTCACATTGGACCAATGATAAATATTCTAATAACTAATTACCTTTAAAGTCACAACTACTTTTTTCTTTCTTTTTTTTTTTTTTTTCTGTTTTGTTCAGAGGCCTAACGATGATCTGGTGTTGAATCCAGATCACAGTGTAGCATGTCTACCGGTAAAATTCTCCACTTTCGCTTCTTTCCCATTTGCTGGGGACCTGTGCTCCGTTGTCCATGCCGCAGACAAAACCCTGTCCCCAGCCTCTGTAGAGTCCAGCCTCTCCCACGGGCCTCCACCCTCCATCCTGCACGGCCCCAGTGTGCGTCCGGTGGATTCGCTGGGCTATAAGCTCTCAGTCTGACTGCAAAGTGAAGGAAGGTGACTACGCTTATCACGGGCCAACTGTAACTCCTCGAAAATTCTAGGTAGTGCTAAAATGAAATTCAGAATGTGGTTTTCCCTCTAAAACATGGCTAACGGTGACTAGACCCAGGGGCTGAGGCACAGAAGCCAAAGAAGCCTTTACTAAGACTGAAATTCTAGGTTTAGAATAACAAAAGTAACCATACGGTTACCTTTGCTGGCAATAAACAAAACAGAAAAAAAAAAACCCAGTAAAATTGAATGAGAAAAAGTATTTTATTTGTCTCGACTACCGCAGGGAGGAAAAGCAGGCTTGCCTACAGGCAGCTGAGAAAGGCAGTGGCCAGCGCCACCCACCCTCCCCGCTCAGCGCATCTAAGGCTGTCCTGTGTGAGGCAAGAGCAGGGCTATCCCTGGGAGGTGGACAGGCCCTCCTCATCCCTGCGAGGGTGGGTGAAAAGCAGGGAGGAGGAGGGACGTGCAGGAAGTCAGTTCAAAGCTGAGGTCTCTTGGCCCCTGTGGTCTGGAAAGCCATGGGTCAGGAAGTGCAGTGGCCAGGATGGGGAGGGAGGGACAGCTGCCGACACCTGCCAGCCCTCCACAGGCTGGGGCCCCTGGGAAGAGGCCGAGGTACTGCTGGGGACCGCAGTGTGCAGCACTGGCTCCCCACTCTCCCAGCGGAGAGCGGAGACTACATGAACTTCATGCGTGTCCCAGCGTGAGTGGGGATGGTCTTAACCATAGACCCCTAGAGGTAACGAGTCTTCTTCAGAACAGGACTCACCCGCACCGCCCCGGACACACGAGCACATGTCTTACATTGTTCTCCAGGCCCTCGATGACCTCGATGCCGTTGTGGCTCAGGTACAGCTCTCGAAGGTTCACCAGGCTCTGCAGACCCTCCATCTTGGTCAGCCGGTTGCTCTGCAAGACAGAGGGCCAACAGCCTCAGAACAGCAGAGGGGAGGGAACAAATTGGCTCTTAGCGCGGGAGACTGCTCCTCTTGGAGAGGCCTAATGCTAGGGCACTGAATTCCGAGTGTGCCAGAAGGAAGTGAACGTAGTGAGTGCACTCCAAATTTCAAGTCTGTCGCACTGGCTAAAATGCTGTGTGAGAGTTGGAGGCCTTTAGGTGAAGTACTCACTTCTTTAGATATGCCTGGAAAGGTCTACTCCCATAATTCAGTCATTCAAAAATGTCAAATTCACTAAATATTTTAAAATAAATTACTTTGCACTTCTTTTAATATACATTGTAATGCAAAGTATATGGTCCTTTTTAAGAAAAGAATCTGCAGAACGTCTACTTTGCAAAAGGTACAACTGGTTTTGGGGAGACCCGCCACGCCCAGCACACGCTATGGCACCTCACCTCGAGGGCCTGGCGTACTCAGGGGCTTGCCAACTTGCAAAAACAGGGCTCTGCTCTCTGTGTGGGTGTGGAAGCTTCCACCATGGAGCTAGATGCTTCAGGAAGCCTTAGCACAAGCTCAGCCTTCCTGAGACGACCCTGTAGCTAGAAGCTACCCAGGGAAGAACCTTTTATGTGTATGGATGTGGAGTCTCTGAAACCTAACATTTCAGTGGCTCCCTGATGGTGAAGGGAGCGCTGATTCCGGACACGGCAGAAGACGAGTGTGCGGGGTGCTGGGCAGTTCTGCCCCAGCCGGGGCTCGGCCACAGGGGCATGAAGGCGGGTTAGTACCTGCATACTGAGCACCGTCAAGTTGGTAAGTGCATCCAGGTTCTGAAGTTTAGTGATCTTGTTTTTCCCCAAAAACAAACTCTCCAGACTGGTTAACGTGTCAATATTTTCAATTGCCTGTGAAAAAGACAGGGTCACAATGAATATTGTGTGGCCAACTAGCTGGAGCAGGGTGGGCGAGGGGCCTGGGCAAGGAGACACAGCCATCTGGACTGCGGCCCTGGATGGGGGCAAGTTATCCGTCGACTCTGGAAATTCTCCACTGAAATCTCACTTAAAAGGTGGCTTGGCCAAGGTCTCATCTCCCAGGCTTACCCTAAGCCTCATGAGCCCGAGGTCAGGGGGCATCCACAGGTGAGCAGCCCCCCATCAACCGCTGAAGCTCAGAGCTCACACGATATCATTATTCCATTGGAGGGTTCGTTAAAATGCATTCTGGGAACCTCGGTCTCCACAGAAGCGGCCTTGACCTCAGGATGCCACCCAAGATTCCTGGGAGCAGGCACCCCCATTCCATGGCTCTCTGTCCCCCATCTCAGGATCCACAACCCTCCCTCCCTACCAGAATCCCCTGCTCCTCTACTCAACCATCAATCTCAGTGCCTTGCAGAGAGCAGGTGGCCCAGGACGTGCTGACTGGACCTACTTCCCTCCCGAGTTCACTGCCAGCTTTTGGGCACATGCTAATCCACCAGCAGGGCAGGAGGCAGGTGCATCCCACCCTGTACATCACAGCAGGACTGGAGGATGAGGCTTCAGGGGCAGGGCTTCCTGAACTGCCTATGCTGATGTACGGTGAGCCACCATTCTCCTAGAAATGCTGCAGAGAGAGATAGTTGATAAAATCTGACATCTGGACCACTCTTCACTCTTTAGTTTTAAACAGGCTACTTTGCTCACAACTGTCCCAGGAGGCCCTCCTGGGTTTGCACCCTGCCCAGCTCTCAAGGGCCAAGCTGGGTTGAGTACAGTGTGCTGTGATGTCCAAGAGCTAGACGGAGGGCTGTTTGTAACACAGAGGTGGGGGAAGAAGCGCTTGGGACAACTGTCTTCACTGGAATGTCAGGTGGTCTTCTGGCTAGCAGAGATCCTCATCACTGTCCTGGTGACCCTTCCTCCTCTTTGCTGGCTAACAGCTGCCACCACCTCCCCATGCCCCCGCCAATGTCAGTCCTTCTGTGACTCCTGCGTTTCTACCAGGGGCTCTGCCCAGTAGCTATCGTCAGATGAGTAAAGGCCTGCTCCTACGGACACCAACCTCTTTACTGAAGCCTCTTCTGTCTCCTCTGCCCAGTGCTCCCAGAGGTCAGACAGAATGTGGCAGGATGTAAGGGTGTCGTGGGGTGTGTCCAAGTTGTATGCAGCTACCCAGGGAGAATGGGCCAACCAAGTTACTGAGTTGCAACATGCTTCCTACAGCCCGTGTGCAGGTCAGGTCACTATAAGCCACAACTCTGCCATGTCTGGGACACTGTCATCTCAGAGAGGCCACCAAAGAACACAACCTCAGCATATGAAAACCAAAGTGCTTCACTCGGGTAGAATGTAACTGGGATGCTTTGCTAAGGTTTAGGCTGTGATCTGGATGAAGAACAAATGAAATTTCTGTGCAGAGAAAGGGCTAGACCACGTTCTTATTAACACTGACCTGAAGTTAACATTCTCTTCCTGGGAAATCAAACCCCACCCACCATATGGAGCACGTAGCCAAGCACACACCCCAGCACCCACCACCACCAGTCCCCAAGGCCAGGCCCCTTGCCACACGCCTGCACCTACCCGGATGCGGTTGGAGCCCAGCTCCAGCATCTGCAGTTGGTGTAAGCTGCTTATGTTCTCGATCTTACTGATTTTATTGTTAACCAGGAAGAGCTTCTTCAGTCGTGTCAGCTTGTCGACTCCTTCAATGTTTCTCAGCAGATTGAAAGAAATATCTAGAATCCTGAGAACAAGCAAAGCATTTCAGTTTTAAAAGAGCCCAGGTGGCATGAGGCTCAGAATGCAAGTAAGCTGGAAGCAGCCCCCCCACCAGGTGGGCTACACACCACCCCAGCTGCCCGCCAGGCTCTCTGCAGGACCCTGTGGCAGAGGTGGCCCCCAGGGCTGGGAGCTGGGGCCCAGGGGTGGTTCTGGGGAGATGGAGCAAGCCCCACAGTCGTCCCCCGGACTCATGACTCACTCCAACTGTGTCAGCGCCTCCAGATTCTCAATCTTCTTGATTTGGTTGTCATAAAGATCCAGCTCTCGCAGACTCTGTAACTCCTCCAGATTTTCAATGTATTTAATTAAATTTTGACGGAGGCAGAGAGTCTGAGGGATGAAAAAGGACAGTTGACACAGGCAACAGGGAGGCCACGAGATGCCAATTGTGTCACAGCACCAGCCTTCCAGGGCAGGGGATGCACTTTTCATGCTCCCGTTGTCTTCTAGAAACGTGCCAACAATGGAGACGATGGACAGACACCCAAAGAGGGGCTGGAGGCAGGCCTCGCACTGAGCAGACCTCCTTGGTGAGGGAGGCACTGGTTAGGGTTGGGCGTGCTATTTCCCAGCAGAGCAAACTAGCACTGGGCTCAATTTTGAACAAACAGAACTGAACTAGGTAAGGACTACAGTCTGGGTGTGCTTAACTGCAGGTAGGCTCTGCACCGGCTCACTGTCTGGCCTAGGAGAGCAGCCGTCGACCTCCTGGATAGTGCTGCAGACCCGTCCATATTTAGGGTACAAAGTGCCGATGGCAGTTCAGGACACGGGCCAGCAGAACCAACCCCCAGTTAGGCATATGCCCGTACCCCTTGGGTGGGATGGGCTCCGGGGTGTCAGCATCCCCTCCAGAGGAAGGACAGAGTTGCCCTCACCTTCACTTTCTTCAGCACGTCAAACCCCTCAATCTTCCCAATGCGGTAGTGATTTAGATCAACGTCCTGAAATGAAGAAGAAATCAAGCTGCTGAGCAGCACCTAAAGACCTGCTTCCTGGAGGTGGGTGCAGGGGAGGGTGAGGAGACACTGTCAAGCCTGTAGACAGGCCACAGTGACGGCTGCAAGATGCTTGCTGGCAGTCTGACATAAAAACGAGCAGCAAGTAAAGTCCGTCTTCCCCCCAGCCCCCTGAGTGCAAACATGGGCCCAGGCAGCCGCTGCCAGCTGTGGGCTTGGGGTGGGGGGGTGCCCAGGTGAGGCTTCCTGTAGTCTCCCGCCTGCCCGGAGCTGTCAGCGTTCGGTGTGCTTCCGATGTTGGGGAGATTGAGGCCCTGCCATGGACAATGCAATCACCAGACCTACTTGTGTCATTCAGATGACAAGGGCGGTTCATCGGCCACCCAATCCTCTGGTTCCAGACCTGGAGTTTCAACCACTGGTATTAGAAACAACCAGGACACAAGGAATCTGACCCAACCGAGTGGGGCACAGACGACCTTGCCTAGGAAATCACTTACTAATCTGGAACCTCCATAAAAGACACCCTGACAGAGTGGTCCATCACCATGGCCCCTGAGGCTGCGGCCAGCCGGGGGCATTACCTCTGCATCTCTGTCCAGGCTGATGGTTTCCATATCCACAGGCAGCTCTTGTCCTTCTGAAAAAATGAGAAGGAAAAACAAAGCCCATTCAGAACCCTAGTGTCCGTGGCCCTGGGACTTGGGCTGCCTGGCTCAGAGTGAAATCACGCCCAGCAGAAGCCACGCAGCGGCACATGGAGGCTCTGGATGGTGCGGCAGGGTTAATGCACTGCTCCAGTCACAGTTGCCTTTCAAGTATTCAGATGTTCCTGAACTCGGCGACCAGCAAAGGTCTCCAAACTTCTATGTGTGCCACTAAACTTGCCTGGGAAGGACATGTAGCCTGAAACTGTTTGCAGGAAGGAGGGGAGAGGCCGACAGAGCCTCAGGTGAGCCCAGTGGGCGGTAGGGGAGCAGCCCAGAGCTGCCCAGCTGGCAGCAGCCGGCCCTCTCCTTTCTCATCTGTGGCAATAAATTAGACCATGTGAACACTGCTCATGCTGGGCATGTCAGATGTTCTAGGATGTGCCTTTTATTGCTTTGGAAAGTGGTCTTGAATCTATAAACACTCATCTCTGCAAAGAGGACACCAAAACAAAGGACAGCTTGACAGAGGGACTGGAGAGCCCTGACCGATTTAAACACACTTCTCCGCCGGAGGCACGAGCTGCTCCCTGCAGAGACCCCCCTGCCCCAGTGCTGGGGGAGAGCTGTGCAATGAGCTCAGGCCCTGGCCCAATGGCCTGCCATCAGCAGCTTCCTGGTCTTCGTTTCTCCTGAACTGATGGATGCGTGCGTGTCTAAAAACAGCTCAGTGCTTGAAAACAATAACAGCGATCCTTGGATTTCATCCATGTCTGACAATTTCTCCCCTCAGTCTTAGCATCTGAATGAGGTCATATACTGTGACTGGATGACACTTCTCTAATGTCCCTTCTGGCTCTCTGAGGAAACTGGGCCGCCTGGCTTGACACGCTCGTGATGGGAGCATGTGGCCCCCGCTCTCCTGGAAAGCGGCTGTCCCCAATGCTGTTTTTGCCTGGTTCCTACTGCTGCCTGCCCCCCTACTGCAAAGCTATATCTGCTTCTGCCGTGGAATGGGCCTGCAGCCCTCAGACCTCATGCTCCTGGCACCTCCCAAGGACCAGGGGTTCACTCTGTCTGCTGGCCAGCCTGGCCCTTGACAGGAGGCAGCCGAGAGGAGCACTTGACCAGCTTAACCACTCAGCACTGGCTGGCACTGGCTAATTCAGTCTTCTAACCTAGTCAAAAAAATATGTTGTTTGCTACAGTTTATTATTTACTGGAATTATTTGCTATAACTTTACAAGGTATCAACCAACATAGGAATGAAATAAAAGGAGTTGGGCAAAACCAAGAGATATACCCAAATTACTCCTCGCCCCCAGATGGCACAAATCCAAGATCCGTGAACTGTGGAAGCTGTAAGGAGAGAGGCAGCACAATGAACGCAGGTGTCCAAGCCACCCAGCATCCACACCAGGACACCGTGAGAGGGCAAGGCAGCACTGCAGACAACTGAGCACGGCCGGTGGGTAGAGACCAGGCCTGGACTCCACAGGACAGGTGGTCACACAGCTTAATGTGGCTGTGTCTGTAGCATGCCCAGCACTCAGGGCAGGCCCCTCAGAACAGCTTAACCTCTGCAATAATTACCAGCCTAGAATGTTTCCCCAAATCTATCACGTATTCATCTTTTTCTTTTTTTAAAATAAGTTAAGGAAAATAAGTGAAAGGTAACAGTTGACACATTTGAATTTTATTTGAACTTAGGACTTAAGTAAATACAGGTGGGAGCACCGAGGCCCGATTTCTCTTAAGGACTTATAAGACTACAAATTTCCAGAGGGTTTTTTTTTTTTTTTAATATTTCATTTATTTACTTGAGAGCAAGCACATGCAAGAGCAGCGGGTAGTGGGAGAGAAAGAAGCAGGCTCCCTGATGAGCAGGGAGCCTGATGTGGGACTTGATCCCAGGACCCTGGGATCAAAACCTGAGCCAAAGGCAGCAGCTTACCAACTGAGACACCCAAGTGCTCATCCCCACCCCCATTTTTAACATTTTCCAGAGTGCTTTTAATTAGCTAGTCATCTGGAACAAAGAACGCTGGGTTTGGATAAGCTGGGTTCAAGTCCAGCTGCTCTACTCTATCACCGTGAGCCCCAGTGTGAGCCCCTAGGAGCCTGCACTCACCACCCAGGGAGAGAAAATCCCCAGGACAGGGCCCCACCAACTCTCCAGTCCTTCATGAGCGCCGGATGTTCGGATGGGAGAGCAGGTGATGCTCCCACCCTCTTGGTCTTTCCGTGACTCAGTTAGACATAACGAAAGCTTCCATCCTTCACTCCCATGTACTTATTCCACCCACGCCGCTTCCAGAATATCTACTCTGGAGCTCCAAAGTAAATGTGGATGATACTTTTGTGGTAATCTCCCTTTGCCTTAAAATTAGGTTGCCATAGTTACCAATCATCTTCACTGGCACAGAGCACCATGTTATTTTAAAAATTCGTTTTTTTTTTGTTTTTTTTTTTTTAGAATTTGTGGGTTTTATCACCATAAGGGTAGAGCATGACTATTACTACAAGTCCATACATTGCATATAAATCTAGACAATGCAGAAGGTACAGCACCCTCTCAAACCTGCTGTTCAGAGACCTTCAACTGCAGTTTGATGTGTTTTCTCTTTAACGCATGTTAAAACTTAGATATTATTAACCATTTTAACAGTAAGACTTCGACATGCATACTGTTTGGAAACGTGCTGTTGTTTCCTACTAATGTATCCTGCACATCTTTCTGTCTGTTCATATGCCCTCTCTCATTCTTTTCAATGTAAATCAATTTTTCTAACCAAACCAACAAAGATCACGGTTGGGGAGGGTGAAAAACCACCACTATCGACTGAGAACTTACTTTTCTCATCTCTAAATTAATTTTGTTGCTGTTTTTAATCACTAAAACAGGAGGCTACTGAGATATTTTCTGCATGAAACAATTTTCCTAACATCTTAGGAATTTAGGAGTCAAACTTCAGGCCTCTCATATGGTGAAGCATGACTTAGAAATGACTTCTCTAGGGCACCTGGGTGACTCAGTAGGTTAAGCAGCTGCCTTTGGCTCAGGTCATAATCCCCGGGTCCTGGGATTGAGTCCCGCATTGGGCTCCCTGCTCAGCGGAGAGCCTGCTTCTCCCTCTCCCTCTGCCTACTGCTCTGCTTACTTGTGCTCTCTACCTCTCTGTCAAATAAATAAATAAAATCTTAAAAAAAAAAAAAAAGAAAAAAGAAATGACTTCTCTAAAATACTAAAGGTGCTATTCTGAAATTAGTTTATGTGACTAGGATAGGAAACAAAAGCATCATCAGTGAAAATTTTTTTTTTTTCAAATCTTGTATTCTGAATATATGGCTAATAAAACAGTTTTCTGATTCTGTCTCAGATGACACGCCAGTACTAATAATGTTATTAGTAGTAGCATTTGCTTCAGTGGAACTAAAAAAAAAAAAAAAAAAGCATCCTGCTTGCAAGTGGCATAAATGAGTCAGCCCACAAAGGGAGTGCCTCAGGGGGCGCAATTCTCCGAGAGCATGGCCACCAGCCCCCGCGGGCCTCTACTGCCACATCAGTAGATCAAGAACCAGCCAAATGAATGCCCCTCCTGAGTAGCAGTCCTCCCACTGCCCTCGCCTCTACACCACACAACGCGGTGTGGTGGGGTTGGGCAGATCACATGCAACACGGCCGCACCCTCCCCCCTTAGAGAGTTTAAGGCTCTTAACTCGGCCTGGTACCTTCTGGGTCCTCTTCCCCCTGCTCCTCTCCATCCTTTAGGCTGTGCTCACTGAGGTCCGCCACTATACCGCAGCTCTGCTTCTTCCCTTCCTCATCGCCAGACTCTTCAGATTCGACTCGCCTGTCAACTAAGCCCACACACATCAATAAGAACTCACAGCCACTTTATGTGACTCCCTGAAGAACATTTAACAGACGGACATTCAGCTATAAGTCAAAAAGACTTCATTGAGAAACATTTGTTGAAGTCAGCTCAACAAACACGAGTGTCTTTCCTGTCTTGGGCACCATCTGCGGCGTATAGTGGTGGGGACAACTTGTGTGGGGGAGGGCAGAGCAGGGAGGACACATGGGGACTAAGATGAGTAACAGACTATTCCTGCCCTCAAGGAAATTGTGAAGATTTCCCAGATGTTGTAAAAGCCCTGGATCATTTGTGACAAAGCGGACTAACGGGTGACACAGTGAAGCACCTCCTGTGTGGCTCACTTTTGGCCTGGATGTCCACGTAGCGGGGACCATCGTGACCCTTCCACCACATACCTTCATCCATGCTCCACTATCCATTTGGCCAAGAAAACCAGCCCAGTTCACAGGCCCACGTTCTGAAAGAAATCAAGACTAACTCAAATCAGACTGTGGGCAGAGGGAAGGCTGTAATGAAAAAGGAGAAGATGGCCAATAGTGCCAAATGACCCACATAAATATCACCGATGCCAAACATCTGCACACAGTGATACCAGCCAACAGCTTTGAAAGGCTGGGAAATAAGTATTTTTGAATTAATAAATAAGGCAGGACTAAATATGGCAGACTGGTAAAAATCCTTTGGTAAGACTGTCAAATAATTTTCCTTTTTCCAGCTTTTTTCATGATCTCCCTTGGAAGTCTATCGTGAAGAGCTGAAACAGTAATAAGTTACTGGGAGTTATCAACGATACTGAAAGTATTTTCTTTCCTGTCTACAGTTTGTCCACAAAGGGGTATACTCTTTGAGGAAAGGAAGTTTTATTTCTTCTTTGTACCTCCTCCTGGGCCTAGAAAAGTAGCACCCAGGGAATCGGGCTGCATAAAACCAAGTTCTTATGAAACCAACCTGCCAAACCTCTGAATCCACTCCTTCTTCCCCACCCTGGCAACTGCCTGGGCTCCTGCCTGGCATTCTAACTGGTCTCTCTGGGACTTTTCTGGCTCTGTCTAATCTATTCTGCATTGCCAGAGAATCTGATGTGATTGTAAAATCCAAATCTGATCTTTGACTCCAACAGAAGTTTTTTTTTTTAATTTTTATTTTTTAAAAGATTTTATTTGACAGAGAGAGCGCGAGAGAGCCCAAGAGCGTGAGAGCGCAAGAGCGCAAGCAAGCACAAACAGGTAGAGCAGCGGCAGGCAGGCAGGGGAAGAGGGAGAGGCAGGCTCCCTACTAAGCAAGAAGCCTGGATCCCAGAACTCTAGGATCATGACCTGAGCCGAAGGTAGATGCTTAACTGACTAAGCCACCTAGGTGTCCCAACTCCAAAAGTTTTTGGACTGCCAGTGACTCCTGCTGAAATTTCGCCTTGCCCATACAAACACAGTGCTGGCAGGCTATTTGGTTTTCCAAGCCCCACTCTCCTCATCTGTATAAGGGGGTTAGGATAGGACCCACAGACCACAGGTGTTGTCAGGACTAAAGCACAAAAAGAACAAAAGCAATCAGCATGTGCATGACATGGAGTAAACACTTGGTAATTAGCTATTACCAGGCACAGGGCACTCTGTGGTCAAGGCTAAGAGAGAGCAAATTCTACCGGGTGTGGTATGGCTGTGACCAGGGTGGCAGGGACATAGGGCAGCCAAATGAAATGTGGAATGAAGGGCAGCCAAAGTGAAATGTGGAACACTATCTTCAAGGCAGCAGAGGGTCTAGAGCATGAGATAGTAGATCCAACTATAAGGCAACTTTGGGATAGTGAGAACAATGGGCTGGTTCAAAGTACAGACAGTGGGAATGGAAGAGGTATTGAAGATCTGGAGAGATTAAGGATATAGAGGCATCAGAACTTGTTGACTAATTTGGATGGGTGGGAGCGGGAGAGAGAGAATCACCTGGGTTTTGTATTTGTTGTTTACCAAGACGTGGAAACAGGTGAAGAGAAAGGAGTAGATTGGGAGGACCGCGTCGAGGAGAGGGGATAGGAAGAGGTGCTTTTTTGCTCAACAAGATCCAAGACCCTTCACCAAGGTACTCCACGACCTTCTCTTGCTACCCTCCTCCAATAGCACAATCACTCTTGGTCAAATCTCCTTTCAAACAGACCACCTTCTTTCACAGCCCTTTGCTTTAGTTTTTTTCTGGCCTGAAATGATATTTGATTTTTCCGCAACCTGGTGATTTGTAGTTATCCTTCAAGCTTCAGGTCAGAGTTGGATTTGGTTAGGCAGCCATCACTCCAAACATGTCAGCTCTTCTTCGCACTCCACCTCCCATCCTTCTTCCCGAGCACTTTACACATAAGACAGTGGCTGAACTTCCTCCCTCCGAAAACCGGCGGAGACCAAAGCATGTAAGCACTTGAAGACAAGACTGACTCTCCAACTGGTGTGTGTATGTATAACTATATGCACATGTAATATGCAAATGACTGTTTTCAACAAAACTAAAGAGTTGAATTTAGTCTTTTCAGAACTATGACACCTTTGAAAGCAGGCTTCCGTTGTTTAACAGTTCAATCTCTCGGCTCCTTTCCATCCCTTCCCCACAACCCATTCTCTTACGAGAGGATTCTTCTCCACCTCCACAATGTTCACCTATGAGCCGACTCGGGCAGGTCCCACGGCGCCCCGCGCCTCAGTTTCCCTGATAGCTGCCCCGGGAGACATACCCGCGGCGGACCAGGCTCCTAGGTTCGGTGCGAGGCTCCCACCAGGAGGTGGGCACCCGGGCACCGGGACCACCGCGTCGTCAGTACCTGCCCGCCCGCCCGCCAGCGCCGCTACTCCCAGCCAGCCTTGGGTTTGGCGCCTCTGGGCCGCCCGAGCCTTCCTGACCACTGCAGCCTCCGCCCGGGGTCCCCGGGCCCCGGGCCGCCCCTGACACGCCGAGCCGGCTGGCAGCTGTCAGGGCGCGCTGCGGAGCTCAGGCCACGGTCAGAGGCGGGACGGCCCGTTTCTCTCAGGCAAAGCCGGTGAGGGCCGCTGCCCCCCCGCCCGCTGGGCCCTTGGGCCGCTGCCCCACGGAGCCGCTCACCCTCCATCATCTCCTGCGACTGTTGCTGGCCCGCGCCGCGTTCCGCCGCCATGTTGGCTGCTCTTCCCCTTTCCGGAATCTGTCGCCTCAGGCCCCTCAGCCAATCAGGGGTCCCGACTTGGTGCTGGCTCAGCCAATGGAATCCCACCCAGGGTTTGAACCCCGACGCGCCTGCGCAGCCTCAGCACTTCATGGGAATTGTAGTTCAGCGGAGAGGCCATGTGGTCCTCAGCCACAGGAGTAGCCCGTCTCACCTCCCCGGGACAGGTAATGTGAGAGCGCCCCGGAGGCTTCTGGTGACGAGGAGCGGGGAAGAAGACAGGGGCGGTCGGGGCCTCACGCACAGAGCCGTGGCTGCAGGAGAGCGGAGAGAAGAATCTGGGAGATGCTTAGGGCTCGTGGGCTCGTGGAGGGTCTCTGCGCGGGGCTGCAAAGTGCGGGCCAGTCGAGTGCGTGCCGGCCCTTGCAGGCCTCAGCGGCTGCGTCTGTGCACTGGCCAACTTCGTCCCGACGTCGCCGCGCGGACTTGGCCCGTGAGAAGGGACCGTCTCCAGTTAACGCTCAGCGCTGGGCGCCCGCGCTCGTGCTGGGGCCGGGGCACCGGGGGCCAGCCCCTCCCGTAGGTGCGGGGACAACCTATCTTGGTCCAGGACGTCGACCCAGTCCAGCGGGCCGCAGCCTCCGTCGATCCTTCGGCCCTGCGGGCGTGCCTGACCCGTGAGGGAGCCTCCTTTCGCCCCCCGCCCTCGAGGCCTCAGAGAGGGGACCCTGGTGGATTCGGAGACTGGAGGAAACGGAGTCACTTAAATTCCGCGGGCGGATGCGCCGTCTGTTTTTTGGTCCCTCCGAGGCGCCGTAAGGGGGGTCCGGTGCGTCCCTAGCAACCGTGAGCGCTGAGTCCCGCCCCCCAGGTGCTAGTGGTTGGCTCGGAGGACCTGTCAATCGACACGAGTTGTTCTACGATTGGCCGGTGGGCGAGAGGGGAGGTGAGGCTCGCTTCGCGCGGTGAAACAAACTTGGCCGGAGGACACCGGAAGGCCCCAGGGGAGGTACCTCCGCTGGGGAGAGTGGTCCCGGGCTCCAGGGGCTCCTGGCGCGGCCGGTGGATGAGCCCTTGCCGGGTCCTGCGACCCCGCGCCCCCTCTGTGCGGCTCCGGCCGCTGGTGGCCCGCCACCGCCTTGAGACCGTTCGAGGCGCCCTGGCCGGGGGGACCGGGCCGCACCTGCCCTCCCGGGCCGCGCCGGGGCCTACGCCCGGCGGCGCCCCGCCAGCCCCCGAGCTGGCCGCGTGCGCTTTGCGGACGTCCGGTTGCCCGCCGTCCTCTCACTGCTCGCTGTGGTGCCGGCGGGTCTCTTCGCGCGCTCTGCGGCCGGCGTCTCGCCCGCGAACACCCTGCATGCCCGGCCTCCTTCTTCGTCCTGTCTTCGCGGCTCTCTTCCCAGACGACGGCGGCGCCTTAGCGCGGAGCCCGGGGTGCGGTCTGGACGCCTTGCAGCCCCTTCCTTTCCGCACCTCATCACCCAGTAACTGCCCATCCTGTGCCGAATTCTGCCTTCTGTGTCCCCGCGCCGTCTTTCCGCTGCTGTGATTCGAGACCGCCTGTTTCTCGCCTGCGTCGCTGTAGCCGGCCCGCCACGCCCCTGCCCCTGCCCCTATCTTCGGTAGAATGCGGATCTGGCCGTGTTACTCCCAAGGACAGATCCTTTTAAAGTCGGTCTTTGGGAAAATGTCCAAAGGGCCTGGGCAGGCGTAGTAGGAGGACTTGGGAGTTCGGCCTGACTTCTTCAGGCCCGTCCCCACGTACTCCTCCCCGAGGGTGCTGTGGCAATCTTGGTCTTAGGGTGCCTCTGGCTGTCCGCCAGGAAGGCTTCTTCAGTCCCCTTTCGGTGCTCTGCTCGGCTGGTGCCTCCTCCAGGAAACCATTGTTGACCTTTGGGGTCTGGGAAATGCCTCTTGCTCACATTCTCCAACCCAGCAGCCATCATCCTAGATAGTCTTTAGGATGCCTCCAGGCGAGAAAAAGACACAGTCCTAGAAAGGCTCTGGGGGGAGGGGGGAGTAGTTTTTGGCCCCCAAAGTCCAGAGCAAGGCAGATTTTAGGGTAGGTTTATCCTCAAAACGACATCCTCGCCATCTCGTGCTCTGCTGCCCGTTGTGTTGGCTTCATTCTGAGGCTGGTTCTGCTCCTGGTGGTCCCCAGTGGTGGGAGCAGCTGGAGCTTTTTGCTTCCTAGCTCCGTGAGGGAAAGATGGTCGCCTCCCGAAGTTCACCCCTAAGCTCAGAGTACTTTCCCAGAAGCTCCCTGCAAATCTCTCCTTGCTTCTGTTTGGTCTGAGGGCAGTCACTCATGCCTTCTGAAATAAAAACTATGAACAGTAGTAGGATCACACAGAGACACCACCTGGGGCTCCTGGGTTCAACATCCTGTATCTTCTGCTCAGAGTAGGTACAAAAAACCCAAAACCCAGGAAAATTATTCTAAAAACTTAGGGCTGGACTGGCAGGAGTTTCTGGTTAGTCTTTGAATTAAGCCTGTGAAAAAGGAGTGATGTAAGGTTGTGTGAAGCCAGGCTCAGTGTTCTCAGAGGCTGGCCTGTGCCTGTGGAGCTGGAGGTGCTGGGTGGCTCTGCCGAGGTGCTGTGGGCCTTGGTGCCACATGGCGTGGATGTGGTGTGCAACGCTGACTAGCCCGTGGCTGGCCACAGAGGGCACAGAAACCACAAAGGGATTTGGCTTTCTTGCAGCCACTTGATTTGTTGGCTTTGGACACCATTTATCTACCCCCCGCCCCCCCATGCAAGACCAAGCATTTTGGCCCCTACCCTCCCTTCCCTTTCTTCCCTTCTTTCCCTCTTCTTGTTAACTTTACAAAACCAACTTTTATAACTTACTATGTATTCTAGAGTTTTATTAGTAAATTTACAATGTAGTCTGAAGAGAGGTTTTTGTTTTTTTTTACAAGTCAGAGTTTTCTCACATTCACAGTTGTAGTCTGAAGCTATCATCAAGTCTCTGTGCTTTGTCAGTTGGTTGGTTGTAGAAATAGAAATGAAAATGTGATCATGTTGTTCTTTATTTTAGAAATAGTCCCTTTAGATGCTTAGAGAAGGGAAGCAGCAGGTTCTGTTAGTTTGCTATCTAATTTCTCTTTTACTTCTTACTCTTTTGGTTCCTAATCAGCTGTTGCTCTTACGATCCCACACTGGATATATACATATGTGTAGGAAACATCTCTTAACTTTTTAGCATACGCTGGTTGACCATTCAAAAGGATAAATGCGACATTAGTCATGAATCATAACAATGAAGTGAACACATTTAAGCCCAACCCCCAAATTAGGAACTGAAAGACCTTAGGCCATTGTATGGCCCTCCATTCCATCTTGCTGCTGGACCCTCAGAGGAAACCTGCCGGAAGTTTGGGTTTTTCCACATTTGTGTATACCCTTCAACGATATATGTAGATGGGGGTGTTGTAGAAAGGGAATTTTACTCTCAATGGTCTTTCGTAATTTGATTTTTTTCACTTACTATATTGTGAGATTTATCCTCATTGCGTGTATAGAATTTGTCTTCACTGTTATGAGTCATAGTGTGAATATGCCAGAATCTTAAATTTGTTTTCTTGTTGATGAGTGTTCAGGTTTATTCTTTTCTTCCGTTTTCCTTTTGCCATTGAGGGCTATGCTGCCCCGAACATTCTTGAGTGTGATTTGCTATTTACGTGCAAGGATCCTATAGAATATAAGTCTAAGATAGTGGGATAAACTGTCCCAGTAGGTTAATGTGTGACTTAAACTGTTTTCTGAAGAGGTTACATTAATTTGTTAGTGTTGCCATTAATCCTGATCTCTATCAATATTTGATATTATTAAAATTATTAGGTTTTGCTGGCTTAGTAGGTGTAAAATGATCATGATTGTGCTAATAAAGCTAAGCCCCTTGTTATAGGTTTACTGTCCACTAAGGCTTCCTCTTCTGTGAAATTCTTGTTTCCATTTTTTCCATGAAGCTGTGTGTCTTTTACTGTATTATTATTTTTTAAATTTTAAATTATTGGCCTTTTGAACTCTCTTGGATATTAATTTCCTGGTTATATATGTGGCAAATATATTTTCCCAGTTTGGGGTTTCTATCATTTTGTTTGTGGTATTTTTGGTGAACGGACATTCTGAACTTTAATGATAAACTTATCAGTCTTACAGTTAGAGCTTTTTGTGTCTTGTTGAAGAAAACCTTCCTTGCCCAAAGTCTACTGAAGGTCTTTTAATTATCTATGAAAGTTTTGACTTTCACAAGGTTAGTCTTTGATGTCTTGGACATGGCTTTTCACATGTTGCATGTTGATCGCTCTCCTGTTACTGTTTCTTGGAGGGACATGGAGTTGCCTGGCTTCCCCATGGGCCTGTGGCCAGTGCTGGGCACCACTCCCTGTCAAGCGTCCGGGGTTCTTTCCCACACTGGGCCGGGGGTGGCCGATGTCTATTCCTTTAATCGGTTTGGTTATTCCTGCCCAGACAGACCCACACCACCACTTCCTGTTGGGTTTTCACATCTGGGAGGCTAGTCTGTGGCTTTGTTCCTCACTCTTACCTCTCCACTCTCTCTCCAGCTAGCTGTTCAGTTCTCCCCGTCTTTATCTCTTAACTTCTCTCTCCCAGCTCTATGTTCTTGTTTCCCTGCATTGCATTCTGGGTTATTTATTCGCATAAATCTACCGATCCTCTAACTTTCTTTTCAGCCCTGACTACCTGCTTCATCATTCATTAACATTACACATTAACTGTATTGAGATAATTTACAGACACTAAAAGGATGGTCAGTGCCTAGTTCAGGGAGCGTTGAGATAGTCCCACAGCTGCAGGATCATGAGGAGAGCTTTCCCATTGCCCTCCAAAGCCCCTCTGCTCTTTCTTAGTCAGCCTCCCCAGCCGCAGCTCCCCACCCCCACCCCCGCTGCCCCTGCCCCAGTCTGGCTGTGCTCTGCTTTCTGCCTGGCTAGGTCAGGCCTATCTCCTGCTGAGCTTCAGGCCTCGAACCCCTTCAGGAGGTGTTCTCCTGCACAGCTCCAGGGCTCTAAGGGCCATCGGAGCCATTGCTGTCTCCCTGTGTCTTGTTTCCTATTGCTGAGTATAGGGGTCTTTTGTGTGGCTACGCTTTGATTTGCTTATCTGTTCTCCCCGGGAGGGACATTTGGATTGTTTCCAGTTTGGGTCTGTTCTGAATCTCTCTTCCGGGCAGATCCTTCATGCAAGCCCTGTATCCTGGGCCGACTGGCAGCCTGCTTTCTGGGGCCTGTGTGTGCACATCGTGTCTTCCTGCCGATACTCTGCGAGTGTTCTAGCTGCTCCCACCCTGACCAACGCTCTGTGTTTCCACTCTGTCATTTTAGTCGCCCTAGTGCTGGCATGTGACGGCTCGTGACAGTTGAACTTGGTTTCCCACATTACTAATGGTGGTGAACGTTTTTCTCATGTGCTTCTTTGTAATTTGTATGCCTTCTTTGGTGAAGTGTCATTTAAACCCTTTATCCTCCACCCCCTTTAAAAAAATCTCTGGTTATCTTTTTTTTTTTTTTAAGAATTTATTTATTTATTTGACAGAGATCCCAAGTAGGCAGAGAGGCAGGCAGAGAGAGAGAGGAGGAAGCAGGCTCCCCGTCCAGCAGAAAGCCCCATGCGGGACTCAATCCCAGGACCCTGAGATCATGACCTGAGAGGCCCAACCCACTGAGCCACCCAGGCGCCCTTTGGTTGTTAGTCTTATGACTGCTTAGGATTTTTCTATGTATGTGATCCTGTCGTGTATGAATTGGGACAGCTTTATGCCGTTCTTTCCAGTATATGTGCCTTTTATTTCTTTCTCTGCCTCTGTTTACTGGCTGTTCCCCCTAGAACAGTGCTGAAGAGAAGAGGCTAGTTGGGCTTCCTCACTCTGCTCCAGACCTTGGAAGGCCAGCATCACGGGCCTTGGGTTCTTCGTGTGTGCCTCTGGGCAGGTGGAGGATGTTTCTTCCTCCTCACTTGTGAATGTTTGTTCCTGTGACGGGGTGTTGGATTTTGTCCAATGGTTTTTTGATTATCAGTTGATATGACTGTGTGATTTTTTTCCTCCTTTTTTTTTCTTTAGCCTTTTGATATGGTGAATTACGTTAACTGATTTCCAAATGTTAAGCCAGCTTTTTACTGCTATGATAAGCCCCTCTTGGTTGTATTGAATTAATTCTCTTTTTTACATATTGCCTTAGTGGGTTTGCTAACATCTTGTTGAGGATTTTTGCATCTCTGTTCACAAGTTATTGGTCTGTGGTTTCCTTTCCTAGCAATGTTTTTGTCTGGTGTGGTATCAGCGTGATGCTAGCTTCAAACACTGGGTTGAATGTGCTCTGCCTGTTTTTAATTTCTGGAGGAGTTTATGTAGTATTTGTAAAGTTTTTCCGGCGAGATAAACACAACACCAGGCAAAGTGGGTGCAAGGCAAGATTTATTGAAGGCACTCTCCGGCGAAGTTTCAGGGCTCAGGAGAAGGGGAGCCAGGAAAGTTGCGCCGGGAGGAGGTGGGCACCCTCGGGCGAGGTTCCGCAACTCTGGAAAGCAGAGTGGTGGAAGTCGCACCCAAGGCTGGGAGAAGGGGGCTTTTAAGGGGCCTCGAGGGGAGTTCAGGGGTCTTTTGGCAAGTTTCCCTTATTTGGATATTTCGCCTGCTCGTCGGGGTCCCATTGGTCCACTGGAGCCCGGGACCGGGGTCTCAGATTCCCGCTTGTCAGGGTCCCATTGGTCCACGGGAGCCCGGGGCCGGGGGGTTTTCAGATTCCTTCTTGGGTCTTTGTTCTCCTGCCCAAGCTCAGGTTTTGTGGCGGGAACTTTCGCCATCTTAAGTAGCCCTTTCTTTCTGCCAGCCCAACAGTATTGAAGTTATTTCCTTCTTAAATATTCGATAGAATTTACCAGTGAAGCCATCTGGGCCTAGAGATCTTTGATGGAAAGTTTAAATTACAAATTCATTTTTTTTTTAAGACTGAAATGCAAAAATTTAATTTCTAAAAAGCTGGTTTGATTCTTTCAATATGTAGTTGTTTCTGAGAAAGTCTTGTTCTGCTCCCTTCCGTGACTCCTGTCCCTCGTGTTTTAAACTTAGACGCAGGCATTTGTAGTAAATGGATGTTCTCATGTGTCTGAGTCCGTTTAAGTTTTCTGTAGACTCTCACCAAAGGGGGCTTGTTTCCTTGTCTGTGTCACTGGAAGGGAGCATATTTGGTTGGTTTCGCTTTTGGAAACCCATATTTAGGATGCTTTGCTTCTGGGAAGATTGCTTTTGCCAGGGCCTGGGCTGCTGAGCTGGGACCACATTTCCCCAGCTCAGAGCGCCTGGCTTCTCTGAGGGAGGCTCCCGCCTCGTAAGGGGGACTGCAGCTCACGGGCGTCTTTATCATCTCACGGGTGAGTGTCACTCTCAGGTAGCTCAGAGATGCTACAGACTGATACCCTGATGAGCTCTAGCTGCTCTCAAGTAGTTATCCAGACCATTGTATTCTCTTATTTTTTTTCCAGGACTTTTGTCTTTTGTTTTTTAAATTCACCTGGAACTAATGTTTGTATGCGGCAAGTCACAGGGATGCATCATAACCCCGGGCTGATTATCTAATTCTTTTGAAAACTGGCAGCTCCTGGGTGACTCAGCGACTCAGTGTTAGTGGTTTGTTTTCCCGGCTTAGGTCCTGGGGTCCTCACGAGAGCGCTAGGCGGTGTGCAGCGCGTTACTGTTATTCACATTTTGCTTAGAAGGGGGCCGAGGCAGGAAGGCCAGGGGGCTGTCCAGGGGCTCGCTGTGCTGGGGTATGCTGTTAATTCCCCATGGAGTTTCACTGAGTGCCATGGAGTTTCACTGGAGTTTCACCAACAGACGTTGGTCTGTTTCTGAAGCTGATTGGGTTTGTTCTCCTGTTTGTTCCTTTGCTGTTCCGATCTCCATTTGGGTAGCTCTTTGGCATGTTTTGATGTTAACATCCTTCCACACTGGTGATAGTGGGGCCTTCAGCTTTCTGTCTTGGGGACCCCTGCCCCACCACGTTCAGGAGCTTGGCGCTGAGGCGAGTGTTGGCCAGGCCCTGACAGCTGAGGGGCCTGGGATGTGAGCATACCAGAGACCCCATACAGAGATCCCAATTACAAACTGGGCTCACACACTGTTAACTGTGGTAGTCACTGCCCTCTTGTGCTGCTGGCAAGTCTTCATGATGACCTTCAGATGAGCCAGGGCAGAACTGGCGGGCTGGGCCTCCTTGGAGTTCCGTGCTACAATGGGGCGTGGGAAGGGCCAGCCCCCCTTTTCTTTCCACAGCAGGTCCGTCCTGTGCAGGTGCCCCCACCTGCTTATTGAAACTTGGCTCCTCGGCCAGTCTTTGGGCCTGTGTGTACCCATGAGGGAACCCTGATGGGGGAAGAGGCCGGTGCCGGTCTCAGAAGTGGCTTCCACATGCTCAGAAGGTGACCATGGAGAGGGCACCTGGGCTCAGGATGGGCACGTTGCCCTGGCGCCTTGGGCTCCTCACTTCATCCAGGCCCCTGGCCCAGGCCTCCAGCACTGTCTGGAGGAAACTGTGCTGCAGACATGAGGTTTTTCTGTATTTTTTTCCTTACAACTGTTGGCAAATCTACAGGTACTTAGAAAATACAGTTAAACACACAAATCCCTGGTACCAGGCCTGCCTCCGGGTTCTCTGCCATGGCTTTGTGTTGCTCATTTGTCAGCAGCCCCGTGGATGGTTCTCAGGGCCACTGGTCAGAACCCCTGGATTCGGGGAAAGCTGGGGCCACGCAGAGCCACACGGGCCCCTTCCCATTGTGCTCTGTTCTTTCCCTCTGCTTACTTCTCTCTCCCATCGCTTCCTCTGCATTGCTCCAAAATGGCTCCAAAATGACTTTGGTCACTGGCCTTGCACTGGAGGTCCTGGCCTACGTGGCACTGGGGGCGTGGGAGCCTTTTGGGACTGAGCTGCATTCAGCCTGCTGAAGGATTAGTTGCTTAAACTGCCTTCCTGTTGTCGTGTTGCCGATGCCGATCGGGTTCACTTTGTTTTCTAGCTACGGTTGCTCCCCTGGCCAGCAGGCTCCCGATGGAGGACGGAGGCTCCCCTGAGAGCCCGGCTGTGCGGACTGCCACTGAGCCCAGCGAGTCCCTGTCCTCAGCCCACAGACACCTGAGCAGAAGGAATGGGCTTTCGAAGCTCTGCCAGAGCAGGATGGGCCTCTCCGGTAACCCCCTCCTGGGTGTCGTGGGCGTCAGTGTTGAAGATGAAAGTGACAAGTCCTTCTAGGCTCTGGTCGGGTGTGCGGTTCTCACTGTGTGTGGAGCGATGCCCGCAGGCCCCTTCCGGGCTGTGTGGTTGCTGCTGGGGTTCTACTGCCAAGACCTTGCTTCAGAGTGTGTGCGGGCACTATTGTGGACAGGGCTGCCGTGCAAGTGAAATACAGTTTTGCTGATTTAGTTCAGTAACTATTTGAGGACTGTGTTGCAGCCTCATGCTTTCCTCCCGGATGCAGACGACTTGCTCGAGGGCAGCCAGATACCTGGTGCAGGAGGCTGTGCCCAGGCTGGGCTGAGATGTCGAGGCTCCTGCTGCCTCACTCACTTGTTTCTCCCAAGTCAGCCTCTGCCTCCAGAGCTTAGTGGGCTTGTTGTCTGAGGGGGTGCCTAAGGAGACAGCAGGTGCAGGCCTGCAGCTGGGTGGACCTAGAGCGTGGGGAAGTCAGTTAGGACTGAGAAGGTCTGCACCCGGAGGAGAGGGGCTGCTGGAGAAGGGGAGGAGGAGAGATGGAGCCCAGCTCACACACTAGTCTAGGAGCACAGGGTGGGAGTGTTTGGAGGGAAACATGCTGGGTTCTCCTGGTGACGGCCAGAGATTCTGCTGGGAGGGCTGGGCAGGTCTGGGAGGTAGGCAACTGCCCCAGGAGCATGGGCTTCCTGGTCTCTGCTTGGGGAGCAGGGACAGAGCCAAGGTCACAATGCCTGTCCCATGGTGTGAGGAGGGTCAAGCTGAGCTTGGGGCAGCTGGGAAAGAGAAGGGCTAAGCAGCTGGCCATGCGTTTCCAGGCCCAGAGAATGGTCCAGGGTGAGACTGAAAAGAAAAGGGGAAAGGAGAGAAGAGTTGTTATTGTTTGGATTTTGAGCTGCTAGAAGGATGGAGTTGCCGTTTACTGAGATGGGAAAGGAGAGAGGCAGGGCAGGGGTGCCACGCGTGGGGTGGGCAGCACCTTCCCACATGGAGTGTGTTAGAAGCCAGCGAGGAGTGAGTGGGACGGAGTGGAAGGGGTGAGACTGCATCCGGGCTTCTGCAGTGGTGAGAGGTCAGAAAGGTGGAAGGGAGAGGGAACCCCACCCAGGGCAGGTGGTTTAGGAGGTGGGGACTGACCCCCTGGCCCACCGCTGCCGAGGGCTGGAGTAGGGTGAGTGCTGAGAATTGGCTGTGGGCTTGAGCATCTCAGGCCACTGGACGTATTGCTGAGAGCAGGTTTTCTGGAGGGGTGGGGAGTGAACCTGACCTGTGAATAAGGGAATGGAGGGAGGGATGGAGACAGCGGGCAGCTCTTGGATTTGGGAGGCTTTCCAGGAACAAGTGCAAGGGGGGGTGGCTGGAGGGGGTGCGGATCTGTAAGGACAGACACAGGACAACACCTCTTGGCGGGGGGCGGGGTGGGGGGTGGGAAGGGACCTCAGAGGGCGTTTACACAGAAACGCTGAGCTTGGGCCATTGTGTTTCCTGTAGGATGTGACTGGCCGGACAGCATCCGGGGGTGTTTAGCTGGACTCGGGGCTGTTGGGACGGATGCCGGAGTGTGGAGCTTGAGCTCTGCACCCTCTGGAGGAGTTGAGAGCAGGAGCCGTGGGGTTCGGTGTGTCTGAGAGGCGGGCTCCGGGCAGCCTTGTGAACTCTAAAGCTCCCTTTCCTTTCCTTTCCTTTCCTTTCCTTCCCTTTACTTTCCAGAAGACAAATGGAACTCCTATTGTCTGTCGTCTTTGGCTGCCCAGAGCATCTGCACCAGCAAACTACATTGCCTGGTGCCGCCAGAGCAGACCGACCTGGCCGGGTCCCTGGGCAGTGCGTCCTGCTGCTCCCTGCTGCGGGGCTTGTCTTCGGGGTGGTCCATGCCCCTGTTCCCGACCCCCGTGTGCAACCCAAACAAGGCAGTGTTCACCGTGGACGCCAAGACCACAGAGGTACTGGCTGCGGTGTGTGACCCTGCTGTGCGAGTGTGGTCTGTGCCTTCAACCTGTAACCTCAGACAGGGGAACTGGAGTGTGTTAAGTATAATTAGAGAAGCTGCATAAGAGACCTGAGTATGAATCAGTGAAAACAAATTGAATCCTCCTGTCAAGGTAGAGATTCAAGGACGGGGCTGAGCCGCATGACTGCCTTGTGCTCTGTAGGGTGTTGGCTCAGTGACAATGAGAATGGGTACTCACCATCTGAGGTGACCATGTTCGCCTGACGGACATTTACATACAAATAACTGAAATCATTAGGTGGCTGGGAGTGTGGTGTGAGTCCCCGTGTCTTCTGCTTGGCACTGGTGGCATGGCGAGCCCGTCCTGGCGGGGGAGGGAAACGTGGTTTCAGTGGTGGCGCTGGCATTTCTTATTTCCCTGTGGTTAAGATCTGGGGAGTCTGGGGTGTCGCAGCCGCGATCCTGTCCACTGCAGGACGCTGGGGGCGGACGGGTCTCCAGGTTTGGGCTGGCGGCACTGCTGCTGATGCGCGTGTCTTCTCCTCTCTGCGACTCCAGATCCTGGTTGCCAACGACAAGGCTTGCCAGCTCCTGGGGCACAGCAGCCATGACCTGATCGGCCAGAAGCTCACGCAGTTCTTCCTGAGGCCTGATTCCGATGTGGTGAAGGCCCTCAGCGAAGAGCACATGGAGGCTGATGGCCGAGCCGCTGTTGTGTTTGGTACAGTGGTGAGTGGGTCTTCCCCAGGGGCGGTGCTGGGGTGAGGAGCAGCTGGGGTGGCGGGTGGAGCATCACAGGAATGGAAGCAGGTAGCTGTGGGCCTTGTGAGAGGGGCGGTCCCGCCTTACAAGGGAGGAGGCTCTGCAGTTTGCAAACTGGTGGGAGGCCGAGGGGTCATGATGATCTTCCATCTGCACCCCTGACTCCAGTTTGGTTTGTTTGGTATTTGCTGGCAGGGCCGGCATGGCTGGAAAGGTCTCCCTGGGACTTGGGTCCTCCTGGTGTGATGCGTCCCCTGGGATGTTGACGGCACGTGAGGTGCTGAGCCCCCAGCCCAAGCCCTAGAGGACGTTAGATGTGGTCCGCTGCTCTGTTCTGGGGACTGGCCACGGGCTAACACTGCTCGCCATGTGTTGGTGTCTGTTTCCTGAAGAAATGACGCAGACAGTTGTCCTACTCTGTTGCAAGGAGGCTGGTGAGGAAACCCTGTCTTCTGAGAGAGCGTCCACATGGAGACTAAGGGTCCGTGTCAGAAACCATGTGTGGCCTTGGGCTCAGGTGTCAGGCAGGGGCACAGAGGTTGCAGACACCCCCAGGCCTGGGCTCTGGGGAAGGCCTGGGGCAAGGCTATGTGCTCCCGCAGGTGGACGTCGTGGGTCGCAGTGGGGAGAGGATCCCGGTGTCTGTGTGGATGAAGAAGGTGAAGCAGGAGCACAGCCTGTGCTGTGTGGTCGTACTGGAGCCTGTGGAGCGGGTGTCGGCCTGGGTCGCTTTCCAGAGCGATGTGAGTTTGCTTTCCACATCCCCACCACATGGAGCTGACCAGGTGTCGCCTCTTGTGGCCTCAGCCCCCTCCATGGCCCACTGTGCGCCCCTGGGGCTTCTGGAAGACGGGCCCCTGTGGCAACCCTCCCTCTCTGTGTGCCCTTGGGCATGGGTACAATCTCCCTGGCCGTGGTCTCCTCATCTGTAAAGTGAGATGGAACCGGAACCTAGGTGTGCCTTAGCAGGTCAGTGAGGTAGCAGGTGCGGGACCATCAGAATGGTGACTCGCCTCCGGAGGCCGGTAATTTGGGTGCCTCCAGCGGTAGGAGAAGGAGGGCCTGAGGAAAGTTCGTGGCTGCCTCTGGCCCTTCTGCCATGGGAGGGCCGCTAACAGTCTTGCTTTCAACCTGAAGGCATGGCGTTCAGTGATGTTTGAAGGTGAAATGCCAGGAGCTTTTACCGTAATGCTTAACAATGCTGGTTTTTCCTCCCAGGGCACCATAACATCCTGCGATAGCCCGTTCGCTCTCCTGCACGGGTACACGTCTGGGGAGGAGGTGCTTGGGCAGCCCATCACAGACTTGATCCCTTCTGTGCAGCTCCCTACCCCTGGCGAGCCTGTCCCCCAGGTAGGACCCTTGTGGACCCCTGACTGCCACACCTGGCAGCTGTACCTGGGGCCATGTGGTCCCTGGAGTCTGTTTACTCAGTGACCTGGGAGTTCTTAGGCCAGAATCTGTGGCCTGGTGACACAGGCTGGTAATTCTGACAGCAGGAGCATCCTGCATATATACACAGTGGCACCAGGTCCGAGGGCTGCTCTCTGGGCTCTGGGGCCTTGACCGAGGGTCACAGCCTGTGCTGCTCTCTGACTGGGCACCCTGTCTCCTCGGTCCTCCTGCTGGAGCCTGGAGCGGGGTTCTCCTGCTGTGGTCTGTCTTTACTGGGAAGTCTGGGGTTCTTGAAGAGCAGGGAGAACTGGCTGAGGGCAGGGTGACAGGCAGATGGGGGGGTGGCAGCTCTGGGGACAGTGGAGGTTTGGGGTCGTTGGGGTAAGTTCTGTTACTCACCGAATCTTCCCAGTTCCCAGGTGTCCCATTTCCTACTAGTGTGTGCCCTTCATACAAATGACCTTCACTGAGGTAAATTCCACTGATGTCACACCCCAGTGATCTGCAGCGTCTGACTGGACGCTTGATTTTTACCTAAAGTCACCTCTGCTGCTGCAAGGAATCGGAGGTGCTTTCAGGATGTCCACTGGCACTCCCTTGTTCTCTGGCCTTCCAGAGGCTGAGAGCTGAGCACTGGAGCCAGTTGTCTGCTCCCTGGTTCTTGGGCCGGCCACAGGCCAAGAGCTGAGCCCCAGGAGCCAGTTCTCTGCTTTTTTTGAGCTTCCAGCCCAGTGGGAACCCTCACCCTATCCTCAGTCCTTATTGTCTGTGCCCTTCTTCTGTCCCTAAGCTGGTGGGGGCGACCATTGGCACAGCCACCTTGGGAGCCTGTATGGCAGCATCTGCCCCATGCAAACTCGGTGAACCTCAGAGTGCCCTCTGCATGCATCAGAGAGAAGTGTGTGCCAGAAGGCACATGTGAGCTTGTTCTCAGCAGCACATTTGTGATAACCTCAAATGGGAGCTTTCAACACCCCAGCAGCAAGTGGAGACTGGCACTGCACCCCTCATCCCTTGTAGGGCTTCCTGGGGCCTGGCCTGCAGCCGTGGCTTGGGGAGCCTGATGTCTCCGAGTCCTGACCCTCTTCTGGGCACAGCACAAGGGGAGCAGAAGCTCCCAGCAAATGGGCCCCATCAGATCTCCTGTCCTCCAGGGTAGCCCCTAAAAGGGGCAGGTGGGATTGGGTGAGGGGTAGACACATAGCCCTGGGCTGATATGCCTCGGGAAATCCAAAAGGGAGCACACTCTCAAAAGCTTTCGGTTAGGATGAGGCTGTGGTCAGGATTTACTCAAAACTGGGTCCGTTCCAAGTATTTAAGGCAGGGAAACAGGGCAAGGAAATAGTTTTGTGGGGATAGAGGTGCTGAGGAGGCACAGACAGGGGACGGTCGGCGACCGCAGGAAGCAGCCGGCCCTCAGACTGGAGGATAGTGAGTGGTGGGGGCCATCTGTGGAGGTGGGACCCTGGGGCTGCTGGGGGTCTGAGGCAGAGGGCGGGAGACACCTGCCAGCCCTCCTTCCCTGCAGGGTTAGCACAGACAGGAGTCCAGTCCATGTGCATTTCTTGGTTGTCCTGTCATTTGCTGCCCTCAGGCCTTTCTGGAATGGGGGGCAGCTGCTAGACTGCGTTGCTCTTGCCGCAGACACAGCTTCTCGTCAGGGCTCTGCTTTCCCTGGGGCAGAGGTGGGGTGCAGGGAGACTGCGGAAGGAGGAGCAGTGTGGGGAGTAAGCTTTTCTGGGCTTGCTTCCCGTGACGTCTGGATCGGTTCACGTCTAAAGCTGCAGACTCAAAGCTTGGGCCATGAGAGATGCTGCTATCAGCTCAGGGGTGTTGTTTCTTCCAGAATCTCAAGATTCAGAGGTCTGTCGGGAGAGCCAAGGATGGCACCACCTTCCCTCTGAGCTTAAAACTGAAATCTCAGTCCAGCAGTGAGACGGTGGAAGATGACCGCACCATCCCCAAGTGGGGTTACTCAGCGTCCATCTGGGTCTTCTCCACCATCAGCGGCCTCATCACCCTCCTGCCTGACGGAACCATCTATGGCATCAACCACAGCTTTGCTCTGATGCTATTTGGTTATGGGAAGACTGAGCTCCTGGGCAAGGTGGGCCCTCCCTGGGTGGCCTGTGCTCCCCTGTGGGGGGATGACCTGTTTTCACAGTGAGGACATGTGCTTGTCACAGACCTTATACTGCCGTGCCTACTGGTCTGGCCCACTGGCTTTCCCTGGGGCATGCTGGGCGCCATTTTCTCTAAAGGCTCTCATTTCCCTGGATCCCACATTGAGCATGCAGTGACCCTTGGGACTGTGTCCAGAGCCTTGTCTCCCTGTGCTGTCCCTGAAGGGAGAGGGGCTGTGGCCTGGAAACCTGTCCTGAACGAGGTCCAGTAACTAAGTTACTGGATGAGGGTGTTTGTCACAGCCGTGCTCCTGGAGGTTGGGGCTTATCCACACCTCCTCTGCCCCCAGAGCCATCCTGGGGTGCCTGTCATGTGGTCAGGGTCAGAGGAAGCTGTGTCTACAAACTTCTTCCTTGGCTTGAGCTTTCTCTGAATTTCTTGTATGCGGGGCAGAGGTCTCTGCACAGCGAGAGCCAGGCCTGTTTCTATAGGAGACTGGGCTGAGCAGACTGACTCCGTTGCTGCAGACAACTGTAAGCTTGGGGCCTTGGCCATGACAGTCTGGTAATTAGGTCATGAACAGGCCTTCCGGGCTGAGCTGAGCAGGATAGCTCATCCAGCTCCATGTAGAGACAGCTGGGGCTGGCGTCCTCCCGAGGCGCGTCTGCTCTTGGGCTGGCTGCCTGGGGCTGTTGCTGGGGCTGGCGTCACTTGATGGCCGAGCTCCAAGGCCAGGTGAGCATCTCCGGCAGCCATGGCCTGCCCCTCCTCACATGGTCCCTGGGTCCTCCTGGCTCCTGGGAAGGGGACGCGGACCCCCTACTCAATGGCAGGTGGGTCATGGGGGGAAGGAGAGGTTGCTGAGTGGTGCATCCATTTTGACGTCCTGCGGTCCCTGTGTCCACATGCCTGGCTGGCCTGGCTCGTGGATGCCTGTAGCCTTTCCCTGAATACCTTGTTCTCCAGGGGTTCTGCAAATGAAGGGAGGGAATCCCCTCTTGTTGTCCTCAGTGGGCTGACCCCAGGCCTCGTGACAGTCAGCCAAAGATTTAAACTCTTTTGCGGCTCCAAAAAAGGGTCCTTCTCTGTTTTCTAATAGAAATATTAAGGAGCAAGTAAGCTAAGATTTAGTTAACTGAAGGCAAACTCAGTTTAAGTGAGCAAACTCACTTAGTGTGATTTTTTTGACAAGTAATTGCTGCAGGAATGTTGGGGGTGCTGGGTCCTTCCAGGGAGTGTGCTTGTGGGGAAGGCACCCTGCCTCGGAGGTTAGACTGTTTCGCGTTCACATGGCTGTAGGCACCTGTCCGGGAGTATGGGTCACACGTGGATTCAGAGAAGACACGTGTCCTTGCAGTTTTGGACTTGGGACCCTCGTGCTGAGGCCATGACCAGCATAGCAAAGGTGCCTGCTGGACCTCAGGGGCCAATTTCATGTGCCCAAGGTCCTTTTGTCCTTATGCTGGGCCCTTGTCGCTCCCCGCGAGCCACATAAGGTGGAGTTTGCAAACGTGGCTCTCAGGTGTCAGGGCAGCGTGGGGCAAAGACCAGACATCTGCTTGGAAGACATGGTGGTGTGGGTATAACTAGCTTTTGAGTTGTTGATTTTGTTGATTTTGTCTTTTTCATAAGAAAAGGTGGGGGGGTAAGTCTTGAATTCCATGTTGGGTGTCTGAGGGGCTTTGTGGGTCTGGGAAAAGGAACACGACCTGGAGTCTTTCCTAACCTTGTCCAGAGACTTGCTCACGTTGTTTGTATTCTCTCCCCAGATTAGATGGGGGACGGTCCTGTGGTCTGGGTTCTGCAATGTCACTTTGTTTTCTAGAATATCACTTTCCTGATTCCCGGCTTCTACCATGGCATGGGCCTCGCGTGTGACACTTCCTTCCCACTGCCAGACATGGCCGACCAGAGTGGGCCTGGGGTGACAAGCCTGGGCCCCCGGCAGAGCCGGAACCGGGCTGGCACGGGCGTGGGTAAGGCCAGCCTCCCTCACGCAGGTGCACACAGCTCCATGCCTCCGAGGGGTTGGGAGCGGTGCGCTCGGGACAGGGACATGCTGGGCGGGTGGAGAGTGGAAGGGAGTGGCCGCCAGGCTGTCATGGTTTGAAAGTCCTCTGTCACTCGTGGGCCTTCTGTGTTCCCAGGGGATGGGACCAATATGCGAGCACAGAGAGGGTCCCGGGGGATTTCCCGTCACCAAGTGCCTGGCTCTAGGACAGAGGTAGCTTGTGGGGAGTATTTGATGAGTAGATCTGTGTAGCCATACATAGCCTATCAAAGTAACCCTTAAGTAGTCCTAGCCAAATATGCTCGTTATGATTAGCCCTGTGTACTTTTAATTTAGCATTTTATGGTGCTTCAAGCCTCCATGACATGAACATTGTAGGGGACAGTGTGGGCGCATGGCTCCCGCCCTGAGGGTTCCCTCTGTGACTTTGAGGCACCTGGGAGGATGGACCACTCCAGGTATGCATGGAGCCCATGCCTGTGCTCCTGGGAAGGCACTGGGACCTCCTGCAGCCCCGTTGGTGTTCACCTTTCCGTGAACAAGGAGCCAAGAGGAGCTGCTCCCCGGTTCTGCTTCAGGAGTGCTCCTAGCTGGCAGGGCCCCCCTCTGCCAGTGCCCTCTCCCTGGGCCCTGCCCTTGCAACAGGCCTAGCCAGGCTGGGGGCGGAGGGTGTGTAGTCTCAGTGGGAGGGAGGGGAAGCAGGAAATGAAACAGCTCCTGGAGAGCATCAGGCGATCCCGAATCCCCAGGGGACTCTCCCGTGGCCCTGTCAGAGGGTGGCGATATTGGGACACCGCTGAATGGGGCAGGCTCAGAGCACCCTTGGAACACATTGCTTACCTGCTGTCACCACAGGGTGGACTTGCTGTTTGAATGAACACACACATGGGCATGATACAGTCCCTGAGGGGAAAGAGGGGCCACACGAAGTCTTATCTGTCTCTGGACTGTGCTCTGTGGGAGATGGTTTCAGCCAGGTTCCCACACCCCAGGCTGGGGGGGTGGTGGCCATGCTCCACGGGTTGCTTTTGAGGCCTTAGAGGTTAGATAGCAACGTTTTGTTTTATTAAATTGAGTTAAATTAATTTTTTCCAACGATTTTATTTGAGAGAAAGAGAGCACGAGCAGGGGGAGCAGCAGAGAGACAAGCAGACTCCCCACTGAGCAGGGAGCCTGCTGTGGGGCTCAATCCCAGGACCCTGGGACACACACGGATAGCCTGGAAGTAGAGGTGACCAGTGGTCAGGAGGAAGAGTACAGCAGTGGGAGGATGTGCCGTCTCAGGGCCCAGGGGACTGAGGGGGCCCCTTGGGAAGGTGGCTTTTAGAGAAAAACCAGAGGAGGCAGGAGAGGCATTCCGGGGATAGCGAGAACTTCCGGGTGTGGCAGGGAGACCAGAGGGCCAGGCCCCAGAGGCCCTAGGGAGAGTAGCATCAGGCAGGCCAAGACTAGGAATCATGGTGGGGACACTGATGTTTACCTGGAGCTCGTGGCAGATGAATGGACTGCTCAAGCTATGGTGTTGGTGGGCTCCTGCTCACGAAGGTGGGGCCCAGGTGATGGCGGCAAGGGGAGCAGGGGCTGCTGGCCCCCATGGCGTGCTGCAGGGTGGTGAGAGGTGATTGGTCTGGGACACACTGTGGACATGGGCTTGCTGGAGTTTCTGAGATCAGGTCGGGGGCCCCCCCATTGCTCATAAGTCACGGGGAGGTAGGGAGATGAGTTCAGCAGATGTGCTATGGATGGCCACAGTCTCTTCTGCTGTTGTCACTAGATCCAAGGGCTCCCAGTGCATCTGTTGGAGAGCACGTTCTGCCACAAGGGGAGACCCTAGAGCCAGTGGAAAGAAGCCAAGAAGACTTCCCTAGGACCTGGGCCCAAGCTGACCCTGGAGGCCGCCTCCCTTCTTCCCTCCCATGTCTGCCCACTCCAGGGTAAGTTGTCTGTGGGAGGTGCGGGGTGCTGAGGGTGAAGGCCGGCGGGGAGCAGTGACAGAGCCCTTAGCAGCCACGCTCACAGCCTTTGGACACCTGCTGGGCGCCACTTCTGTATTCCCTGGTGTGGTGTGCAGTGGCCGCTGGGAGACGGTCCCAGTCTGTGCCCAAGGAGACGTGTAGGTAGGTTCCAGGGAACTGATAGAAGCCTAATGTTTTCATGTTAATAATCATTTGTGTCTTTGTGTATTTTGAATCACAAAATATTCCATGGAGAGTAGAAAGTGCAGAAACTGCAGCTGAGCACAAATAGGGGCTTCCTGCTCCTCCCTGGTGAGAGACCGTAGCCCGTGGTAGACGGTGTTTTTTGTGGTTTTCAACTCATTTTCTCTTAAAAATCTCTGAGGCCCAGCACACACTAACCTGCCACCCATGGTCCTTTTCACATGAGCCCTCACTGCCCTGAGGCAGGATGGAGGTCACAGGTACGTGTCCTTGAACTTGACCTAGGCAGTCCCTTCTTTCTGGCTCCTTTGGCTCATAGTTTGGTTGGTGAGATTTATCCACATTATTGTTTTTCATTTTTCTTGAAATTGTTTAAAAAATCTACGATGCCTGGATATGTGTTTGTTTTTTTTTTTAAGTACAGCAGTAATGGTGAGAAGTGCAAGGTCTGGTGCCTGGCTCCCCACAGGGGCCTCCGCCAGCTGTAGTACCCTTCCTCACCATGGCCCGGGCCCTTAATTGTCCGTGTGCGCTCTTGCGTGGCTGCTTTTGCTCCTGCAGCACAGATGGGACCGCAGCGTGCTCGCGTTGGGAATGTGTGCGCATCACCTCCTGTCGAGCAAGTGGCTCACAGGTTTGCATGGATGTTTGCCTGCTGACACGTGTTATGGTGCTTTCCTGCTGTTTTTGGAGACTTCTGGCTTTCTGCCCCTTGCCCATGGGACAAGCTCTCTGTGCTGCGCGCCCATCTGCAGAGGATGGGGTCCCACTGCCCGGCCCCGAGGGTGCTCACTGCTGCAAGATGGGGCTCCTGTGTGCTCTGCCCTGACCGCTGCTCTGCATGCTGCTATGTGCCTGCTGAGACAGCACCAGCGTGTCCCACCAGATGAGCCAAGTCCTTGTTCCTCTTGGGTGGGGCATGGTGTGGTTAAGTTCTGCACAGCTCCGCGTCACTGTCAGAAGCCGTGGTGCTGGGGCTCCCTGGTCACTCATGTGGTCACTCATTACCTCATTCATTCCCTCGTTTGTCATTCATTCATTTCCTCCCTTATTCCCTCCCTCATTCATTTATTCACTCATTCATTTTCTTCCTATTCCCTCCTTCCTCCTTCCCTCCTTCCCTCACTCACACACACACTCATTCACTCCCCCATTCTCTCACTCATTCAATCCCTAATTCACTCACTCCCTCATTCATTCACACAAAGCTCATTCATTCACTCAATCCCCATTTCACGCATTCACTTATGCACATGTTCATTCACTCCCTCGTTCATTTACTGCCTTATTCACTTGCTTATTCATTTACTTATTCACTCCCACAATGCTCATTCACTCCCTTGTTCACTCACTCCATTCCTTCACCCATCCACATGCACATGCTCATTCACTTCCTCATTCAGTCATATTCACATGTTCACTCACTTACTCACTCATATACGCATTCATTCACTTATTCCTTTACTCCCTCATTCATTCACTCACTCATGTGCTCACTCCCTCACTCACTCCCTCATTCACTCACTCACTGCTAGCTCATTTACCTACTAACTCATTCATTCTGTCATTCACTCACTCATTCCCTTGCGCACTCATTCATCACTCACGCAGCAAACATTGCAAAAGTCTTGAAGACTCATCCCTAAGACATAATTCTTTAGCAGAAAATGAGCTGGCCCAGTAAACCTAGTGAGACTGGGAGGTGAGAAGGCATGTCAGAAGCATGATGTAAGCGGTGTCTTATGTCCGGGGGACTGGGGTAGTGCTAGCTCCTGATTCTTCCCCAGTTCTCCTAGGAGACCTGGGAGTTCAGCCTTACTGCTTGTAGCCAGTTGGTAATGAAGTTAAGATTGTTAGACTGTAGGTCAGGTGTTATGACCTTGAGTGAATTGCCTCTCAGACAAGCTCATGGGGGTCTCAGGTCCCCATGGCACCTCTGCTTAGGCAGTTGAGTAGAGTGGAGGAGGGAGGAGGAGAGGAGCCTCCCCTGTACTTAAAGTCTCTCCCAGAAGCCTACTTATTGCTTCTTGTCTTTACCTTGGCCAGAATTTAGTGATGCTCCTGGCTACTGGGGAGGTGTAGGGATGGGATGTGGGGGCAGTGTCACCTATGGCCTGCCTAACCCCACACACCCATTTCAGAGGGTCAGCCTGCCCGCCCTGGGTCCTGATGCCGCATGCCCACCTCGGAGGGGCAGTCCGAACTGCTCTGGGGCCCGACCCCGTGTGCCCACCTTGGGGGGCTTTTCCGCACTGCCCAGGGCCTGACCCCACGTGCCCACCTCGGAGGGTTTCTCCACACTGCCCTGGGGCCTGACCCCCATGTGCCCACCTCAGGGGGCTTCTCTGCACTACCCTGGGCCTGACTCTGTGTGCCCACCACAGAGGGGTGGGCTGCATTGCTTAGAGAGGGGAGTGAAACCTTTCTGCCTCATCTTCTGACCTTACAAAAGATGTGCTGTTCCCTGGGGACTGGCACAGGGCTGGTCATTTGCTGGGGTGGCGTGGGGCGAATGGATAGAGATAAAGAGATGTAGCAAGAGACATAGATGGTTTTTGCCTGATCTCTGCATGCCCTTGTCCCACCTCTCAGTTTCCCCAGAAAACTGCTGCTGCCCCTCAGTGCCTGGCTCACAGCTCTCTCCTCTGTGGAACTTGACTGTGTGTTGGGTCCTTCTCCCCTGTGCCTCTTTACAAACCTCTGGTCACCAGCACTTCTGCCTCTGGTGAGGCTGGGCATGGCCACATTCTGTGGGTGTCGGTGCTGGCATTGGGCCTGGGGCTGACCCCAGGCAGGAGCTCAGTGGATCTGTCATGTGGGGCAACCATGGCCGGGCCTGCTGCAAGGGGGGGTTTCCACCTAGCGCCCTGGGCTCTGCGATTGCCCTTTGGCTCTGAGGTGGCCTCTCCCTCAGTGGCCTCCCTGCTAAGCATGCTTGTGAGCTTGTGTCCCAGCTCTTAGGAACCAGTCAGCCCCCGCCCTGTATGAGGCCTTGCCCTTGCAGCCTGCTCCTTCTTGTGCCAGACTCTGTTTCCTGTCGGCTGTGACCCCGATGGCATTTGTAGCCAGTCACATGTCACCATTGCATGGTGCAAAGAATGCACAATCTCTTTCCTTTCTGCCTGCACCCCCCAGACCCCCTGTGGGTGGGCCAAGGCCAGCTGCACAGCTGTCAGGAGCCCCATGCACCACGAAATGAGAATGCTGAGCAAAGCCCTGAGCACATGGTCCTGGGTGCTCAGTGCTCTGCATCTGGGCCAAATCGTCGCCAAATGGTGACTTATCTGTGAGTTGGTCTTAGTTTATGGTGTTAAATGCTTTGTGCTGGTCTCTAATACAGGGCGATCCATGTGATCTCTCCTCTTGATTCTTCTGTGGCCCCTAAGTAACTACGTCATCCATGTTATAATTCTCAGAGTGGACAGTATCCTAGAAGGAGGCCCACCAGCCCAGGAACGGTCCTCACCCGAGGACCAGCGAGACATCCCAGAAGGAATCCCACCAGCCCAGGAAAGGTCCTCACCCGAGGACCAGCGAGACATCCCGGAAGGAATCCCACCAGGCCAGGAATGGTCCTCATCCGAGGACCAGCGAGACATCCCGGAGGGAAGCCCACCAGACCAGGAATGGTCCTCACTTGAGGACCAGCGAGACATCCCAGAAGGAAGCCCACCAGCCCTTACTCAACAGTCATCACCCAAAGACCAGCCGAATCCTCTTTTGGAGAAAGAGAAATCTGCAACCCCAGAGAGCCAGAGACAGGATCTTGTGGAAAGAAGTGGGTCTGACCCAGTGGACACATGGATGTCTGCTTCCTGTGAAGCATCTGAGGACAGGAGCGGGCAGACTGAAATGAGTAGGCTGTATCAGGAGGCACAGCCAGAGTGGACAAGTTCGAGCAGTGCCCATCATTCAAACTGTTGGGTTGATTCCTTCACGTCCAAGCCCCATGCCACAGGCCAGCTGGCAGGGGAGGGCCTCCTGCTGCCCTGCCCTGGATATGGGGGTGAGCAGAGCACGCAGTCAGGAAGCCCCCCCGGGACAGCACGACTCCCGTTCTCCACACCTGCCCTAGATGAGCTGTGGGTGGCCGTGGAGAATGACCGCGAGGAGCTACAGACCTGCTTGATTAAGGAGCAGCTGTCCAAGTTGAGCCTTGTGGGACCGCTGGGAGTCTCCTACACTGAGCTGGCCCCAGCAGAGCACCCCCGATGCTCTGCCCCTGTGTCCTTGTGTGACCTGGGAAGCAGAGGCCTGTCTAGCCGAGCGGGCAGCTCCTCAGCCTGCTATGCTCTGGCCACAGACCTCCCTGGTGTCCGGGACACAGTACAGGCCCAGGAGGCTGATGGGAATGCTTTCTCCTGGAACCTCAAGGAGCTCTTTCTCGATGAATGGACAGATCGAACTTCCTCCAACTGTTCCTACGCCACGTCTGAGCTTGTGGGGACGCCGTCTCCTTCGCCGGTGGGCTCTGATGCAGACATGAGTGGTCTGCACTGGCAGGGATCCGATGTTCTGGATGACCGAGAACTGCTGCTCCTGACTGGCACTTACTTCGATCTTGGGGAGGCTCGGCAGTTTCACGAGAGCCATCTGGTGCCGGATCTGGTAGAGCCCTCTGAGACGTGTCTGGTGTCCTCGGAACACTATGAAGTCAGCGGCAGAGAGAGCCATGCCTGTATCCTTCCCACGCTGGGGGCTGGCCCCGTAGATGTGTGTCCAGCAGAAGAGCCCCGGCTAAGCTTCCAGGTCACCTCAACGCCTGTGAGAGCGGACAGCCCAGCGACATCTGGGGCCACCTGCGTGCAGCAGGAGATCCAGGAGGGGACCTATGCCGGCAGCTGCCACCACCGGGACGGAGCTCAGCTGAGTACGTGCAGGGGGGCTTGCCCTGGAGCCCCCGTGGGAGGCTGCCGCAGAAGCATGGTGTGGCCGGGGTGGGGCCTTCCTTGTCCTATGGTCTGATGCCGCTACAACCCCCCCAACCCAATAGTTTCAGCTGCAGTGTGAGGGTTTTGTAGTGATAGGTCATCTCTTAAAAAATTAGGGATTAGAGTTATAAGTGCCTGTGCATGGGAAGGGCACAGCCTGAGGTCCCAGCTGCTTCTGCGTCCCTCCTTGGAAGCCACTGTGTGTACCATGGTCAGCCAGGGTGGCCCCTCGTGTGCTGCTGGGCTTCAAGCTGCTGCTGCCAGGTGCATCTGCTCCAGGAGGGGTGTCAGGATCAGGTCCCTTTACTTGCTTCTTGGAGCTGATTGATTATCTTTGCTGTACTTTTCTCCATATTTCCCTAACTTCTTAGCAGATCTGTGTCACGTTAGCCAGTTGTGTCCTTACTGCTGACTTCAGGCTTTCCCCCTAAACTTTAAAAAGTTATGCAAATATTATATGTTATTTGTAGAAAGACTAGAAAATGCCACCAAAAAGAACATAAAATACCCTGTAAATGCCCCCTAAAGATAACCCCATGTTTGTTCTGGTATGTATGTTGGAGGCTGTGAAAATACCCATGCACATGCAGGAAATGGCCTCGTATGAATGTTCATGTGTGGCCATGGTCAAGGCCGTCCACAGACCTGGCAGCAGAAGGCAGACATGGTGCGGTGTAGGGGGTGGTGTCCAATGCGGGTTTCCAGGCTTTTTCCCTGTCCAAGTGTGGGCATCCCCGCCCGACCCTGCATGGGTGCTCTGGGGGACTGTGCATCCTTGGCCGGGCCGCCGCTGCTGTGCTGACCTCCCCTGCCCTCCAGGTGTGCAGTTTGAGGTGAAGCGGGTAGAGCTCCAGGGCTCCTCGACCCTGTTCTGCTGCTGGCTCGTGAAAGACCTGCTGCACAGCCACTGGGACTCGGCCACGCGCACGCGCCTGCTCCTGGCCAGCCTGCCCAGCTCCAGCCACTCCATGTGCGAGCTTTCTGGACCCAGCGTAGGGGAGGTGGGGGTCTGTGCTCAGCTCCTGCCTCGTATCTACCTCGTGGTGTGGGAAGGGGTCCTGCCGGGCCTTTCTGTCTTTCTTTCCTCTGCTTCCTCTGGGATGGGAGGAGGATCCTTCTAGGGCTTTTTCACCATGCTTGCTGGTGTAGTGGGTGAGTCTGAAGCCATACGTGGGATTTGAAACCTGTTTGCCCTGTGTGCTGGGTGGGGTCTTGGCATGTGTGCCAGTTTGGGTGGACTAGGAGAGCACTTCTCAGGCCAGCCCCCCTGGGACACAGGAGGAGCAGGGTGCGGGAATAGGGGACTGGTGACGTGGCTCTGCTTGCTCTTCCTTTTTTTCCTCTGGTCACATGTGGCCCCTCAGGCAGCCCATTTCATCCACAGATACTCAGAAGCAAGCCCTGGTTTGAGGAGCCCCCGAAGGCTGTGGAGCTGGAGGGGCTGGCGGCCTGTGAGGGCGCCTACTCCCACAAGTACAGCACGCTGAGCCCGCTGGGCAGCGGTGCCTTTGGCTTCGTCTGGACTGCGGTGGACAAGGAAGCCAACAAGGAGGTACTTGGGCTCTTGGGCTGTGTTCAGTAGTGGGGGCCCTGCTCAGATGCAGCCATGCCCTCAGTGCCTCTGTGTCCAAACTCTCGGATTGCCGTGACAGAGGAGTCCTCTGTGGAGCACCCAGCACACGGGCCAGCCCAGGTGGGGCTCTGGTCTTGGAGGGCCCTCCCGCCAGCGCATGCAATCACGCCCAGCCGTCCTGCTCGCCACTTCAGATGCACACTGGGCTTCACACCGTGTCCTTTCACTCAGAGGCTGATGTCGGGGGTGGGTTTTCAGGCTGAGACCTAGCTGCCCTCCTCCCAAGTCCTGTTGGGATTGCACTTGTAATTGAGCGTTTTGAGATTTGAGGGAGTCAATGTGGTGGCACTCTTGCTTGTCCCTGCAAATACTGTGACACTGCCCAGCTGTTCCTGTGCTGCCTGCTGAGTTCGAGGTGCCATACGTGCTGGGGTCCTTTGACTGCATGGGGTCTGATCACTTACCGCTGGCCTTTACCCGCTGAGTGTCTGTGTTAAACGCTTCACCTTCCCTCACCTGTCTGCCCGGTTCTGACATGTTTCCCGTGGGTCCTTCAATGTTCTAGGTGAGTGGCCAGTCTCCTGCAGGGAGGCCAGCTCTGTCTTTCCTTCTATGTGGTCTGTAGCCTGCCGGCCTCTGGGACCCAGGGCCGTTTTCAGGAGCAGGCTAGCTGTCGGCTCTCCTGCCCGGTCATCGTCAGTTGCTGTGGCTCCTTTCTAAAGATTTTATTTATTTATTTGAGAGAGAGGAGAGAGAGAGAACGCATGCAGAGGGAGAGGCAGCCCAATGAGCTCACCGTCCATGGTGGGGAGCAGGGAGCTGAGTAGGGAGCCCGATGCAGGGCTTGATCCTGGGACCCTGGGATCATGACCTGAGCTGAAGGCAGATGCTTAACTGACTGAGCCAACAAGGCACCCTTGTTCTGTTCTTGATGGAGACCTTCTGCTGGGGATATTTCATTTTATTTTCAGCTCACTGAAATTTTTCTTGAAGAATGAGTATTGAGTTCTATCAGATGTCTTTTCAGCCTCTGTTGAAATGATCATACTCTCATTTTCTTTATTAATATAATGAATAACACTAATCAACTTACACCCATAGAACCAATCCTTGGTTATAATATTCTTTTAATCCTTGGTTATAATAATTCTTTTGGTTTGCTAATATTTTTACTTGGGATTTTTTTTCATTTGTATTTTGTGCATCAGTTTTCTTTCTTCCTTCCTTCCTTCCTTCCTTTCTTTCTTTTTTATGTCAAAGTTACAAGAGGCCAGTAGAGTTGGCACCCTTTTTGCACATCAGCACGTACAATGATATGTCCGCGGCTGCTTCTGTTCCCTTGGCTGGTCTGATTCTTTTTTTTTTTTCAGTTTTTTTATTTATTTGACAGATCACGAGTAGGCAGAGTGGCAGGCAGAGAGAGATGGGGAAGCAGGCTCCCTGCTGAGCAGAGAGTCTGATGAGGGCCTCGATCCCAGGACCTTGAGATCATGACCTGAGCTGAAGGCAGAGACTTAACCCACTGAGCCACCTAGGCGCCCCGGCTGGTCTGATTGTGTCCACGCTCTCTCATCTTTGCTAGACTTGTTAAAGAATTGTCTGCTTTATTCATCAGATATGTGTTTTGTTTTCTTATACTTTCTGCGAGTTAATTTGGCTATATTTCCAGCGTATTGGGTTGAACATGGTTGTTGGACTGTTACTAAGTAACAGGGCACTTCCAGGGTACGTCTTCTGAGCCCACGTTGGTTGCCTTCCTGAGGCCATGGTGTATGCTGCTCGTGCTGTCACGTGTTTATAGGGGGTTTAACTCTCAAGTTTATGTTGCTGTCTCTAATCTCTGTGAGGCAGGTCCATTCTTGATTGAGTCAGGAACATGAAAGACTATAGGGTTTCTGTAGACCTCTAGACCTCAAGGAAGAAGAAAGAAACTTGAGAGCTCTTCTCTTGGTTTGAAAAGAAACACACGAGTCTTTTTGCATCTCAGAGCCCAGAGATGCCAGCTTCCGTATTACCGGGCCCGCAGGTGATTCCGGAAAGCCGTCCATCAGAACATGGCCCCGTAAGGTTGAGGCCACCGTTGGGGGACAGAGCACAGTTCTGGATGCTCAGTCTGTGGGGCAGTTGGTGGCACTGCTGTCCTCACAAAGCAGTTGTGATGACCCACGACCTGAGTGTTTCTCCCAAGTGTATAGATCTTTATGTTTCTCTCAGAGTGTTCTGTGGTTTTCGGTGAGTTTCTGAAACCTGCATTATTTCTATATCCGGTTTCTTGCCTTTCTTGTGTCTAGTTTTCGTTTGCTGGAATATTGGTTACTACTAACGTGGGTGTCACATGTCACGTCCTCACACGTATTCTGACTAGTTTGTTCCCCTCATGTGTTCTTGGTGATCCACACGGTTTCTCTCTGAGCACGTGACCTATGCTCTGTGGCCTCTAGCATGCTTGTGAAGAGCAACCTGGTGTTTTTTCTTTCTGAATTTTTTTCTTTTAATCTTTGGAGTTCAGAAATTTCCCTAGGATGTATTTCTGTGTGTGCATGTGTTCTTTATTCTTGCTTGGTGCTTGGTAATACTTTGATCTGAATGTTTAAAGCTTTCTTTACCTCAAGAGGATTTATTCTTTTGTTCTGTTAATCCTTTTCCTTCTTTCTAGCTCTGTACTTTGTCCCTGAAGCCCCCTGTAGGTGTGTTCTGAGGCTCCCAGCAGCAGCCTTCCCTCACCCCTCCTTGAACCCAGCAGTGGGGTGGGTAGCAGGCCTCTCTGCCTCCAGCCTCGGCCTCCACACCCCCCACCTGTCCACACTCCCCGGTGCCAGGATGTCGGCCTTGCTTCCCTCGTCCTCTTGCCTTCTCTCACATGCCTCCTCGGCCTGTGGAATCAGGGAGCCCTCTCTTGGCACCATCTTCAGGATTTGACCTCTTGTCAGCACTGATGGCTGGCGCTGAGCCATCCCCTTTGTTGTGTGGTCGCCGTGAGGCCTGACTGGGCGCTGTGGATGCCCCTCTCTGTCCCTTCCGCCTCTGTGTGCCCCTTCCCGCTGCCCGGCTGCCCTGCCGGCGGGCCTCTCGTCCCTGCTCACCCGAGCTGCAGCGCACATGTGTTGGCTGTCCCCACCATGGACGGTGAGCTCATTGGGCTGGACTCATGGGTCATCTTGTGGGGTCTCCAGCGGAAGCGTGGGGTGGGCCTGACCTGCAGTTCCTGCTCACCGTGTGCCCCCGGGCCCCGTGCCCATTCTTCCCCAACAACCAGTGCTCTGCTGAGTGGCTTACGGTGCTCGTCTTCCTGATGTGCGGCCTCTCCACCCTGTGACATCCCCGTGTCCTGTGATGCGTTCTCTTGTATTGCTGTGTCCGTTGGTTTTGTTGGGCTCCCCTCAGCTCCCAGAGGATGCGGTTGATGGCCTGGGTCTGTGTTTTCCAGTTCTCCGGCCTCCTCTTTCATTTCCTCTATCAGGGCTCTAGCCCTCAGTTGTGACCTGGGGGTGATGGGGGTGATGGGCCCCTCCACCATGCGCTTCCGTCTCCTCAGCCTCACCCTTCCATTCCTTGTGCTGTGTGTGGGGGTGGGGTGGGGGGGGCGCTCCTGGGTTTCTTCTCTCCCGTCCCTGGGATTCAGGGGGAGGCCCACTCAAGGTTTGTGTCTACGGAGCTGGCGGTGGGCGCCACGCTCAATGGAGTGCCAGAGACATGCTGGCAGCCACTTTCCCCCCATCTTCCTCATAGGTGGTGGTGAAGTTTATTAAGAAGGAGAAGGTTTTGGAGGATTGTTGGATCGAGGATCCCAAACTTGGGAAAGTTACTTTGGAGATTGCGATTCTGTCCAGGGTGGACCACGCCAATATCATCAAGGTGGGGTGCCGTTTGTCATTTAGTGGTACCCTGACGTCACTCCCATGAACCGTTGTTAAATGTTGTCCTGAGGGCGCCTTGGCAGGCCCCAGACCTGACTTTTTCTTTTTCCAGGTTTTAGATGTATTTGAAAACCAAGGGTTCTTTCAGCTGGTGATGGAGAAGCATGGCTCTGGTCTGGACCTCTTTGCCTTCATTGACCTCCATCCCAACCTTGATGAGCCCCTGGCGAGTTACATCTTCCGACAAGTGAGCAGGCTGGAGCCATGCTGGGGAGATTGTGGGCTTGGGCTGGAGTCCCTGGGCTGCTGACATGCATGGCTCACATGTACTTCTTTCTGTGAGCTGGGCTCTAGCCTTCACATTTTGGATTTTATGGAGTAAGATCTATATTAAGATACATGGGGGAGCCCAGATGCTGTCCTGGACTGATGAGGGAAGTATGTTTAATGATTAAAACTTACTTATATTCATACAATATCCACACCAGTTGCAAAACTTAGGCAATGAAGCGATCAGGTTAGGCTTCGAGGCCTGTGTGTCTGATTTGAGCCCTCGTCTCTCAGCAAGAAACCATTGCTAAATTGTATGCAAGGATCATTATAGGGCTGATGAGGGAAGGCTGTGCGTTCAGTCCAAAAGAGCCTCTGAGGCACCCACTGTGTATGGGATGGTCCTGTGCTCAGTGGATGAGAGCAGTCCTGCTGTCCAGCTAAGTGAGGTAATCAGGAAAGGTTGAGATTCTAGCAACCTTGTTTCACAACATTTATTTTGGTCTCTTTCATGTCTGCTTATATGTTGATCTTGTCCACTTATTATTTTGTTGGCATGGGAGAGTGACAAGCAAAATAGAAAGGCATCCTGGAGACAAAGAGGCTGGGAAGTGGGTGGAGAGGAGACAGTTGTTCCTGTGAGTTTTTAGGAGAAGGTTAGGTGTCCCAGACTATTCCCAGCTCCCTGGAAACAATGGAGAACTACCTGGAAAGGGGATATTCGTATATACTGTTCCCATACTTGCTCACCAGTTGTTTCCTGGTGAGGACTTGATATCTAATGCCAGTTTGCATAAGTTGACATTTCTTACTCAGAGCTATAAATTCCTAGAAGCTATTGGATTTCTGATATTAAGTTTCCCAGGCACCTACTGTAAATTTCAGGCATCATGGTTCTGCTCAAAGACTGTCCCCTTTCTCCCTCTTTCTGTGTTGCAAGATTATATACCCGTCTACTGTAATGCATGGTAAAAATTTGTTTCTGAAATCTTCACGGCAGGCAGACTGTAAGATGTAACAAGAGTCACTTGTTGAAAGCTGCTTTCTCTGAGTTGTTAATTCTGGGTCTATTGATTTGGTAATTATAGGGTCCTATACTTTCTAATTTTGCAAAAAGTCTCTTCCAAGTAGTCCCTCTGTAAATTTATATATGTAAGTGCTATTATATGTAAGTAGGGATTCACAATTTTATAGAAAAATATCATCATATGCCACTGTCTACAAACAGTGCCAGTGACCAGCCCCAGGTCCAATGCGTCTGGCCATTCACAGACCAGCTCTACTGGGCGGCAGGGGTACCCGAGGGCCTGTGGGAAGAGGGGCTTCTCTGTCTGGACTCAGGTTCTCTTCAGACCTTTGTGGTGAATCCCTTGCTGCCAATTAATAAGCTTCCATGAAACTTTCACGTTCAGATTAATACGCAGTTTCTCTTCTCAGCTGGACCCTGGCATGTATGTGTGCACGTGTGTGTGTTTGTGTACATACGTGTGAGTGTCTGGGTGTGCACATGTGTGTATCTGTGCATGCATGGTTGTGTAGATCAGTATGCAGGTATGTTTTTGTTCGCATATATGTGCATGTAAATGTGTGTTTGTTTACTAGTTGTAAGTTAATTAATGGGGCACAGTTAACCCACCATTAACTGTAGCCTCTGATTCAAGGGTATTCACTTGTAAACATAAAATTGTCTCTAATCAAAATGACCATGTCCATGAAGACACTATGTTGATTGGTATGATTGGTGTCCAAATTGTGAATACAGTCAGAAATTTTACTCATCTCATTTAAACTTAACCAGAAGCTTCCTTATGTTCCTCTCTGTCATCAGACGTTGTGTAGGCTTCTCTGGTCTGGGCAGATAGCAGTTGTCGCTGTTCCCTTCCAGAGTGGGGATTGTTGCACTTGGCTTGCTGGAACAAAGCCCACTTCCAGGGGAATCACTTTACATGCCTATGGACGAGAACCCCACGCATGCTGGGGCTCGAGTGGCTGATGCCGGGGGCTGCCCCCCGAGAAACCACTAGAGACCAGAGGTGGGGGTTTGGAGACGTGGCTTCCGCTCTCAGCTCTGCCCCTCAATGCTGCATGAACTCTGGGCAAGATGCTTTCCTTGCATGTGAACCAAAGGTGTCATGCTCAGTCTTTCTCTAGGGCCGCCTCCCATTTCACACCGAAACCACACTCATGGAAGCACCCACCACGTGTCTTTGTAGCTTTTGCTTGTGGTCAGTCTGTCCTTCCTCCTGAGATTGTCACTCTGTGTGTTGAGGGGTGAGTGACGCTTGTCTGTAGCCCACGGAGAGAACCTGAAAATCACGTATTTGTGCTGGGGGACAAGTGGGGTGTTTGTGGGAGGGCATGAAGTGTCAGTTAGGCCAGACTAAGTCCTATTTCATTGCTAACGTTAATGTGTTGTATACTTAACAATGTGCTGAGTGTCCTTTCTGCTACTAATGAGAATAATGAAATTTTAAGGAAGAATCCTGCCCTGGTGCATGCTGTTGCTGGGGGGTGCAGCCTGCCTGGACCTGCATCATGCCGGCTGAGCTGGATTGGGTCTGCACGTCCAGGGTTCTTTCCTGCCACTAGTTCATGAGGAATTAGATAAGAGGTGTTTTTCTTTGTTGTTTTGTCCTGTTTTCAAGTTAGTCCTTATCTTAGATGCCTGTTTTCCTTGAATTGCCGGGTTGCAGCTAGTGGCGGCAGTGGGCTACCTGCGCTCCAAGAACGTCATTCACCGGGACATCAAGGACGAGAACATCGTCATTGCCGAGGACTTCACAATCAAGCTCATCGACTTTGGCTCTGCCGCCTACTTGGAGAAGGGCAGACTGTTTCACACGTTCTGTGGGACGATCGAGTACTGCGCCCCTGAAGTCCTCATGGGAAACCCGTACGTACGGCGCCAGGCTGCGGCCAGACCTCACATCTTCCGGGGGTACCACAGGACTGCTTGGAGTTTAGGTGGAAGAACGGTTTCCGCTGGTGCCTCTTCATGACACAGGCTGTGGAGTGTTGATAAAGGTCTTGGTCCCAAGTGGGCAGACCAGCAAACTATGGTGGGCTAAGGGGAGGTAGGCCATGGCCACCGCTCTTTGTTGTGTTACATTCTCAACTCTTATGTGTGTTTGGAGTTTTATGTAATTGGATCTTTGAGAATAAGATGAAAGATCAAGATAGGAGGCCCAAAAGTTGAGACTCTTCAAGTAGGAGGAGAGGGTCTCTCTTCAGCTGGGTTTAGTCATGGCGATGACAGGCATAATAGCCAATTCCAGTAACAGGTGGCTGGGCTGGCAGCCCGTGACATCCAGCATCACAGGCACAAGTGCAGAGGACCCATGTCGGCCTGGACCTAGTTGGCCTTCCTGCTCCCACCAGGGGGACAGCGTGTCCCTGCCCCGGAGCCTGTGGGCTGCTGGGGGCCCTGGGCGGTGCTCAGGAAACCCTTCTCCTGTCATCTCCATGTGCACCCAGAACCACCAATAGGACATATTGAAGGGGGGTAGTCCCGGAAGGGCCTTGGGAGTTTCTCTAAAGATGTAATTTGATCAGCCTGGTGCCCACAGCATGCTGTTGGCTGCTGTCTTGTCCCTTGGTGGCCATTGGAGTTGGAGAGGGCCACCTGTCCTGTCCACAGGACCCTAACATGTGCTGTGTGGCTTGTCTGTTCCCCACCTCACCCCCTGCACCCGGGCTGGGATGCCCCCATGGGGGAGCACAGGGTGATGGTTCCTCTCAGTGCTGCTCAGAGACCTCTGGTCCTCCCCGGGGCGTCCCCACCTTCTCCTGGAGCACCTGCCCTGATGTTTCTCTAAACAACATGAAAATAGAAAGTGCTGAAGGGGGTTTTCTTGCCCCAGCTCCTATGGCCTCTTGTCCTCCACGTTCCTCACGTCTATCCTCCTGACCCCCCCCCCATCCTGGTCTTCGGCCTCATGATGTTCTGGGCCCTCTCTTCGCTCACAAGTGTCTCTTAGCCACGCTCTCTGACTCCGTGGTCTCTGATCTCTGGGCCAGAGCTGAGTGACCAGCCGGCTCCCGGGCAGCTTGGCTGTAGCGCCACACTTCTCTGTAAAGTGAAGTTGCCATTTCTTGGGCAGCTGTGGGGCTTAGGGTAAGAGTGCGGCCATCTTACAGGTGCCAGTGCACGGAAGCTGGGTGAGGTCCATCCTTACAGTGACAAAAGATGGCAGCAGGGCCCCATTGTACCCTGGTCCCCAGCCTATTGCCCAGTTGGCCCAGCCTGGACCCCTCTGCCGCCTCCTTCACCCTCTCTAGGTGGCTGCTGTTGCCTTGACCCTCCTTCTGCTCCTGTGTGGACTGGAGCCTACCCTCTGCTGTGCCTTCTCTCCACCTCCTCCAGGAACGACCCCCATCAGGAGGTGCTCTGCTCTCACGTGCTGTACACCCTCTTATCTGGTGGTGGGCATCTCTCAGCTGCCCGGACGTGAAGCCTTGCTTTTGTTTCCTCCCCAGCATGTGGCTGGAGCATGGCTGGCTGGGGTGGAGGTGCTGGAATGGAGGGTGTAGTTGAGAAGGGCCACAGAACACGCTGAGGGCCACTGTCAGGGCTGCATGTGGGGCGAGCCGAGCCCCGATATGGCCCGAATGCCACCGCCACCTCCCCCTTGCAGATACAAGGGGCCAGAGCTGGAGATGTGGTCTCTGGGGGTCACACTGTACACGCTGATCTTTGAGGAGAACCCCTTCTGCGAGCTGGAGGAGACCATGGAGGCCACGATCCACCCCCCATACCTGGTGTCGGAAGGTAAGGGTGCCTGGTCCCCCGCCTCAAGCACGGCGACTCTGTCCATGCTGATAGCCTCATTGCTTTCTTTCTAGTCGTCAAACACTAATCTGAATAGAAGGGTAACTTGAATGTGACTAAACCCTCACAATAATTTTTTTTTAAAGATTTTATTTATTTATTTATTTGAGAGAGAGAGAAAGCACGTGAGCAGAAGTGAGGGGAGGAGAGAGACTGAGAGGGAGAAGCAGGCTCCCTGCTGAGCAGGGAGTCTGATGCGGGGCTCGATTCCAGGACCCTGGGATCGTGATCTGAGTCAAAGGCAGACACTTAACGCAGCCACCCACATGCCCCTGGTCTCTCTTCTTACAAGGACACTACTCCCATCACGGAGCCTACCTTCATGACCTCATGTGACCCTGACCGCTTCCCAGGCGCCACTGGGGGTTAGGGCTTCACCTAGGGGTGGGGGCAGATGTGGAGACAGTTCAGTCCCTAGCAGCCTAGAAGAGGGTTTTTGCAGCTTTGCTAAAGTTTGGGTTCCCATGAACTGTGCTTCCTGCAACGTGCTGTTCCACACACAAAATTGTTCCATGTGCTCTCTCACTGCATTCTCAAGATAATTCTGTGGGATGGTGAGGTCAGAGCAGCCCGGTTGAGAATACACCCGCATTGTTACAGGAAATGGGACCCAAATCTAGACTCAAGGCTGGGGTTCTTCTCAGAGCCCGTGCCGCCTCCCGAGGTGACAATGCAGGGCTTGCCTGCGGCCGCCTCCCTCCCCTCTCAGCACACAAACTTCATGTCATTGGAAGCTCTGCATGGCCAGAGCCCCGAGAGCAGCCTGAGCTCTGGAAGCTCCACATGGAGGTTAGGTGAGCAGGATGTGGGAGGTCCTGAACCCCACGCTTTCATTTCAGAGGGGACAAGCATGTCCTGCAGCTGGTCTCTGCGAGTAGCTGGGCCCATGTGCCAGAACCCCCAGTTTCTTGTCAGTGGAGGTTCCCAGGCCACTTCTTGCCAGTTGGAGGTACTCGTGGTGGGCAGACCTGGGACCTGCTGCTCTGAGACCTGTTCTTCTTGAACCCAAGCCCGGACCCACCATTGGTCTTCGGGCCACATGCCTAGGGTGGGTCTTTATGTCTCCAGATCTCATGAACCTCATGTCCGGGCTGCTGCAGCCTGTCCCCGAGCAGCGCACCACTCTGGAGAAGCTGGTGACAGACCCCTGGGTGACACAGCCTGTGAATCTTGCTAACTACACCTGGGATGAGGTGTGTCGCATGAACAAGCCAGGTAAGACGCATGACATGTGCAAAGAAGGTAAGGAGGAGTTTCCCAGGTGATCTTCCTGGGTCTGGGGAGGAGGCAGCTCCCTCCTCCATGCTGTCCTGGACACAAATGTCAGGGCCTGTAGCTGGCTTGTTACCTGTGGAACAAATGGGGCTTGATTCTGTTCCAGAGGTCCTTGAACATCACTGGGTCCTTAGAAGGTGGGTGAGCACCCAGGGGAGCCCCTGAGAAGGAGGCATGCACAGGAGGGGCTCGGGGCGTGGGCCAGAGGGTTTGAGAGCAGCCGGAGGTGGCCTAAGCCAGCAGAAGGGGAGGGTAAGGCTGCAGACAGCGAGGGACATGCTCTGAGGAGACCCAGGGGCCCTGGCTCTTCCAGTGAGGCTCCTGGCTGCAGAGCTGGTGGCAGTAGGCTGGTGTGTGTTGTTGCTGCTGCTCAGGGTGGGTGGACCCAGCTGGTGTTGGGGGGTCCAGGCATAGACACCCCGCAGCACCCTAATGGGGGCCGGGGACACTGCAGCAGTGCCAGGCGAGTTCTCGAGGGCCCTGCAAATGTCTTTTGTTCCTAGAAATTCTACCAGAGAGAAGCAAGTGTTTTAGGATCTTGTGTTAACACCCAATACAATGTCATCTTCTTTCTTAGAAAGCGGAGCGCTGTCCGGTGTGAGCCTGGAGACAGAGAGCAGGTGTGCCAGGGAGGTGGCGTGGGCGCTGGAGCCCTGAGGGGCCTTGTGCCCTACGGGAGACCCCTGAGAAGCCAACTCCAGTTCCCCGCTGCTCTTCATCATTCGCTCATGATCAAGGTGTTTTCAAGCCCCATCCAGGCAAAGAAAGTAAATTCACAAGCATTAGGCCCAATTCACCTTATAAAAACTCCCGTGCAAGTTTGAGAAATGCTAGGACAAAAACCAGTGGTGTTACCAGATTTTAGGTTTATAAATAGACTTGGAATTCATTTTTCACATGACCTTGGAAAAGCATTCTAGTGTTCGGTTGAGTTTTGCGCTGTTAAAGGGCTTTTATTTGTCAACTTAAGAGTCTTTAATCTTTCTGATTTTGTATATATGCATGTGTGTTTGTTTCCCCTGACTCGACATGTGCTCATCTCATGTGTGGAGTTTGTAGAACTGATTAGCCAGATGACCAGACTATTTCATTAACTTATTTTTTTGAACATTTCCAAATTAAAGTAATTTTGTAGTGAACCATGACTATGACTGAACTGTTCCACGATGCTGGTGTGGGAGCATTTCATTTATGTTTACCTTTGTGTACCCGCACCTGCCCTCACTGGAGAGGGTTCAGCCTCCATCAGCTTGGGGGTCCCTCCCCTGGGTGGGCCCCGAGCCCTGCAGCTTGTTCAAGAAGGCTGGGTGGGGACCAGCTGTCCTTAGGCACGTCCCTTCTCCTCTGCTCACTGCTCCAGCCCACCCTCCGTCTGGGTCCTGCTGCCCACCCTGATGCCCTCCCCACAACCTGGATATCCAGCCCGTAAGTGCTGGGCGTCCACCCCTTTCTCCTTCCCATCTGGTTTAGGTGCCTGGGGGTCTCTAGCACACTTAGATGTCTCCTCCCTTCCAGGCTCCAACCCACACTGTCTGAAACAGGATCAAGAATCTCAAGGAGCAGGTGCAAAGCAGCCTTTATTTGATCTGTGTTGGAGGGGAGGGAGTGGTTAGAAGTAAAAGGGACACCTTTCATTCTTTTCCTTGCTAAGAACAGAAGAAGAGAAGAAAAAACTTAAGACGCCCCCACCCCCTCTCCACCACATCATCACTCTCCGCAGGGTGAAGGCTCTGGCAGAGTCCTCAGGAAAATGCTCATGGGCCACGCAGCTTTGGTCAAGTTCTGTGCTCGTTTTCTGCTGTTCGTTTGGGGAGCACTCAGCTGTCTCTCAATATCTCAGGACGCTCAGACAGCAGTTAACTCCCGACCTTGAGGCGAGGGGCTACCACCCTGCCCTTCCTTTGGAACGCACTGCGTGAGTCCCTGCCCTCCGCGAGACTGGCTGATATAGCAGGGGGAGAGGCTGCAGAGGCGTGGATTTCAGGAGCACATTTTGTGAAGTGCGTAGTAAGAAGTGACGTTTACTCTTCAGAATTAAAATTAATTTCATGATATCCTAAGAACTCTTCTCCAGAGTGAAAAAACTCAAGGGTTTTCCTTGTAGTATTTACGATGCTTGTAACACCTTTAACAAGTTACAGGTGTGCAACGGCCTACCCAGGCCAAGTACTGGCTCTCCGAGGACGGGCTTACAAGAAACAGTTCTCCAAACCCATCCCACGGGGTGACAGTAGATCCGGCGCCCTGAGGGTGTTCTCCGCGGAAAGCCTCAGGTGGCAGGTCTCTGTACGCGCCCGCTGTGAGCACAGACCGCGGCAGTTTCCGCGCTGGAGGCGCTGGCTTCCCAGCCGTGCCTCACTCCCGGCGCCGGTTTCCGGTTTAGCCTCACGGACGGGCTCCATCCCGGGATCGAATGGCTCACGAGGGGATCCTTAAAGTTTCGAGTGTAAAGCACGAGTTTCTTCCGAGGTGTCGACAGCTGGACATTTGAAGAAAGCTGGAGTGACAATCGGCGAACAAACCAGCCTCCCTGGCGGCCGCGGGGCGGGGACTCTCCAGTTTCCGACTCCGAGTCTCGGGGCGGGGCCGGCGCAGTGCCGGGAGCGCCCGCCAGGGGGAGGCAGCCAGCGAGTGGGGAGGGATCCCCGCGCCCCCGCGCCCCCGCGCCCCCGCGCCCCCGCGCCCCGACAAGCCAGGCCGCGGGCAGTGGTGCGGAGCGGGTGCGAGGGAGGGCGCAGTGCATTTGCCGCGCAGGCGGAGAGCCCTGGAGGGCGGGAAAGCCGGACGGCGGCGGCCGGAGGAGCAGGGGCGGGGCCGCGGCGGAACGCGCCTTCCGCGCGCACGCGCTTGCCAGGGGGAGGGCGGAATGCGGACCGCCGAGGGCGGAAGCGCTGGCCAGGGGAAGAGCGGAAGTGCGGACCTGCGAGTTTCGGCTTGCAAGCCATGGCAGCGCTCGGCCGGCAGGTGAGGTGGCACTCTGTGCTTGGGCTCCGCGCGGTTGCGGAGGAGCCGCCTCCGGGTGTTTCTTCTCGCAAGCGGAGCCTTCCCGGCGGCTGGGTGGAGGGAGCGGCGGGCGAGCCTATAGGACGGGAGCGCGAGAGCGTGGAGCGCTCAGGCGATTGGCGTGGGCGTCCGACGGGTCCTGTGGCGCGGGGTCTGTGGGGCGGGATCCTGTGACGCGGGGTGTGTGGAGCTGGGTCCTGTGACGCGGGGTGTGTGGAGCTGGGTCCTGTGGGGCGGGGTCTGTGGAGCCAGGTCCTGTGACGCGGGGTCTGTGGAGCGCGGTCCTGTGGGGCGGGGTCCTGTGACGCGGGGGGTCTGTGGAGCGCGGTCCTGTGGGGCGGGGTCCTGTGACGCGGGGTCCTGTGGTGCGGGTTACTGTAACGCGGGGTCTGTGGAGCTGGGTCCTGTGGGGCGGGATTCTGTGACGCGGGGTGTGTGGAGTCTGGTCCTCTGGCGCGGGGTCTGTGGCGCCGGGTCCTGTGACGCGGGGTCCTGTGGCGCCGGGTTCTGTGACGCCGGGTCCTGTGGCGCAGGGTCCTGCGGCGAGGAAGTTAGGCTCGGGAGTGTGCGGACGCGCGTGAGGTCCCGGGCTTCAGGGTGGGAACCAGCTCGCACCCTCGCTGTTGGCCTGGGAGTGATTGCCCGCTGTCGTACGTGGGACACAGCGACAGAGAACGAGGGCTTGAGGGCTTCTCGGAGATTCGCAATCTGCAGAAAAGCAGGCTTCCGGGAGTGCGGCTCCAGGGTGGTCTCTCCTGCGTGGTTTTACCGCCACGAACAGACAGAGCACTTGCATCTGTGTGAAGCAACATCATCTCCTACGTTCCTCCCGCAGAAGCCTCTCTGCTCCCTGAGTGTTGAGCAGGGACTTAGGTTTAGGGTGCGACCCCTTTTGTGAGCGGTCACATGCATACCAATACACTTTGGTTTCTGTCTTCCTGCTCCTCTGTTTTTCAATCTGCTGCACCAGGCACTGCCCCTTAGAGGGTAGAGGAAAAGGACCTGCACATACCCAAACGCCCTTTACCGCTGGCCTTGGGATAGTTCTGTCCTGCTCCTCCCTGCTATGTCCCCTCTGTTAGGGCAGCAGGAGCTGGTAGAGACTTGCTTGGCTGTCATGATGCTCTGCTCTCTGTAGGAACGCTGCCTTCTCTGCAGGCTTTTCATGCTCAGATTGGAGTTTGCAGGTTGTTGTAAAGTTTGCTATTGTTCTGTGGGACCAAGGTACTAAATAACGTGGCTCCAGAGTCCCGTGGTCTCCTCTACATTGGAGTGGTGAGGAGCTGATCCCCGTTTGGTGCTGTGTCTCATAGGTCTTCGACTGGCACCGCCTCGTCCCCCTCACCTGGGCCCATGTTGCTAGGCAGACCCATCGAGGAGAACAGAAAAGGATGTGTCCATCTTTATTGTGTAAACTGACCACAGCCTCCAATGGAGGGGGCCTCGAGAAGTTATCCCATGTGGAATCCGGAACTTATGTGCAGGAACCAGCGTGCAGGATGCGTCTCACTCGGTACTCCCTTGAGAAGCAGAGGACTCCCGTGGCTCGAGGGTTTGTGGAGCGAGAGAAGGTCATCAGTTCGCTCCTGGACATGGGTTTCAGTGACATCCACATTAACGGATTGCTCCATCTGTGGCCAAGTACACACACTCAACAGTTGCTGGACATCATTTCAGAATTAATACTCTTGGGTGTGAACCCAGAGCCTGTGTACATGGCCTTGAAGCAAAGTCCTCAGTTGTTGAAACTGCCTGTAGTGCACATGAAGAAGCGCTCCGGCTATCTGCGAAAGCTTGGTCTTGGAGAAGGTAAAAGAAGGCCCTGATTTTATGTCCAGTGCTGAGGAGTTGGGGTTGGGGGGCAAGTAGCCCAGATGGGGTGGGCTAGGGGAGGGTTCTGGGGGAAGTTCTTGAGACTAATGTGTGGTTTGGCTTGGAGGTGTGAAGCAGTGACCTCTGCAGATGGCACTGCCAGAGGGAATGGGGGCACTTGTCTGGTTTGCTCAGTGTGGGGGCTCTAGCTTCTGGAGCACTGAATGGGTGGTAAGCCTGTGGTATGTGCTCGTGCTCAGCAGGTAGAGGTCAGTGTGTGGCAGTAACATACACATACCTATGCAGTCATTGATATTTACCTTAGCTTGAAGTGTTGTCTGTACAACGTAAAGCCAAAGGCTTTCTATAAGGTCCCTTGTAAAGATTTGGGTTCCAGTGGAACCTGAGATTGTCCCAGAATCCTAGGAAACAGAGAAGTGACTATTCCCCCAATAAGATTCACATCTCAAGGATTCTAGGATTTCATTGGATCCCCGGGTAGGCCTTGAGGAGAAGGGGGCTAGGAGCCCATGAGGGTCCCAGGGATCCTTATGCACGTTGACCCCAGGAGGGCCACTGTATTATTTCATTTTTTGATCCCTACTGATAAGATATTGTTTGGGGGGGGGAAGATACTGTTGTTTGGCGATCTATTTCAGAGGCTTTCAGAAGATAGGGGAGAACATAGCCTTATGCGGTTCTCTTGACAGATTGCTTATTGCAGTATAATCTAAAAGGCTAAATTTAATAGTTATATGCTGTGATTATATGTTACGAAGTTTAGCAAAGCCTTCTGCTGCAGAGGGAAAAATCCAAACTCCTGAAAGTCATCTAGAGACATTTTAGCAAGACAATGAGTAGCTCATCTGTTAGAAAGATTGTTAATACCAGTTTAAATAAGTGATTTTAAGTTTCCAGGTGCTGAATTTTGCCCAGCTATCCATGGGAAGACCATAGGCCCCAATTTCCCTTCAGTAGTCTCAGTTACCCTAATGTGTTAAGAGGATCTCTTTTGCTCAGTATTGCCCTAATGTGGATAAAAGATATGGTCACCCCACTAATTAGGGCATCATTGTTTGTGGCTGTGCCTCATGAGTATTCTCGTCATTATTGTATTAATAATTATTATCATGTTAGGGTCCGTAATCAAAGGAGCAAGTCTGATACAAAGCGAAGGTCAAGCGAAGAATCAAACTGACTGGTCGGTTTGATTCTCGATGCTTGGCGTGAAATAAAGCTTTGCTTGACCTTCACTTTGTATCAGTCTCGCTCCTTTGATTACGGACCCTAACAATCGTGGAACACCTTTTCATTGAGTTCGGGCTCCCAGATCTTAGGAACATTGGTTGTCGCTTCAGTGACTGTTTCATTGTGGAACGAAGTGTCAACCTGCAGCCCTCATGTGGGGGAATCTACTGTCTCCTTCTACTGTCTGCTCCTTCCATTAGATCCCCTGGGAAATTCTTTAGATGACGAGGGTAAGGGGAGGAAGCCAAGAATAAGAGGTTTATGCCATTCAGCTGGGAGGCCAGTAAGAGGCCTCCTTTTTATACCAGGGAGGGGGTCAGTGAGGAGATGTGTTCTTCTGGCCCCTCCCACTGCCATGTGCTCCTGGGCAGGCATTGGAAACCGCCACTCACGGGGAGGAGTGCATCCTCCTTCCCTTTTCAAATGCTGGCTTAGATGTGACAAGCCCCTTGTTTTTCTGGAATATCCTAAAATTATATACTTATCCTTTTTTATGTTCTGCAGGGAAACTAAAGACGGTTCTTCTCTGTTGCCCTGAAATCTTCACCATGCATCAGAGGGACATTGACAGCATTGTTGGTGTTCTCAAGGAGAAATGTCTTTTCACGGTACAACAGGTGACCAAGATTTTACACAGATGCCCCTATGTTCTTCGGGAGGACCCCGGTGAACTGGAATACAAATTCCAGGTGAGGATGACCGGTAGGGGATTTGGGAAGTAACAACACGTTTGTTGTAGTGAGGGTCATTTCCATGGAAGAGAAGCCACAGGCACCCCGAGGGCGAGTGGGTGAGCTGAAAAGCTTAGATCCTCTTTGCACATACCAGCCAGAGAGAACCTGGCTCTGGTCTTTCACTTCTTTACAGAAAATCTACCCTGCAACTTTTCTGCTGTTAATAATGAATGACCCAGTCCCATTCCTGGGGTCCAAATGGGGCCTCTGTTTGAAGTAGCTAATTTAAAAAGAGCTAAAAATCTTCCTTTCTTTAGAACATATTCTGCATATTGATTTTGGAAGCATAATTGTGACAGTTGTCCTACTTTTGGGGTAATAATTATGACAACTTACGTCAAATTGCTAGATGTTTGCTGAATTTTTTGCCTGTTCTTTCAATACTGATATTTTTTTTTTCTGAGAAACAACTGAATTTATCCCTCTTGCCCCTTTATTTTCTGCTAAGTTTTTCTCAATATGAATTTGAAAATGCTTTGAAAACTGTTAGCCATCACACAAACGCAGGGCATCATAGAGAGTCCTGGCATCGCTGGTTGGGCAGCTTTTTTGTGAGTACTTTGAATAGCTTGCATTGATTACAGACAGTGGCAGGATAGGTTCTAGGTTACTGTGCCCGGGACTCCTCTAATTGTGTCTGTCTTCCCAGTATGCCTATTTTAGGATGGGGGTTAAACACTCAGACATGGTGCGGACTGACTTCCTGCAATACTCCATAACCAAGATCAAGCAGAGACACGTGTTCCTCGAGCGCCTAGGACGGTACCAAACCCCTGATAAGAAGGGTCAGACACAGATTCCCAATCCTCTCCTTAAGGACATTCTCAGAGTCTCAGAAGCTGAGTTTCTGGCCAGGACAGCCTGTTCTTCCGCTGAGGAGTTTGAAGTTTTTAAGAAGCTCTTTGCTCGGGAGGAGGAAGAGGGGTCTGAGAGCCACATGCCTTACAGCAAAAGCTTAAGTCTGGATGAGGATGAGGATGAGGACAAGGAGGAGGTCGAAGAGTGACGGGAGGATGGAGGTTGGGAATGAAGAGCCCAGCGATACCAAAGAGTATTATGATTTTCTCAAAGTTTTCAAGAGTTTCACTTGGACCTTGTCATGTTATTTTTCCTTCTAAAACTGGTCTTCTGATGAAACATAAATCACGTGAGAAGTGGGTCAGACTAAACAGGAGCTGCCTTGGTTTGATCTGTTGTTAGGTTTCTGGGTGGGGGGCCCTCTTCCTTCCTGTGTGGAAGACAGACTCTGAGCTGTTAAAATCAGGGGACTCAATACCTCAACATTTGGTTTTGTTTTTTTCCTCTGTTGATATGTGATAACTTCATGACAGTGTGGGGAATGGGGTTCTTGCCTCTGGTTCAGGTGTCATTTTACATTTCCTTATAGTGATAAGATAAAATTATGAGTAGGCACTGAGGTTTTAATACATCACAGCACTTTATTTTATGCAAACAAGTAGCAGGTTTTCCCCCAAAACACTTGTGTTTTTAATCCACAAATACTGCTTCATAATTGTGTTCAGTGTACAGCATTGTCAAGGAAGGTGGTTAGTGATGGTTTCATTTTGCATAGCTGCTTAATGCCAGCTGAGTGTTCGGGTACTTTTCTCTCTCTCTGGGAAGAATGGGCCCTGGCTCTGACCTTTCAGGGAAGTTGGCTTTGCTCCTGGCTTGTGGGCTGTCTGCAGGCCCCAGTTTCTGGTTGCTAGTGAGTGCTGCCCTGGAGTGTGCCAGAACAGGAGGGGGTTGGGGGAGGGCGGTGTCATCCGGTCACCTCCCCATCGCCCATCTCACAGAGGCAGCTTCTGAGACCGGAGGAGAAGAGCACTTGCACAGGGTCTTTGAGTGGGGTGGGGCCTGGTGTCCTTCAGGGAGCTCCCAGGACACTGTGGTGGTGGGAGTCCCCTTGGGAAACCTGGGGTGCTGAGGGGTGATTTAAAGAGTTGGGTTGGGGGTAGATTTTGATGTTAGTTGTCTCTGAGGTAGAGGCCCAGCCCTCATGGCATGGGCTCTATGAGGGAGGACTGGTGCACCCCAGAATGTCCTGGGCGTCCCTTCCTTGAGGGGGGCTGGCACATGGTTGTTGATACAGAAAGCATTTTTGGTGATGTGACCAAAATCCAGGACTTGACAGCATTTTAACAACTAGGTAAAACCGCTTGGCCTTATTTTCCCTGCAGAGACTGAGTAAGAGTCTTGTCAGGCAGCAGTTTCCACCTGGAGTGACCTTGACCCCAGGGAGCATCCAGCAACATCTGAGGACGTTTTTGGTTGTTAGGACTGAGGGAGGGTGCCATTGGGGTCCAGCGGCTTGGGGCTGGGTTGCCGTGAACCGTCCTGTGGTGCACAGGGCAGCCGCAGACAGGGCCGTGCAGCCTGAAACATCAGCAGTGCTGAGGCCTAGGAGCTGCCTGATGGCCTGGTGCAGCAGAATACAGTTGTATGGGTTTGTGGGAATGCCCAATTGGAAGCAGGCTGACACTGTTTTTGTTTTGTTTAAAAGAAAGTAAATAACTGAGTTTTTAAGTTCCTTTCTTGTGTTTACCAGAATGCTGCTGGGAGATGTGAGCTGTGTTTACTGTGGGGACTCAGCACTGAGGTGTGGATGCTTTTGTTTTTTTCTGGGCTTATGTTCCAGCATGATGGCAAAAAGAAAGACATTTTCTGCAAAAGAAAAGTAGCTCAGTGAATCCCCGTGTGTGGGAGTGAGGTGTGGTGGCCGGAGGCAGCCACGGGAAGAGCCCCGGCTGAGGGAGGTGCCTGTTGGGCTTGCTGGTGGGAGAGCTGTGGCGTTGGCACAGGTCTCCTCACCCACCTCTGTGACAGCCCACATGCAATGGGAAGGAAGGCTTTGTCTTTACTGGTTTTCTTGGCCATGGGCAAAATTACTAAAAATGAAGACATTTCAATCTGCCACTGTTTTCACTTACTCTTCCATCTTGTGGTGTTCCCAACTGACCGACACTTTCCGTGGAACCTCAGATGGGTTCTTATGTCCAGTTGGGGGACTAAGAATTATAAATTTGCATGATTAGCGTGGCAACTTAGCAACTCATGATTGCTCCTTTCATTTTGATAAAGAAATGAATTTTTATGCACCTGAGAATTTTGATTGCATTAATATTAATTTCCTTGGGTAGAGTTTGACTGTATGTTTGAGGAAGACGCTGGAGTTTTTGAAGGGATTTTGTGAAAAAAGCAGTGTCTCATTTAGAATGTTTCCAGGATGAATTGTAATTCCTTTGCATCACGAAGTCTTTTTACTAGATATCTAATTTGTAAAACATCAAGAGGAGTTAATCATAAGACAACACAGCACCAAGCTCAGGATTCAGTAGACTATTTCTTGTAGAAACAAATGTTTCTATTAAAAACTGGAACACATTAGTGTTCTCATGGCTGATGGGTTGAGGTCATTAACATCATAGTAGAGTTTCATCTATTTTTCCAGTGATAACACTTGATCTTGCCACTTGCTAGCGATGCTGTAGCTTACATAGACACACAGTGACTGGTCCTGGCGACACAGCAAAAGTCAGCAGTACACATGCATGGCCGTGGTGTTCTCTCGACTCGCCCAGTGCCGGTGCCCCGGACTGAGCACGGCCGTCTTCTCCGGGTGAGCCTGGGACGCCGGGGGCGCTATGGGTACAGTAGAGACTTCTTGAAATGACGGTTCCTCCTCTCTGAAAACAAATTGTGTAAAACACAGACATGTGCACACAAAATTTTAATAAAAAGCCTAAAATATACTCTTAACTCTTCCAACAATGTTTTTATAAAAGATGAGAAGGCGCGCCCTCTGTGGCTGTAGGGCTCACTTGGGACAGAGTCCATGGCAGATGTGTGGGGGCTTGAGTCAGCTGCTACGATGCTCTGCGGACTCGAGGTGGGGTTGGCTTGCATGGCTTGTGCCTCCTCTGCAGGGAATAGCCAGAGCGGTCAGAAGCGTGTGGGGAAGCCCCTGCGGCAAGCCAGGGCCACATTCTGCTGAAGAGGGAAATGTGTGAAAGACCACGCTAGCCGGCAGCCTGGACTAGTGCCACTCGAGTCAAGGACTGAAGCAGTCTTGAGCTGGGACAGGTCTGGCCTGCCCTGATCGTCCATTTCCATGGTGTTCAGGCTCTGCATGTGTTGGGGTGTCGTGTTGTGCTTCTGTGAGGCTCAGGGCTCTTGGTGCCGTGCCGTGACTTATCATCGGTGTGGGGGTGGGTATCTTTTCTCTGCATAAGTCTGAGGACTGGGTGACTTGATAGACCAGGGCTTGGCCAAGTGTGGCCAGGAAATTTGCCCCCTCGTTTAGTAAATGTGGTTTCACTGGAACAGCCACACCCTTAGGGTCACTTGTCTGTGACTGTGGTTGTGTCACCAGTGCCGAACTGAGTAGTTGCCACAGAGACGGGTTGGTCCACAAAACCTAAAATAGTCACTGAGAAAAAGTTGAAGACTAAAAGTGTCTAAACTCCATCTTAGTATGAATGAACACTTTGTCTTTTGTAATCTACTGGTCCATGTGATGGGGCTGTAGTCCACCACATATCAGCACAAAGAATTTGCTGGAGGAGAGTTGGGTGGGGCGCCTAGAACTTGGCTTCCCTTTCTGTCTGGCCTCACCACCAACCCTTCCTGGCACCACTGTCTCCACTGTGGAAGCCGGAAGGCAGTTCCTCTCAGTTTGATTGTTAGGTCTCAGGCGGAAAATTGCCCTCTGACTTTGGAATCTGAGAACTGGTTCCTGGATGCTGCAGGAGCCTTGCTGGCTGGCAGCCCTGCTCATCCAGGGCCCAGGTGCACATGGCAGTTGCTCCCTGGCCACGGTGCAGACTGTCCCTGTAGGAGACGGCAGCCAGGGCTACAGCACAGGCTGTTCCATGCATTGCAGGACTGGGAGGTGATTTGGCCCAGAGGGTCTCCCTGGTGTGGCCTTGAAGGGAGGTGGGCTGGACCCAGCCTGGCCTGGCCGTCCATCTTCTAGAGAGAAGCGGCAGAGGGGACAGATGCGAGCCAGGACCTGGTCTTTCATGGTGTCCTTTCAGTCCAATTTTAGACCCCGCCTTCCTGGGCTTTAGGAGCTCATGAGGTTGATGGAGTGTAACAAGAACGTCCCGAATCCCTTGAAGAGAAAAGAGACTGGGGCATGAGGAGAATGACACCCATTCCTCTTTAAAATGCAGCTTCAGTTTCTTTGAGCAGCCCTCGGTCCCTGCCCCCAAAGGACCCAGTGTTCCTGCCTCTAGTGTGGCTGTGGACAGGAGGGAGGTGTGCTGAGAGCATGGACTATGTGGCCCAGGGCCGGGGACATTGGGGGAGCATTGCTGCTGTTAATGCTGAAAGCTTCAGGCTGCTCCCCTTCCAGCTGGCCATGCCCTTGGATCCTTCCCCGGGGCTGCTCCCTGTTGCTCTGGGTTGAAACGAATTCCAGTTTATTTGCATTTGCTCCATTGTTTCAAGAATGGGTATTCTAAAAGCTAGTATTTGATAATTTGGTAGTTGAGGTTTTCTGATTTGTTTTTATAGAAATGGATTTGCTAAGTTGGAAAAATAAAGGTATTGCTGTTTCAGGTGACTTACTGTGATAGAAATATTTGAAGCCCAAATTATGTTTGTGGGTTCTTAATCCTAGTAGTGAATTGTTTATGAGCTGTGGAGCATATTTTGGATTTGTGTGTCTTGGGAGCATAAGGTGGGAGGGGAAGTAATGTCTTTGAGGATGCAGGAGCTGAACACAGACTTTTTTTTTTTTTTTTTTTTTTAAAGTTTTTTTTTTTTTTTTTTTTAGGGAGAGAGAAGGAGAGAGAGCAAGCACAGGCAGACAGAATGGCAGGCAGAGGCAGAGGGAGAAGCAGGCTCCCTGATGAGCAAGGAGCCCGATGTGGGACTCGATCCCAGGACGCTGGGATCATGACCTGAGCCGAAGGCAGCTGCTTAACCAACTGAGCCACCCAGGCGTCCCTGAACACAGACTTTTGGAAAAATCTTTCAGGGGCTATTTGCCAAGGCCACACCCCGCAGATCCCAGCCTCAGTCTTCCCTGCTTGGCTGGTGCAGATGTTCTTCATGTGGGTCAGCCTATATCTGTGAAGCTCTTTTGCTTCAGCTTCTTTGTATAGGTTCTGAGTAACATTTCTTCCTCATCTCCTCAGCCCCATAAGACAGTGTAGTCTGTTCCTGAAGCTGCTTGTTCCCCAGGGTGTCTCACTGCCCTCTCAGCACCAGGAACATGGACTACTTTGAGGCTCATTTATGGAGTGGAAGGTGGAAGCTGCCTTAGGCCAACTCAGTTCCCCCCTTGTTCCCTGTGACATCATGCTAACAAGAAACTGTGCTCAAGCGGGCACCTTGAAATTATGAAACACTTGCTTAAAAAATCCGCAGAGAGGGGCGCCTGGGTGGCTCAGTGGGTTAAGCCTCTGCCTTCAGCTCAGGTCATGGTCTCAGGGTCCTGGGATCGAGCCCCACATGGGGCTCTCTGCTCAGTAGGGAGCCTGCTTCCTCCTCTCTCTCTGCCTGCCTCTCTGCCTACTTGTGATCTCTCTGTCAAATAAATAAATAAAATCTTAAAAAAAAAAAAAAGAAAGGAAACTGCGCTCAATGTGAGACTGAGTACAGGTGGTGGGTGGGTCGCCATGATTCAACCCAGTATATCCCTGACTGTAATGAAGACTTTGACAGAGTTTATTGAGGGGGGGGTTAGGGTTGGAGGGTGTTGAGTTGCCGGAAGACTTTGGGAAATGCCAGATTAAGCAGGAATAGAGTTAGAAAGTTTCTTTCATTTCAGGATTCCAGTGTTTAGGATTCCTGTGTCTGTTGGGAATTCTCTAGTGGGAGAGTATTCAGGATTTCTCCAAAGTTATGTGATCAAGGCCCCACACCCCAATTTTTCTTTTGATAGATTGCCATTCTCAGGGTCTGGGAGGCCCTCCCTTGAACCCCTGCACTCCTATATCTGGGCATCCTGGGCCCCTCCCACCGTCCTCTCCCCACTCCTCCCCTGCTGCCACCCCTTCTAGATGCCCTTCTCAGTCCCACCTCCATGAGTACTCAGCCCCTGTGCCCACCGCCAGCTGTTGCTGCTGATGGGAAAGGGTTTCTCTGTTTGCTTGGAGTCAGTGGGATTCATCCTTACCCCCAGATGGCCTCATTTCCACTTGGAAATGCATCCGTGCCTGGTTTATGTCTATTGGGAGGCCTTAGGTATTTTTTTTTCTCTCCCATTTTAACCCCCTCAGGGAATTCTGAAACTCCTGGTCTGGGAGTTTGTAATAAAGAGGGCACAGCTGAGTTCCCCAAGTAGACAGCAGCCCTCCTGGAGGCCACATGCTGGGACAGCCGCTCTAGCTTTCCCGCAGCTCTGCCAGCTGTGGTGGGGAACGTACCTGTACCCTAAGATTTCTTCAGTGTTGGACTGTTACTGTGTTTCCTGAAATAGAGAAAGGTGGCTTATGAAAAAGAGATATACCTGGAACCCAGGCTGCCTGCTGGTGTCCTGTCTTTGCCTCACATATATTCCATTTTGGGGAGCACCGTCAGTGAGACACTGATGCAGAGATTAGCATTTTAGTCTATGTGTGTCCCCTTGGCTGGCTGTAAGTCATGGGAATGAAAGCAGGGTGTAGAAGAAGGAAAGTGGAAGAGACAGGTACCGCGCTAGGTCAAGCAGGTGTTGAATTGCATCCCTAGGCACTCAGGAATGCGAGCCCTAGGGGGTGTGGCTCCCAGTGGGTCTGTGCAGAGTGACTGGGGTGAGTAGTCTGCTGTTGGGAAGGCCCCCAACACATTCATGCAGCACATTATGTAATAATTCCTGTGACTCCCTTGAGCCCTCTGGGGAAAGAACCTGGCTGTGAGCGAGTAAAAAATAGAGATATACTATATATACAGTTATATACTTGCATCTGTCAATAATGTTCCATGCTTCCCAATTCTAGCACCAGAGTGACCCCGAGCACCCACCATGTGAGCCCCTCCCAGCGCGCACCTTGTGATCCCCTCCTAGCACCCAGCGTGTGACCTCCCCCCAGCATCCACTGTGTGATTACCTTCCAGCGCCCACCGTGTGATCCCCTCCCGGCACCCACCATGTGACCTCCCCCTGGCGCCCACCATGTGATCCCCTCCCGGCACCCACCATGTGACCTCCCTCTGGCACCCACCATGTGATCCCCTCCCAGCACCCATCGTGTGACCTTCCCCCAGCACCCACTGTGCGATCCCCTCCCAGCACCTACCGTGTGACCCACCCATCATGATCCACCGTGTGACTCCCCCAGCACCCACCATGCCCAGCTATACTGATCTGTATGTGTTCAGATGTACAGGTATGTGCTATGCAGGGCTACAAATTTGCACAGACAAGACAGCCTGGCTTGGCCCACAGGACTGTGGCTCCCCCCAGTGTTCAGTCCCGAGCCCCCCTTGCCCTGCTACCCTATGCACTACAGGCTGGACACATTGTGGGCCTCCGCCCCGAGATGGCACCTGTTTGGGGTTTTCTTGACGCTTGTGCTTTCACAGCTCTCTTTGAAGCAGATGTCCTGGTGTACTTTGTAGACTCTTTTGTACCTGTGTCACAAGAAAGTTGTGTAAAGCTGGAAACTAGAGCAGAGTGTTGCCCAGCTGCTTCAGCTAGGCTACTTGCACCCACCAGTCACTGTGCAGGTGTTTGACGGAAAGGCTATTAGTTTCCTACTAAAACTTTACCTCATAGGGATGTGTTAAAATGTCCAACATGAAAGTCATGTAATTAAAAAAAAATTAACTTCACTAAGGTATGATTTACATAAGATATATCCATTTTGAGTTTACATTTTGAGGAGTGTGGACAAAATATGATATTAAGAGATAAAATAAGAGATTTCGAGGACATGTCCCACTTGAGACAGTTCACTCAGCGGTGAAGACTTGAGACAGCTCAAGGTCACTTCTGGGTCCTAAGGGTAGTTCTTGGAGAAGTTGGAGAGCCCTGGAGATGCAGGTGTTTGATGTGTACAGTGCAGACTTCTAGCCCCTCCTCCCATTTATTAATTAGTCCCCTTTGAGTGTGTCTCTGGAACTTAGACCTCAGTTTTGTGTGGAATGGTAATTACTCATACTACTTCTCTCATAAATTTGTAGATGGTAATGAACAGGAAAGTGTTTCTGTTCTTGTTAAAGCCCTCAAATGTCAGAGCTGTTGAAAAGAGAGATCCAGGGAGTTTGATGGGCAAAGCTCCAACTCATGCTCAGTCTGGGACAGCCCATGGGATTTAAGGCCTTTGGTGAGACTTCTGCTTTTGGTCTTCAGGGAGTAACAGGATTTGGAATTAACCCCCCAGTTTGAACAACCAGAGAATTGGGCAAAATATTAAAAGCAGTTCTTTTCAGTTGTTAGAAAGTGTGAGATTATGTTTCTTGAGAGAAGGGAAACAAATGAAATGAGCTCTGTGATCTCCCTAGAGTTTGGTCCAGAAGCACTTTCTGGATTACATTGCAGGGTGGTTGAGGGGGCGAGAGGGTGGGGTGGAAGGCAAGCAAGGGTCACAGTGAGCTGAGGAGGCAGAGGCAGCTAGAGTGTGTGGGGCACTGGGGAGGAGGGAGCTATGCAGAGGAAGAGCTCCTGAGGCCAGTACAGGGATCCCTTTGAAGATGAAACTGTGCACACATAGGGGAGAAACCTGTGAGGCTGGGCAAGGAGAACTACGGAGAAGCTAAACAGCTGAGTTACTGCAGGCCATTCATGAACTAGAAACTCCAGAAAGGCCATGGCTTAGAAGTGGAGCAAAATTAACCCAGAATTAAGGTTAAACCACCCTAAAAGGCCTCCAAAGGACCAGACTAAAATTAACCATCTTGGAGAACAAAATGAAACATTTTGGGAAATAAACATAAAACTTAGCATTCAGGACCAAAAGGTTAAAAAGTCCAGCATCCAACAAAAAAAATGACAAGATATTCAAAGGCTCATACAAAGCCTCAAGAAAGTGTGACCCATAGGCAGCAAACAGTAATTAGACACCCAGAGGTAAGAGCAATGGCAGGAACAGCAGACAAGGCCCTTAAAACATGTGTTAAAGATTTGGTACCACCTGTTCAGTGATCTGAAGGAAAAAAGAAACAATGAGAAGAGAAATGGAGGATCCAAGAAAGGACTAAATGGAATTTCTAGAGATGATAACACCCAGAGTGAGATGAAGGTCTCGCAGAATGGAGTTAGTGGCAGGTTATAAAGGCAGGGCAGAGGACAGACCACAGGATGCGAAGGCCCCGCTGTGGAATCAAGGCACAACTAAGTAGAGAGAAGGGTGGCCTCAGTCTAACACCTGCGTGACTGGAGTTGCAGGAGAGGAGAGAAATGAATGGATGGGAAAAATGCCTGAAGAACTAATGGCCCAAATTTTCCAGAGTTGATGAAAACCAAGGCCGCAGAGACAGAAGCTTAACAAAGTCTTGTGAGCAAAAACACATACACATCCATGGCAGAGCGCATCATGGTTAGTTTCCCAGCAATGGTAGTAAAGAGACATCAGAGCAGCCATGGGCCGGGGCATACACGATCGCAGGTGAGAATGAGCACAGCTATGCCAAGGCAGAAAACGGGCACTCCCGAGTGCCAAGAAAAAACAGTTCTCAGCCAGGAATTCTATACTCGGCAAATAAATCCTTCAAAAATGAAGGTGAAACAGAACCCTTTACAGACAGACCAGAGCAGAGAGGGTTCATCACCGGCAGACCTGCACTATACGAAAAGTCACAGTGAGTTTTGGAGGCAAAGGCCAGTAGTACCCAGGGGCATCTCAGGTCTGTAAAAGAGTGCCAGGTGCTGGGAATGGTAAACACGGACTAACAAAAGACATTCTACTTGGCAGTGTTTACAAAGATAACTGTCTTTGGGGAGCAAACATACCATATCATGTGGGTCATAGACTATGAGTGAGTAGCGCATCTGGCTTCAAGAGCTGGGTGCACGAGGGGGAAGTGGAGCCCGCTACTACAGGATCCCTTCCAGGACACTGAGGTCAGAGAACAACAGCAAATGGATATTGTGGGGGGTTGAAAGTATACTGCAAATCCCACAGCAGCCACTAGAAAGTTAAACCAGACAAGTATAACCAGTGAACCAACAATGCTGGCAAATTAGAAGGCTAAGGAAGAATTAATCCCAAAGTAGGCAGGGAAAGAGAAATAAAGGAAAAATGGTCAGATAGGACACATAGAAAGCACCCAGCAATGTGGTGGATTTAAACCCAATCACATCATCATTATAGTAACAGGTAATGGTACAGACACTCCAGTAAAAATCAGAGATGTCAGATATAAAGCAAGACCCAACTATGTGCCAAATACAAGAGTGATGTTCAGACCCATATGCATTAAAGTGAAAGTATGAAAAGCTGTTGACGGGGCCTGGACTCTTGTCATCAGGCTTGGTGGTCCTAGTGGGTCACTTAGCAAGCACTGGGGTCACTGGCACAGTTGGAATATAGGGGGCACTGTGGATTAGGGCTGCCATTCCACAGAACCCAAATTCAGATGGTCTGTGCACATGGATCCTCAGAGCCCAGTGCAGATCAGGATGTATTTTTCTGTGCTAAGTCTGGCTTCATGTCCAAGTTTAAATCAAGCCTTCTACCTGGCTTTCCTACATCCCATTCAGAGTGACCTTCAGACAAAATTGAACAGCTCACTCCTCTGCTCGGCATCCTTAGTAGCTCCCATTTCAAAAGAACATATGCTAGAATCCTTCCAAGGGCCTCCAAAGCCCTGCTGGGCTCTCCCTGCCCTACCCAACCACTGCTCCCCCTTGGTCTCCTCCAGCCCCACTGGCCTCCTTGCTGCTCCTCAGACAAGCAGACATGCTCCTGATCTTGGGCCTTGGCAGCTGACAATTTGACTTTCTGGAAGGTTCTTCCTTCAGATATCCCCTCCATGTCTGTTCAATGTTTCTATGAGAGTTCCCGACACCCTTTTGAATGCTGCAGCTGGCCTTCCCTGTCCCCAACCCTGGCTCTTCTCTGCCCACCTATTCATCTCTTCCTTTTCCCCAGCCCTGACCACTTTCTAGAACACTGTGTAACGTCCTTCTGCTCCCTGTGTTCTGCCTCCCATGTCCAGGGTGTACAGATTGCAAGGGCAGGGCTTTGGCCAGTTCTGCTCACTGCCATGTGCTGAAGTGTCTAGAGCTGTGCCTGGCACACAGTAGGGGCTGATAAGAATATGCTGACTGAATATATTATAAGTGTGAACCACAGAGTCACAGAGTGTTAATAAGGAAGGTCCTACATGGTGAACTAGGCAAGCTTTCCCTGTACAGCCCATTTTACAGATGGGGAAACTGAGGCATGAATGTCATGACTTAATGGCAGGGTGAAGACTCAAGTTCTCCTGTGCTGTTGTTGATCTTTCCAGGGGGCTCTGAGGCAGAGAGGAGAGGAATGTCATTTGCTGGCATTGATGTACTCGTGGCCCTGCCATCCACTGGAGAGGGACTGATGCCATTTGAGGGTGTGGGAAAGGAAGGTCCCAGGGCTCAGCCAGGAGACTGGCGTTCCCTGCATAGGTTCAGGGCCTCAGTTTCCTGATTCATCAGCTGGAGGGAAGGGGTACGAGCCCTTATATCACCACGACCCCTAGAGCTCCTCAGTTCTTGTGCGTGTGGGTGAATTGGACTTCATGAAGGCACTTCTCTGGAAGTCAAGAATTTCCCACGAATGTGGTGAAATCAGGAAAGAAACTTACATGTGGTGACAGGCGCCTCCTTCCCAGACCGGCATGGCCTTTGTCTCTGAGAAGAGCCGAGTGCAGGGCTGGGGCACCTTTTTACAGGCTGCCGGCACAAAGGAAAAGGGGCTTACAGGAGCGCCATGCTGAGCAAGTGCTCTTCTGCACCCCAGGAGGGTGCCCTTCCTGCAACTGTGGGGTGCTTGAGTCCCGGAAGTCCCCAGGCTGTTTTCCCTTAGGGCTGGGAGGAGTCTGACAGGCCGCAGGATGGTGCAGCTGGTATGGGGGCTTTTGTCCACCCACCTCCCATCCTCAGTCCCACGTTCTTAGGGAGGGAGGCCTGTGGCTCTTTCCGTCTTACCACCATGTCTGGCCCCCAAAGCAAAGAGCCCCCTGCACCCACCTCCGGCTATGGGGCGCTCCATGTCCCTTGCTTTCTGGCTGCCCCCAGACCCCCTGCTTGTCTGGGCAGCTTCGGGGCGGTGAGAGGCTGAGTGGCTCACTGCCTCTGAATATCCCTACCTGGGCATTCGGAAGTCTGGGGCACTGAGGCTGGGCCCCTGTCCTGGCATCTTGAAGTTTGAGGTCCTTGTGGCAAACCCACTCTAGTAGGCCTAGCACAGCCTGTTGTGACAGGTGTCTTGAGGCATAGGCCCCTGTGGTCCCCACAGGAGGGAGTGGTCCCCGACTTACCAAGCTCACAGCGTCTGCCTTTGAACCCTGGGTTGCAGTCACAGCTGTGGGTGTCCATACCTGGCACGCAGGTGCCTCCATTCTGACAGGGATTTTCTGAACAGTTCCCAGGGGTGTCTGTGAACAGGCCATGAGCAGTTAGTTGTCAGGACTCCAGAAGGCAGCCTATTAGCATTCCCATTTCTCTGTGCCCCTCTCTTTCTCTTGTTAAAGAATTTCAAAGCAGTTCACAGAAACCATTTCACCTATAAATACAGCAAGTATCTAATACATACAGACTTGACAAACTTTTATATAAGCACAACTCTGTTATTGTGAAATCAGCAGTAGCTCCTTAGTACCATAAGAAATTGCAATCCTTGTTCAGCTTTCCCTGATCATCTTAAAAATGTCATTTCCAGGGGCACCTGGGTGGCTCAGTGGGTTAAAGCCTCTGCCTTCGGCTCAGGTCATGATCCCAGGGTCCTGGGATCGAGCCCCGCATCGGACTCTCTGCTCAGCGGGGAGACTGCTTCCTCCTCTCTCTCTGCCTACCTCTCTGCCTACTTGTGATTTCTGTCTGTCAAATAAATTTAAGAAAAAAAAATGTCATTTCCAGTGGTCTGATCTCATTAGGATTCTTAAGTACCCACTGCCATAGTTTGATGTGTCTCTCTTTTAATCTGTAACTTTTCATTTTCCTTCCCTCTGCATTTATTCCCCCCCCCCTTAAAGAAACCAGGTCATTTGTCCTATAGAATCCCCCTCCTGGATTTTACCTAATGCTTTCTTGTAGCATTAACTCATCCCCCATCTCCACATTTTCTGTAAATTGATGATCAGAGAGAGGGGCTTGATAGGATTCAGGTTCAAGCAGTCTTTGCAAGACCGCTTCACCCTTTAGCCACTCCAGGAGGCGCGACAGGTCTCCAGTTCCAGTTTTAGCGATGTGAGAACTGATTGTGAGTTTAGCATTGGCAGCCTGATTAATCCAGGAGGAAATTCTGATAGGCTCTGCACCTGATGGCTTGAGCAGCCACAGAGATCTTGAGTCTAGGTCACACATCCATCATCTAACCCAGCCTGTCACTCTTCTGTCTCTCTAGCCAGAAAGTCTTCTATGAAGACCTTTTTTCCCTTGCCCACCACCTGGTCACCCTGAATTATAATCCATCCAGGCAAGGCCAGACAAATGCTTCATTCCTGTCCTTTATTTGTACACTTAGAAAGTAAGCATTGGTCCCCAGCCAGCTCTAGGGACCAGCACATTGTGCTTGCTTTTTTTTTTTTTTTTTTTTTAAAGATTTTATTTATTTATTTGACAGACAGAGATCACAAGTAGACAGAGAGGCAGGCAGAGAGAGAAGGGGGAAAGCAGGCTCCCTGTGAGCAGAGAGGCTGACGCGGGACTCGATCCCAGGACCCTGGGATCATGACCTGAGCCGAAAGCAGAGGCTTAACCCACTGAGCCACCCAGGCGCCCCCACATTGTGCTTTCTTTGAGCGTTATCATGAACTCAGATTCTTACATATTTGATGGGGGTCAGTTGGCTGCTGCCATTAGTCTTTTTGATGCCCCAGGTACCCATCCTAAGCCTGTGGGAGTCTTCCAGGTTGACTCCTGTGCCCTTTAGACAAGATCCCTATTGTTTTTGAAAAGCTTGATTGTTTTACAAGTATGTCCTGGGCACATTTTGTCCATATTCTGCTTCAGGCTTTGAATCAGCCACTTCTCAAAGACCTCTGGTTCCTTTTATTGGGCATCTAGAGCCCATAGTCTGGGTGCCTGAGGTGCTTACTGCTCCTGGGGGGGTCAGTGCCTGGGGACTTTTTAGTAGAACTAGGAACTTAGATTTTAGAATAAATACAATCAAATTGTGAATTTATATCAATGGTTAAGGGAAACACAGGCCTTTGCTTCCTTGATTTAAAAAAAAAAAATTTAAAAATTTTTAAAAAGATTTTATTTGAGAGAGAATGAGCATGCGGGGGACAGAAAAGGAAGCAGACTCCCCGCTCAGCAAGGAGCCCCACGTGGGGCCCGATCCCTGGACCCTAAGATTATTGAGCGTCTGAAGGCAGATGCTCAACCGACTGGGCCACCCAGGCACCCTTTAACTTCCTTGATTTTATATTGTGTCTCTTTACAATGAAAATCTTGGTAACATTGATGCAATTATTTTCATTACCCACAACGTACTTGTAACAGTTCTAAAAAAATTACCAGCATTACTACGAGCATTAAGAGCTTTGAGTGCCACTTTAAATTTCTTGCAATCCTTGTAATAAGTTATTAGAATATATCCCTCTAGGAATGAATGACTAGAAGGCTATTTTTAAAATCACTTGAGATACCTTTTTCCTGTGTGGTTATGCCATCAACAGGAGAACTGAGTTTATTGCAGTTTCTTTTCAATTTTTAGGTGTTGCTTTTTATGTGTGTCATGAAAAAATTTCTCCTTGGTTCTAAAATCTAAAATACAGAGATACATTCAGAGAAGTCTAGCATCCATCTCCATACTTTTACTTCCTTGTTCTTTCCTTCCTCATATAACCATTTTTTATTAGTTTTACTTCTTTTAAATACAAGAAAATAGGTATATTTATATTTCCCTTCACCACTTTCATATACAAAGGGGATACCTTTGACACATGACATTTTAAAAACCATTTTGTTGAGATAGAACTTAAATACCATATAATTCACCCATTTTAAGTTCTTAACATATTCAAAGATATGTGCATCCATCACAGTAGTCAATTTTGGAATGTTTTTATCATTTTGGAAAGAAACTGCCTACCCTTTAGCTGTCACTCTCCGTACCCTCACTCCCACCCTCAGTGCCAAGCAACCACTGATCTACTTCCTGTCACTGTAGATTTCCCTATTCTGGACTTCCATAAGAATGGAATCATATGGAGTCCTTTGCGACTAGCTTCTTTTACTTATGATGTTTTCAAGGTTCATCTTATCTTATAGCCTGTGTCAGTACTTCATATGGTGGGATAATGGTCCATTGTGTGGATAGACTTGTTTTGTTTATCCATTCATTAGTTGGAGGACATTTTGGTTGTTTCCATCTTTTGGCAATGGTGCATGATGCTATTACGAAAATTCATGTACAAGTCCCTGTGTGGGCATCTGTTTTCATGTCTCTTGGGTATATACATACCTAAGAGTATATACCTAGGGATTTTCTGGGTCATATGATAACTCTGTGTTTAATTCTTTGAGGAATGACCAGACTCTCGTTTACCCCAAAGCAGTTGTACCACTCTGCATTCCCACCAGCAGTGTTTGTAGTTCTAGCTTCTACACATCCTCACTGTGCTCGCTGCATCTCTTCATTCGAGCCATCCTAGCTGCTGTGAAGTGGCATCTCACTGTGGTCTTGATTAGCATTTCCCTGATGACTGATGATGTCAGTCATCTTTTTCATGGGCTTCTTGGCCATTTGTGTATCCTCCTTGGAGAAACAAGTGTTCAGATACTTTGCCTATTTCTTAATTGGGTTATTTTCCTTTTATTCAGTCACATGAGTTACTTATATATTTTACATACAAATGTCTTTCAGGTATATGATTTGCAGATATTTTCTCTCATTCTCTGGGTTGCCTTCTCACTCCCTGATGGCATCCTTTGAAGCACAAAAAACTTTAAACAGTGTTTTTTTTTTCTCTTTTGTTGCTCATGCTTTTGGTATCATATCTAAAATCTTTTGCCACACTCAAGGTCATGAAGATTTACACATGTCTTTTCCTAAGAGTTTTATAGTTTCAGTTGTTAGATTTAGGTATTTGATCTGTTTTGAGTTTATTTTGTATATGGTGTGAGGTAGGGGTCTGACTTCATTTCTTTTGCATGTAGATATCCAGTGTTCCCTTCCTCCATTGAATGGTCTTGGACCCTTGTTGAGATCAGTTGACCACAGATGTATGGGTTTATTTCTTGACTCAATTCTATTCATCGTAAGTCCGTCCTTCTGCCAGTTTCTCACTGACCTGATTACCATTGCTTTGTAGTAAGTTTTGACAATAGGGGGTCAAATAGGACATGGAATTTAGACACTATAAACAATTGTCCAGAGATATTTTATGACAACCTTACAGAACATGGCAGTGTGCAGGGGTATTTAGAACCTGTGAGCCTGTGCCAGCAGTCCTCACCCTTTGTAACTGGGACACCAGGCTGCAGAGTCTGACTGATAATTTGTTCCACTCGTGGGCAGCTGAGGCCTGAAGCCTGCAGTTCCTGCAGCAGTGGGGTTTCTCCCAGGGCACTGCCCACTATAGCCTCACCCTGTGAAGTCAGCCCCCCTAAGTCTGAGTTTGTTGTAACATGCATGCCCGTTAAAGTAAAAACAAAAACAAACAAAACAGAGATGGCTGTTTTGAATAGGGTAGGAGACAGGGATATGGCTGCAGTCTGGAGTGGTGGCAGTGGGTGGCTCCTATGTGACAATAAGTTACAGAGTAAAGAGGTTTAAGTTCTGTCCTTGCCTGCTGTTGGCCAAGGATGGAAACTACCTGCCTCTGGTGTCCAGGGGATAAAACCAGGAGAGTTCCAAAGCCCTTTTGGGGTGAGGATTGGGGAAAACAGGAAGAATTTGACTAGTCTTAGTGTCCACTCCAGATCTCCATGGTTGGCAGGTTATATATAATCTTGGGAACCCTCCTCCTCTCCATGAGCTACCATGAGCTGTGGCATACCAAAGGTCCGGCCTTAACCTGGGAGTTGCTTGATGAGAAAACGCCAGTCAAGAGTGTTAATTGTGCTCTTTGGGTGTCTAGGGCTCTCTGGAGATCCTCGTTTCCATGAGAAAGAAAAGTCTAATAGCTCCCAGAGAAAATAGGTAGATACCCTACAAGGAAACAAGAGCAAGACTGACACACATGGAGAGCAACACCGGACAGAAGATGACAAGGGAAGTATTTGAAGAACTGAAGGTAGAGGACCTCTGAACCTCGAATTTTATACCCACTCCAACTGCCCTTCAAACGTGAGAGCTACTAAATATTTTTAGGCATATAGGGCCTCAAACATTTGGCCATGTAAAGTACCAGTAAGTACTTTGATGGGACTTGATAAGATGATTGTAAACTTTTATAGAAGACCAAGAGCAGGTGACACTGCGGGATGGCAAACCTCCCTAAACATAGTGCCATTGAAACCCCTGGTGTTGGCTCTAGGAAGTCCAAACAGTGGATCAGAGCAGTGGACCCAGAGCCTTTGGTCAATACGAATGAAAGATGCTTGATTGTATCAGCATCCAAGAGACACAAATCCAGATCCCAAAGGGCGCCCTTCACACCCATGCTGCTGGCAGGATCTGGAAACCCAGCAAGATCAGGTCTGGAGAGACTGGATTAACCACATCTCTTGATCATGGCTGGACAACTGTCAACTGATGTCCCCACTTAGAAAACAATTTAGTGTCTTCTTGTGACTGGGGCTTTCATACATCCTATGCCCTAGTATCTGTATTGCACACGTGCCCGAAGACATATGTAAGAAGAACAGAGTGGCCCAGGAACCATCTGAGCTGAGCAGACGAGGCCATGGTGAGGTTACTGACAGACCAGATGCTCAGTTGGGAATAAGCGAGCTGTGTCTACACACAGCAGCACTGATCAGCTTCACTGCAGACATGCAGCGAGAACACAGGTCAGGGAGGCTGTAAACAGCCAGGCTCTCACCTTGTAACAAGAAACCTACAGTTGTTCAGGCACACGTGGATATGTAGCGAGAGCCCTCTTCCTCACTGCCCACCCTACAGCAGAGCAAAGGGACCGTAAACACGAAATCCAGGCTCGAGGTAAACAGGGGGACAACAGCAAGATACGAGTTCCTACTCATGTTCTAGTTCATGGGTTCCAGATCTAAAGGCCATTATCTTATCAAAAGCTAACTTACTAAAAAAAAAAAAAATGCTAACTTACTAAACTAAATAAAAGGTGCTGTCATGGACCCATATCAGATGTAACAGGAACAAAAAACCATGATTCACTGGGTGCACCTGGGGGCCGTTAATGATTTTTTTCCCCCTGTGTATCACCTAAAATCACTTTTGCCCATCCCTTGGTCAGCCAGCATACCTTACGTTAGCAAACACTGCAGACTACAGGGACATCTGGGGCCAGTCTGGTACCACCTTGAACCTCTCCTCCAGAAGGCACCCAGGAGAGGTCATTCACATCCCACTAGTTCCTGAGTTTTAGGAAATGAAATGTCTAATATTGGGGAGGGCTAACAACACAAACTGTCCAATGAAACATGTGCTTTTCTCACTTATGAGGCAATGGCAACATTTACTCTGAACCCCACCTTAACTAACAGAATCATTCCCTGGCTGCATCCGACTCTTGCTGCTCGCCAGGTCCAGCCCCCGCTCCAGGCCTTGCACCACGAGGGGAGCCTGCTGGCTGTGGCTTTGCTGGGGCCACTGTCTGCCACCACACTCTCCAGCGCAGGTTCTCCTGATGCCTCTGTCCTTGGGTAGCCTGGGGCAGGTCTGCAGGTGGCATGTATCTTCAGATGGGACATCCTGGGCACTTGCCTCACCCTTAGCAAGTATCCTGCCTTCCCTGTGGTCTGGTTGTTACGCGAGCAGAGTCTGAACCACTGGGTCCTAGAAGAACTGTCCCTGGAGGGCCAGAGCCCGAAGGGTTAGAGCAAGGAGGGAAGGTAGAGCCAGAGTCTGAGTTGGTGTAAGGAACACATGCCCAAAGGGGAAATGCCCTGTAAGAATGTCCTGCAGGGGTGTTGCTGCACCCTGCAGGGGTGGGTCTTTCCAGACAGGCCCGTGCCCCGTGTGCCCAGCAAGGCCCTGCTGGCCCTGTACGCTGAGCATGGGTCTGCCCGGCTACCCTCTGTGTGGAACACACTCAGTGGTTGCCCCTCCATGTCCACCTGCACATCTGCTGCACATCTCCTCTGTGGAGATGTACGGGGTGAGCTCAGCTTTACGTGGAGGGAAGGAGGGGCCATCTCTGCAATGGAGGGCCAGTCCCTCCAAGGCAGACCTGGGTAGTCTGGCGGCTCTGCTTTCCAGGCTTGTTCCTTGTCTGTAAAAGCGTCATCTGGTTCACCCCACCCTTTCCAGAATGACCAGCTTTGTTGCTCCTTGGGCAGCTCTCAGTCTGCCATTTCTTCATTATGGGTGCCCCCCCACCCCCACCTATGGCCCTTAAGGCCCCCCTAGGATGGTCAGCTCTGAAAGTCCACGCCTGCTGACTTACTTTCCCCATCCTTGTCACTGCGGTGTTCAGGAAGCTGGAGGGCCAGGCTGACCTGCTCAGGCACCTGCTTCGGGTCCTCCTCCATGTTTTCAAGCTGCACCGGAGCCGTGGGTTCTAGGAGAAATCAGAATGTTCCAGTGTGCTGACCCCACAGCTTGCTGCCTCATGCCCAGGATTGTTCTTGGGCTGCCTTCTAGAGCTGCTTCTCTCCCTTGGGGTATAGAGATTGCTGTGTTAAGGGCTTGGTGTGGCCCATTCATCTGCTGACCATCCCCACCATTGGGGCAGAGTCCCCTGGGCCCCAGAGCTGCCTTTAGCAGGATAACTTTTCTCCAGGTGGGGGCCAGCCCTAACCCTCCTGCTGAAACTCAGAGCTGCTTTGGTGAAGGTCACCGGTGGCCTGAGCCTGGGCGAAATGTCCTATCTGACCCAATGGCCCCATCCTTCCAGGTGGCTGATGCTGTGCTATCCTTCTTATGGTCAAATTCCACTCTCTGCTCCCTCCACCCCTGCTTCTTGGGGCTGTGGTGCCTCTTCCCTCTACATCTACCCTCAGGCAGACCTTGCACTTGGCCAACCCTAAATGCAAGTCAGCTTCTCTGTGGGGTCCCTGCCTGCACGCTTGGGCTTTTTATGATTGCTTCTGTGGCTTTAGGAGGGTGTCTGGGTCACAGCCCAGCCTGCCCAGCTTCCTAGACACCTCTTCCTGGTCATCATGTCTGGTGAGCCCTTCTGCTCCTTCTCTGCTGGTCACGGGGGCTGTGATGCCCACACCTACTCATCACTGTCCCTTTTCTTCTCTGGCCTGGGAATGTTTGTGCTAGTTGAGAATTCTCACTAAACTGGTAATTAGGTTCTGTGCCAGGGAATTCTGTGAGAACAGGACCTGGTTTACAGGTGAGGATGAGGCCTGGGCTGCCCTGCCTAGGGTCCCAAGGGCCTTGAGGGCAGGGGCAGCCCCTGGGCATGCAGCCCCTGGCCTGCTGTGCTACAGTCTTGGGGAACACCTTCTAGCCCAACCCCTCCTGCTAAACCATGTGGGAAGGGGCCAGGCCATCTCAACCCAGCGCTCATGCCCTGTGGTGCTAGGGCCAGGCAGAGTGGCCTGCTGGTCTGCCACAGGTGGTCCATTAGTTCAGGTTGAGCAGGATCTGAACCTGGGACACAGTCTCTTATGTGACAGAGGTGCAGTCTGTAGACTGTAACATGCGTGCCAATCACTTGGCTTCTTATTAAACACAGATTCCAACTGCACAGCTCTGGGTGGGATCCTGCCCATCTAGAAGCCCCCTGGGCGAGGCTGGTGCTGCTGGTCTGAGGACCTCACTTTGAGTAGCAAGGAGTTAGATGGTACTTCGTTCTCTTGCTTCCTGCTCGCTAAGCTACACTGGGACTCCCAGCTTGGCAAGCCCAGCTTCTGCGCCTCAAACCTCCTCCTGACCCTGAGCCCTGCCAACAGCCTGCACTTCAAACCATTCTGCCATATCGGGATGGCCCCTGTGAGCCTGTGCAGTTGCAAGGGCCTGCGTTTTGCTGCGTTCCTGTTGGAGGTGGTATCCGGTGCTTGGGGTAGTCTTTAAGCCCAGGTGTTAGGGGCCTCATCCCTTATCATGCTGGGGACATGGGCCTGAGGAGGTGGCAGTGAGGCCCCTGAGGCTGGCCGAGGCACTCACGCGATCTCACGGTGACCGATTTGCCAGGCGAGCCCCCAAACTTGGCACTCACTCGCCCTCTGCCGTCCACCAGTTCTGAGAACCTGCCAAGGGAGTCACCATGGGTCACCGCCATAGAGTGCATGCCTGGGGCCACGCGCTCTGGGGGGATGGCCGAGGCTGCACCTGGGGGCCGGGGTCTGGGTTTCAGGCGCGTCGCGGTCACTGAGCAGGCGCAGCTCTGGCAGGCGTGCAGGCGGGGGTCTGTTTCTGAGCACTCGGGGATGCAGTCCCTCCCTGTGCCAGCGTCTGTCAGCGCCGTCCCTCGAGGCTGCAGGTGGGTGGGAGGAGTGGGTGGCTGCATGAGGCTGGTCCCGCCAGGCCTCTTAGAGGGGAGCACTGGAGACAGTGTGTGTGGCCCCGAGGCCTCTTGGTGGCTTTGTGGGACCTCGTGGGTTTGTGGCTTTCTAGCAAGCCCAAGCCCTGCTCCCTGCCCACCCCCTGCATCCCATCCCAGGAGTCAGAGAGCCAGCTCGTCCAGCCCACCCTAGGCCCAGGATCTCCACCTGCAGGGCATGGCCAGCCACTCGGACCTGACAGGACACCCCCACATGCCCAGAGAGTGAGGATTAGGCTTCTCTGTGGGTCCTTGTCTCCTAACTGTGCCCCTAGCCCTCCCTTGGGCAGGTATGGCTGTAGCTGCATAGGGTCTGACCCTCTTGCATGGTGCCCATGTATCTTCTCTCGGGAATTCTGTTCTGCCCCAGCCACTATCTGCCTCCCTGCACACTCGTTTCACCCCATTGCCCTCTCCGCAGCGTCTGTCTAGATGCACCCTCTCCCTACAGCACCTTCTCCGGGCTCCAGCATGGCAACAGGGTCATGCAGGACCTGCTAGGACTCCATGGGCCTCCAGTGCGCTGGGGAGCAGACCACATCCTTAGTGTGGCCTGAGGCTCTGTGCTCCTCAGCTGTTTCCTCCCTCTGTGTGTCCACGTGGGTCTCTCTTCCTACCTCTCCCAGGCCACCCCTCCCCATGCCCATCCTGACCCTCTCTCCCATCTTTCTGTCCAGAGGCTCCTCGTGGGTCAGGCCTGGCTGCGAGGCCACTCCCTGGGGACAGGGTGAGGAGGGATATGCTTATGTTTACAAATTCCTAGTGCATGGACCTTGCACTGACTGTCCATGAATTCTTCCTTCCCCACTGATTTTCATACCCCCAAATTCTCCCGTGTGAACACAGTCCTGCTTTGTGGTTATCTGATGTTCCTAGGATGGTGTCGACCATGCAGGTCCTGGGGCTGAGCTATCTCCTGGGCAAGGATGCCATACCCCAAGGAGGGCAGCCCAGCCTGCTGTTCTGGGGGCCCACAGTGAGCACGAGGGGCTGGGCCACCTTCATGGCCCCATCAGTCCTGAAGAGACCGCAAGGCCTGGCCTGCGTGCCATCCCTGCCCCACCATCGCTGGCAGGGCCATACTTACAGGTGATGATGTAGAGGTGAGCAGGCTCACTGTGCAGTTGGTCACCCTCAGCGCTCTGCACGGCGGTCACTGATAGCTGGTAGCGCCGTCCTGGCAGCAGGTCCCGCACCGTGTAGGACGTCAGCCTCCCGTTGGGGACGTAGCGGCTCTTGGTGCTCTGGCTGGTGGTCACGTTGATGACATACGCCTCCAGCAAGGTACTGGGAGTGGGGATGTCCCAGACCACATGGGCAGAGGTGGCTGTGACTCTGGTGGCCGTCAGGTTGGCTGGCGGCAGGGGCCCTGATAGGCACGGAGCAGGGAAGGGAGGTGAAAGGGGCCACCACCAAGTTTAAAGATCTGACACGACTGCTGAAGTCTCCCGGAAGCCCCGTGTGGTCATGATGGACAACCTTACAGTCCTAAAGGGTGGTGTAGAGGGGTGTTTGCAGCAGCACCTCCTTCTGCCCGAGAGACTCCCCAGCATGCTGCCGGGAAGAAGCCATGGAGGTCCCAGGCCTGCGCAGCCTATCAGCGTGTTCTCCTTTTGATTGCCTAAGCCCGGCCATGTGCACCCTCCTCTGGGGTGTGGGAGGGGGCCAGGCAGGCAGGCAGTGGGCCAGGGTCCCAGCACTCAGGGTCAGTGCCAGGACTTGAACCGGCCCTCACCACACTCCCCCACCCCGCCATGGGCTGTCCATGTGCCTACCCCAGCTGGGCTGTCCTGGAACCTGGAACTTAGACTCTGCCAGATCTTTCCTCCTTACCACACACCCCCCTTGTTCACGGGTCCCTCTGGTGTGGACAACAAGACACACTGGCCCCTTCCATGTTGGGGTGGGAGGGGTGGTGAGGGCCAGGCCTCCTCCCCACCAGATACCCTGAAGACCAGAGAGTGGACACTGTGGACATCACCTGCATGCCCTCTGGCCTTTCGCTCAGGAGCCTTTGGGTGTTGGGCTTCCTGGGATGCCTGCCCTTCCTGGCACCTGTGGAAGGGACCTATGGGGTGCCAGGGCCACTTTGGTAGGACTTGGCTGGAGGGAGGTGAGAGCTTGCAAAGGTCCCACAAGACCAGAGGTTGTGTACTCACGAGTCCACACATGCAGTGGGGTCGAGGCCAGGCTCTCAGTGGGAGGCTCCTGTCCCCCAAGCCCGCTGAGGGCAGTCACCTGGATGGTGTATCTCCTTCCTGGCAGCAGGGACCTGTGGGTGGGAGGGCAGGGAGAGGCTCTGCTGCCAGACTGTAACTGCTTCCACACAGGCGGGCCTAGCTGTGGGTGATCCTGCAGGCGGGCTCCTGAATGACCAGATTTGTGGACTGAGACCTGTGGGTTCCTCACGTGGGAACTACTCCCTGATCTGTCTCTGTCTAGTACAGGGCAAGGGTCAAGAATGGCTCACACCTGCCCGGGATGGCTGTGGTGCAGAGGCCGGTGTTCAGGCAGGAGAGGCCAGAAAAGGGCACTTGGAGATCACTATGCAGAAGAGGGTCAAGGAGCAGGCCTCACTGCCCTCCTGCAGGGCCCTCGGCAGGAGTTCCTGGCAGAGTTCCCAGCACCCTCGTGCATGAGAGGACCTCGCTGCCCCCACAGCTCTGTGCAGTGTGGTTCATGCTAAGCACCCATTTCCTCCTGGGTACCCCGAATTGACAACAGGTGGGGGTGCCCCATGCCCAGCCCCCGATAAAAACCCTGGGTGCTGCGTCTCTCACAGGCTCCCCTGAAAACAGCACCTCACACATCGTCATGCCTGCTGGTGGCCTGTGTGACTCCATTGGGAAGGGCCCTGGAAGCTCACCCCTGGCCCACCGACTTCTCCCTTCCTGTGCGTTGCACTATTTCTCTCTTGTGAATCCCAGCTGGTAGCACAGCCTCTGCTGAGTTTGGGGGGGCCCTAGTGAGTCATGGGTGGTCCTGGGGACCCTGACTCAGTCACCAGGGCCTCATGTGCGTTTTTGTCACACCAGTCCTTGGAAGTGGGCAGTCCCCACAGAGCAGACCTGGGCGTCTGAGGTCAGAGGCACAGCTGACTAGGTGGAGGTTTCCTCAACTGGCAGGCACAGATTCCCCAGCCAGTCTCCCTCCCCCACTCTCCTGTCTTCCAGCACCCCCCTCCAGCAGGAGTCAGAAGCCTCACTGGCTGGCGAACCCGAGTGGGCCGAGGCTGTGAAGTCTGAGCCTTCACCGTGGGGCCATTCCAGCATTTACTTCAATCCTCAGCCAGTCTCAATGACTGATGTTCATGTGAGTTGTATTGACTTTGTAGTTTCGTTGTATTTGTAATAAGTAAACATAAGATGTTTACATGCCTACTTTAAGGTTCTAACATACAATTTGAACAATATAAAAATTTAAGACAAGTGTAGGGGTGCCCTATGTCTCCCTTTCAGAGGGGCCTGCGTGACTCCGGCTAGGATAGCCCTGTACCACTTTCTGGGTGGCTTGGTTTCATTATCTGTGCGGGAGACATGAACCCCAAGTTTTAGAGTGTCCCTGCTTTGTTGGGCACTTTCAAACACCTGTCTGGCAGCACCTGTGACGGGGAGAGGCAGGACTAAGGGCCGGAACAAAGGGGAGCTCTGCTTGTCAGGGCTGAGCAGGTGCTTGTGAAACACAGGAGGCGCACACACACCCCTGCTTCTCAAGGTGGGCGGGGAAGGTGGGGAACGGCAGGGGAGGGGCACAGAGGGAGAAGGAAGGAAGTCCTAGAGCCCCGAGGGAAGGGAAGGCCGGTCCCCTGCTCTTACCCAAATGTGAACCTGTCCACACTCTTGTCCATATCAGTGGATTGGTCCTCCTGGGCCTCAGGATGCTGGATGGACACACGGACGCCACTGACAGTGGCATGACGGATCCTGTGCAGAGCCCACCGCACTGAGATGGTGCTGGCTGTCACATTGGTGACCTCGAGGCCCTCAACTGGGCGGGGTCCTGGGGGGCAACAGGCCCCTTAGCTGGTGATGGCACCTCCTCACTCTGGGGGAGGGCAGGTGCTTGAGACCATGAGACAGGACTCAGGAAGTGTGCTGGGTGGGGGGTCACCGAGAGGGGTCCAAGCGAGGCGCTGACCCATCTGTGCTTGCTGGCTGCGGCCTTCAGCCACAGAGGGACTAGGGTCAACCGGATAGGCTCCAGCCTGGAGTAGGGGTGCAGGCAGCTTCACCAGAGGACTGCGGTCTTGAGGCTGTGGGGTGGGGCCCTTGGGACACATGGACCATGGGACCTCCTTTTTCTTTCCCCTGGCTGTTCTGGTTGCACTGACAGTGAATATTTGGGCGATGCTGCAGCCTACCGAGGATAGAAGCTGGGGAAATCTTGGGCTACTATGGGGAAGGGTCTGAGTAGACCACAGGAGCCAGGACGGGAGCCCTTGTTTCCTGGCGGCGCAGTACTCAGTCCGGTGGGCAGCATCCCTCCTGCCCACCCTGGTCTCCTGGGGAGACCCCACTCTCACTCTGATGGTGGAGGGATAGGGATGCCATTTCTTCCTAAAGCCAAGCTCAGGCTGAGCCCACTCTGCCCCACAAGCTCACTCTGGTCCTCCTGCTGGCCTAGGTGCATTCTCAGTGCCTCTTAGCTGGCCTTCCCATCACACACCTCTCCTGAGTCTCTCATCTCATCCCTTGCTTGGCCCTCAATGTCCTCAGGGTCAGTGTCTGGCTCGGGCTGGCAGGTGATACCCGGGCACCTTCCTCCTTCCATGAGGTTTCTGTCCATGCCTCTGAGCAACCTGGCCTCCCTCCTTTGCTGGCATGAGTCCCCACTGGTGGGTCCTGGCTGTCTGGCTTCACAGTGCTCTTGGGGATGGCCCTGCCTGCCTGCTTTGACCTGTGCTAGTACCTGGTGTGGTGGGAGCAGAGCCTCTGTGTGCTGGCTATGCTCTGAACCCCTACCAGCTGCCCTCATGGACCCTCCATGCTGCCCAGGGGACCACTGCCCCATTCATGGTCTTTCCTCCAGCCTCCAGCACCCCCTTCCACAGTCTCCCACGCCTATCTGGCCTCCACCTACCATGGGTTGCTCCCTGTGGAGGACCAGGCCCTCCCCGTAGATCCCAGAAGCAGATGAGCCAGGTAAGGCCCCCAAGGCCTCCCTAGACTATGCTTCCCCCTCCTGTGCAGCTGTACCCAGAGAGGCATCCGCCCTGGCAGCCCCCTTCTCTAGAACTGCCACCAATATGCTCTGTCCCCACCCCCTCAGAGTTGCTGTCTCCCCCCTCAGCATGTTGGGGTGACCTCCTGGGCGCCTTGCTTGTCCCTTTGGCACCCCCCAGCATGGGCTGGCCCCTGGCAGGTGCCTTCTTGGGGAGCCCCCCAACTTCTCCCATGGCCTCACTCCTAAGCCACGGTGCTCTGGAGCCTTGGCCAGTGTGCCTCTCCTGGTGGCCCCAGGCACATCCATGTGGGCACTCACGTGTGCGGGTCAGCAGCAGCACTGGCCTGCTGATGTCATTCTTGTTGTTGGCATTGCGCTTGACCGAGAACACAGAGATGTTGTAGGCTCTGCCGGCTGCAAGGGCGCGCAGCTGGTGCGAGGAGCGGCTCCGGTCCACAAAGTCTGTGCGGCGGTAGGCACCGTCTGAGGATGTGTAGGTAACTGCGTAGCCATCGAGCATCTGCCTGGCGGCCTGACCTTCAGGTGGACGCCAGGAGATGGAGACCCCACTCTCTTCCACTTGCTCCACCTTGAGGGCCGTTGGTGGGAAGAGCTCTTCAGGGTTTCCGTCAAGAACAAGGGAGGGGTGGTCAGCTGTCAGCCACAGAAACCCTGGCTGCCAGCCAGGCGTCTCACCTGGTGGCTCTCGGGCCTGTCCCCCCCGGGGTGGAGGTGGGCAACTGCTGGTGGGGAGCCCGCTCCTGTTGCCACAATGGGCCATTTCACCTGGTCTCTGGCCAGTGCCTCCTGGAGGGCCTCATGAATGTGTGCGCAGGTGACTGCCTTTGCCCTCCATGGCAGGGTGTGTGTGTGTGTGTGTGTGTGTGTGTCTCAGATGTGTGTGTACCTGTGACTGTATTTATGGCTCCTGGGCAGTTCTATACCCCTTCCTGCTGCTTGGGCAGAGCCCACTAAGCGACTGCCTAGACACTTTGCCCTGGGGGTGCTCAGAACTTTGACCTGTCCCCTGAGGGGTCTGTGCCCTCTGAGGGAGGAGGGAGGTCCACCCACTGCGCTGGCACATTTGCCACCTCACCTTTGGCACAATCCTTGCCCGTGTAGCCCACTTTGCAGGTGCAGCTGTGGGACCCATTGCTGGCCAAGCAGTAGCCGCGGCCCCCACAAGGGCTGGAGAAGCAGGGGTCACTCACTGGGGAAGAGGAAAGGAGCAGTGAACACTGGGGCCTTACCTGCTCCCCCAGCGGGACCCTTGCTGTTAGGGGCAACAGGTCCTTCCTGTGTGGGTGTGTTTGTGGGGTAGATGTGGCTGGAACCATCATAGGAAGCGATCTGAAGAGGTGAGGGAGGGGCTGCTCTCTGAGGGGAAATGCAGGGCTTGCCAGAGGTCTCACCGGGAGGCTGGGCACATCATCCCACCACTACTCCCAAGCCAAGGTAGCCTGGTAGGTGGTGACTCAGGGTGGGATGAGCAGAGGGCTGGCCTCTTCTGGGGAGCAGCTGGCAGCCAGGGCAGTCTCCCTCTGCACTGGGGCTGTGGGCATCGAGGGGACCTGAGCTCCCCAGGCCAGGGCCAGGACCCGCAGGTTCCCAGTGAAGCCGCGGGAGCCCCCTTATCACTGTCATGGCCACTAACCGTGTTCCAGGTGCGCATTTACCCACCCCAAGCTTGTACAGTGAGACTCCTTGGCCACAAATGGCCCCCATTGTGCTTATGCTGGGGCTACCAGCACCACAGTCCCTGGGCCTAAGACCTCACCCCCAGCAGAAACTTCACCAGCCCAGCAGCCTCGCACAGCCCACACAGCCACACAGCGCAGTGCTGCCAGCCAAGCCCAGCGTCAGGGCTAGAACAGGACCTGCCCCTGGGACACTACACACCCGTCCTAGGAGGAGAGCTGAGACCAGCAAATTGAAGAGACAGTTGCAGAGAGTTGCAAGTCCTATAAAGAAGGAAAATGGGCAGAGAATTCCCAGGTGTAAGGAGAGGTGGGCACTGGGACGCTGGGGCTGCAGCGAGTTCCGCCCACCCAGGCTGGCCATGGAGCCAGCCTTGTCTCTTGGGGTGAAGTGGGGCCATTGGAGGGGCAAGTGCAAGAGGTGGGTAGCTAGCATCAGGGGACCCAGCAGAGGCCTGAGTAAGGGGCCTCTGGAGGAGCTGGGGCTTGGCCTCTGCCTCCCTACCTGTCTCACAGTGGTAGCCGAAGAAGCCCTCTGGGCAGACGCACAGGTAGGCCCCGCCACCGTTCTCACACCGGCCTCCATGCTGGCAGGGGCTGGAGTGGCAGCCATCCACCTCTGGAGAACACCCAGAGAGTTGGCCAGAGCCGCCAGGGGGTGTCTGGGGGAGGGAGGAGAGGATAGCGGGAAGAAGGGAAGGGGGATCGAGGAGAGATGCCAAGGAGAGATGCCGGGTGTGGGGGGGGTGGTTTGCTGGGGAAATCCCCCTTAGCCTTGGAGCTCCCTTCCTGGGGTCCCTCCCCCTGGGGGGCCTGTCTAGCTGGGCCAGGGGCCCAGCCATTTCCCTCTGCTCACTGATTGGCCCAGGGTCTACGCTTGTTGAAAACAGGTTTGTCCAGGGCATCCAGGGCATCACGAATGTGGGTGAGGGCCCAGCCACTCAGGGGACCCACCCAAGCACAGTGCCTACCTGTCTCGCAGTGGACTCCAGTGAAGCCTGCAGGGCACTGGCAGACAAAGGCCCCTGGGAGGTCCCTGCAGGAGCCTCCATTTCTGCAGGGCTGTGCTTGGCACTCATCTGTCTCTGCAGAGACAGGGGCACTTGTTTGTCTCTGCAGAGACAGGATAGGAGGCTGCAAAGTCCTACACAGACTCCAGAGAGGTGGGACATAGGCCTCACACGGCTGTACACAGGGCTGCATGGCCCTGCGTGGGCTTTATGTGGACCTCCAGGGGCCTCCACAGCCACCAGGATTTCATGTGTGCTCTGAGGCCTTAGCCTGATGCCCACCCTCTCCACTGTCCACCTGACAAAGGCCCTACCCCCAGGTCACTCCCGCATTTCACTGTCCAGGCTTCTCAGGGGCCTGGGCACATTCTAGGCCTGGCTCTCCCTGGAGCAGGGTCTCTGTCTCAGGGCTTAGAGCCCTACACAGGTGTGCAGGGTACAGGCTCATCCACCAGTGTACCCCACAGGCCTCCTCTCCCTCTGCTGGATTGGAGCACAGGGCCAGGAGTCAGGGTGTGACTCTCTCCAGCCCACCTCCTCTAGCCTTGGGGCAGAGGCTGCAAAAGGCAAGAGGAGGTCAAGGTCAGCTTCCTCAGCTGGGCTGTCAGTCTCCCTGGGGAGGTGGAGGCTGAGATGTTTGTAAAGAGAAGTAGGAGTCAGAGAGCAGGCTGTGCTGGGCCAGGCAGTCCGGGGGAGGGCGGGTGGAGTAGCGCCCTGCCGTCTTACCGGACCACAAAGGGCCTCCTTCCTGTCCTGTGAAGCAGGAGCCCCTATGCAGGCATGGGATCCACACTCATCAGCTTCTGAGAGGGGATCCCCGGTGTACAGGCACCAGGAGAGACACCAAGAATAAAGCGGTGTTTTGACTGGAGGCAGTGGTTTGAAGCCAAATATGATGGATGTAAGTTAGCTTTGTTCTGAGGAGCCGGACACAATTGTCCAGCACCCCTCAGCGCCTGGAGAGGCCCAAAAGACCCTGGAGAGGAAGGGTTGGGCAGTGGGCCCCCAGGGGGATGCTCATCATGACCTCGAGGGCTCTCATAGAGCGTGCAGGACTTTACTCTGTGGCTGGCAGGTGGCCAGGCCCAATCTTGCCAGTTCACATGTCGCTACCACATATGAGCCCAGTACCTCTGGGGACAAGGCCTTCACTTTAGGATATTTGCCACAGGCTTGTTTTGCATTTTAAACTGGGAATTAGGCTCTGGAATTCCAAGTGTTCAATTTAGAAAAGTTGAATTTTAATGCTTAAAATGTAACGAAATAAATGGTAGTAAGTAAAACACCCAGGAGCTAGAGTGCTTACTATCTCATCAGGTCACATGCACTTCCACGTCCCTTGTGATGCGGATTTTGGGGCTTATGATATCTTTGCCTCTTTAGTATTTTAAATTTCATGAATTACCTAAACAATGTATGTTTTGTTTTTGCTATTTATGAATTTTGTTAAAAGGACATAGTGATAAATGTATTCTCCTCTCACTGAAAATGGTATTAATGAGCTATCTCCATGCTGTCGGTGGGGTGGGGGGTTCTCTGTGTGAACACAACAATAATAGCATCCACAGTGGGAGTCTCTTGTACTCTGTCCATTCTCGATTGCTGGCATTTGGGTTTGTTTTAGACTTTCTGTTATTATTTAAAAAAAATGCTTTTATTTCCTTTCATAGCTCCTGGTATAGATGTGCCCATTTTCTTAGATTTAAACCTAGAAGTGGAATCTCTGGGACACAGTTTCTATGCATGGTCAAATTGATAGGCAGATTACCAAGCCCTTTTCAAAGTGTTTCTGACAATTTACGCTTCCTCCAGCAATTTATAAGCAATCCTGTTGATCCACATTACCACCAGTAGATGGCTTTCTAGACTTCTGCAGTTTTGTCAACTGAATGCACCTCCCTGTGCTTTTGATTTGCATTTCACTGATTACTAATACTTCTCTTGGCTATTTTTTGTTGGCTTTATTATCTCCTCTTCCATGAAAGGCCTCCTCAGTGTTTTGCTGATTTTCCTACTGGGTTTTCTTTTCTTATTGATTCATAGAGTTCTTTATATATTTTTCAAACCAGTCTCATATGTATGTATGTGTGGGTGTGTGTGTGTGTGTGTGTGTGTGTGTGTGTATACATATATATGTATATATATATAACTTCTTATATAGTCAAGTTTGTGTATTTTTTTCTTTTATAGTTAGTGCATTTTTTGTGGCTTAAGAAATCTTTCCTTATCCCAAGGCCAAAAAGATACCACGTAAAATTTTGTAGTTTTAGAAAAACATGTAAGTCCTTAATTAATCTGGAATGAATTCTTGTGTGTGGTGAAGAGTAGGGAACAATGTGATATTTTTCTAAATGCATAACCATTTTATTCCAGCTGTTGTGAAGATTTTCTCATATGCTTTTATAGAAGTTTATAGTTTTAGCTTTTATACTATGTCTGTAATTCATGTCACATACATAAACATCATATTTGGTGCTATTATATATAACATTGTTCATTTTATCTTATTTTTCAAGTGTTCACTGCTAGAAAATATTAAGGTTTTGTATATTGCCCCTCTCCTGTGACTCACTTGAATTTGCTTATTTATTCCATAGCTTTTTTGGTAGAATTTCTTTGGATTTCCCATGTGCACGACCATGTCATCTTTCTTCCAGTAGATGTGACTTTTATTTCCTTTTCTTGTCTGTGGCCCTGTCGGGGACCTCCAGGACAATGCTGGAAGGAATCAGTGAAATGGACACACTGCCTTGTTACTTATCACAGCAGTATCCCTCTCACAGTGAAGTACTTTGTTACCTACTGCTGTTTCATTGATACCCTTCATCAGGTTACAGACAGTCCCTTCTATCTACTCTTAGTTTATTAATAGTTTTAAGAAGTAGTTGAATATTTTCAAATGATTTTTCTGCATCTATTGAAACGATTATATGGTTTTCTCCTTCATATCCTAATATAGTGAATTACACTTACTGATTTTCAAGTGTTAAACCAACCTGTACTCTTAAGATAAACCCCACTGGGTCATGATATATTATCCTTTTTATGTAACAATGTGTTTGATTTAGTAATATTTTGTTAGGATTTTTATGTCCATGTTCATGAGGAATATTAGTTTGTAATTTCATTTTTCTTTCTTTTTGTGGAGTGCAGTGCAGAGCTTGAACTCACGACCCTGAGATCAAGACCTGAGCTGAGATCAGGAGTTGGATGCTTAACACACTGAGCCACCCAGGCACTCCTAATTTTATTTTATTTTATAACATCTCTGTCTTGTTTTAGTATCAAGACAATACTGATCTCACACAATGAATCAAGAGCTCTTCTTCCTTTATTCTCTGAAGAAGCTTGTGTGGGGTTAGTATTTTTTTCTTCAGTGTTTGATAGAATTCATCAGTGAGGCAATCCAGTCCTGCCATTTTCTTTGCAGAAAGGTTTTTAATTACATATTAAAATTCTTTAATGATATAGGGCTATTCATATGTTCTATTTATTGTTCTGTCATTTCTGGTAATTTGTGACTTTTAAGGTATTTATTCCTTTTCTTTAAGTTGTCAGATATATTGGCCTCAACTTGTTCACAGTATCTCTTCCTTGTCCTTTAAATGATTGCAGGATCCTTAGTGACATCTTCTCTTTCATTCTGATATTGCTAATTTTTCTTTTTTATTTCTTGATCAGTATAACTGGAGGTTTATCAATTTTATTGAACTTTTCAAGGAACCAGCTTTTGGTTTCATTGATTTTCTCTGAATATGTCTTTTATAATTACATTTTCTAATTGTAGTTGATATATTAAAATGCAATTTTATTATAATAACCTATATCCACTAAACATACTACATTTTCTATCATTTTCAGTAAGTTGCTTATAGATTAAGGCAACCATACTGCTTATAGATTAAGGCTTGCTTATAGATTAAAGACAACAGATACTGACATTCTTACTCCCTACCTTCATATTTTCATGATTTTAATATCTTTTTCTTACTTTATTGCATTGGCTACACTTCCAATATAATACTGATGAGGCTTAGTGACAGTAGGCATCCTTGTCTCCATTTTTTTTTTTTTTTTAAGAGATGGAGAGAGAGAGGTGGGGGTGTAGGGGGAGAGTGAGAGAGAGTGAATCTTGAGCAATCTCCATGCTCCAGTATGGAGCCTGACACAGGGTTTCATCTCACAACCCTGAGATCATGACCTGATCTGAAATCAAGAGCCGGACACTTACCTAACTGAGCCACCCAGGTTCCTCTCGTTGTCCCCAGTATTAAGAGGAATGTCTTTCTATTTAGGATAATGTTCATTTGAGGTTTGAGTAGAGGCACAGTAAAAGTACCTCAGAAGCTAATTTCCATTTTCCTGTTGGTAGCTCAGCATGACTGAGTCAGATCAACAGAAGCACAGGTTTTGAATTCCAGATCCTACCTCTATCAAGGATCAGGAGACTCATTGTTCCACAGCTCTCTTGATGTAACCTGTATTCTATCTCTATACATGTGTAAAGTTAGTGCTTGGCCACACATAGTGTGACGAGTCTGGTTATGCCCAGCCTAAGCACACCGCTCTGTGGGATGATACACACTTCGGGGGTTATGCAGGCTCTGCTACGTCTCTCTTTTAAGTTTTTCCTCCAATAAGTCCTATATATTTTATACGACATGTTATTAGAGGTGTGTATGTGTGATGTGATTTTTATCTGGTAAGTACTTTTTTATTCCTTATTTGGTAAGAGTTTATTTCATGAATGGGTATAAATTTTGTCAAATGCTTGTTATGCATGTATTGAGATATTTATATGCTTTTTCTCCTCCAGTTGGTTAATATAGCAGGTTTTCCTGATATCAAACTAATCTTGCAACAATCCAGCTTGATAATGGAATATATAGTCTTTATAGACTGTTGAATTTCTGCATCAATGTTCATATGTTTAACAGATCCATCATTTTACTTTCTCCAGCTGTCCATATCTGGTATTGGTATCAAGTTTGTACTGGCCTCGCAGAATAGATTGGCACATATTCTTTATTTTCTACTACATTTCTATTATATTCTATCTACATTTCTATTATTTTTATTATTCTTTCTCTGGAAGGTCCTGCATAATGCTGCAATGATCTGTTTCTCTGCAATTTGGTAGAAGTTACCTATAACATTGGTCTTGGAATTTCTTTGTGGGAAAATGCTTCTGCTTCAAATCCTTTAGACATTTATAGGATTATGTAGGCTTTCTAAATATCCTTGAGTCATTTTTGGTAAGTTATATTTTTCTGTGAATATTATGTCCATTTCTCCTAAGGTTTCAAATCTACTTGTATAGACTAGTTGATAGTATTCTCATCTTCTTAATCTCTGCTATATCTGTGGCTATGTCATCTTTTTCATTTATAAGGATTTTTATTTGTGCTATCTGTTTTTGCTGATCAGTTGATATAAGTTTGTCCATTTTCATAAGCTTTTCAAAGAACTAATTTTGGTGATCTCTTCTTTATACTTTGGATTTGACATTTCATTAATTATGCCTCTTACTTGTATTGCCTTTTTCTTCCTACTTTTTTGGTATAATTTGTTGTTCTTTTCTTAACTTCTAAACCCCAACATTTAGCTCACTAATTTCTGAACTTTTCTAACTATGTACTTAAAGTTCCCACAAAGCACAGGTTTTGCTGCATCAGACAAGTTTTTACATAGAAAATGGTCATTAATACTCATTTTAAATTTTCTTACTGTCCGTATTTCTTCTTTGATTTATAAGCCATTTCAAAGTATCTTTAAAAATATCTAAACATAGAGATTTAAAATTTATCTTCTTGTCATTAGTAACTCAATTTTTTCTGTGTGTTCAGAGAATGAATTAGTTCAAATTGTTAGTTGTATTATTTGAATCTTCTTTTTGCTGATTTTTTTTGGGGAGGGGGCTTCTTAACCTGAATTGAGAGAGGTGGTTCAAAATCTCATAGTATTATGGTAAATTGTCAGTTTCTTCCTGCAGTCTATTAATTTTTGTTTTATATATATTGACACTATTGTATGAGATGCTTGAATGTTTGCAATGATCTTCTTGGTGATTTGGAACCAATTATCATTGAAAGAGACCTTCTCATCCTTAATGATGCTTTACATTTTAAGAGAGTATATTTTGGCTGATATTAGTATAGCTAAACCTGCTTTATTTTGATCTGTATTCACCTGATATTTTTTTTCCATATTTTACTTTGTCTTTTTAAGTTTTTAAGTTTATGATTTAAGAGTATGATTTATGATCTAAGAGTGTATAGCTTTTTTTTTTTCTTTTATACTTATTTATTTATTTTAGAGAGAGAGGAGAGGGGGCAGAGGAAGAGCTAAAGAGAAAATCTTATGCAGACTCTATGCTGAACACTGAGCCTGATGTGGGGCTCAGTCTTACGACCCTGAGATCACAAACTGAGCCAAAACCAAGAGTCGGATGCTTAACCAAATGAGCCACCCAGGTGTCCCTAGCTTGTTTTGTTTTGTAATAAATCTGGCAATGGTCTTTTATCTGGAGAATTTAGCTCATTCATGTTTGTCTGCATTTTTTTCTATCATAATCTTAATTCTGCCCTTTTTCTGCTTTTTTCCTCTCTCCTGTTAGAGAGTGAAAAACTTTCCTATAATATTTGATAATCTTCCCTTCTCTTACTCCTTACAGAATGTTCTAGGTTTATCTTACTATTTGAATACTATCTCAAAAAAAAAAAAAAGACCTTTTTTGGGTAAGTCTTGAAGCTGTGTTTGCAAGAGGGTATTATTTTTGAGTAATAGTTTGAATAAAAATTTTTAGGTCTTAAGTTTATTTACTTCCACATTTACCTTGCTTGGTATTTGCTGAGCTTCTTGAATTTGTGGGTTGATTTATTTCCTCATTTTTAGAAAATACTCAGTCACTATCTCTTCAAATATTTCTTTTGCCTATTCTGCCCTCTCTCTGGGACTCCAGTTATGTGCTTGTTTGTTTGATATTTACCACAGATTTTGTGTGCTCCCTTTTTAAAAAAAATTATTTATAAGTAATTCCTAATTCATTTCTTCTTTCCAGTCTTTGGTTTGGATAATTTGTTGACCTGCCCTTGAGTTCTGTGACTTTTTCTTCTGTAGTATCCATTCTATTGGTAAGCCTATCCAATTTACACTTCATTTTAGATGTATTTTTTTATTGTGTTTTTGAAAGTTTTCTTTCCTCTGCTCAAATTTTCTATTCTCTCATTCATTTTGCTTCTCTTTAACATATTGATAATGGTTATTTTAAAGTCCTTGTCTGCTAATTCAAACATGTGGTTCATCTGCAGGTCTGTTTCTATTGACTGTTTCTTCTTGAGGTTATATGTCATAATTTCTTGCTTCTTAGACATACTATACACAAGAACAGAGAGACCAAAGTAGAAAATACCTATCCCTAGGATCTCCATGCTCTGCTCTGAGTCGGAAAATTAGCCTGAGTAGCTGATCTCTGATGTTATCCCAGAGGTGAGCTGGCCTGGACCTGGTGCACAGGGCTCGTTAATGCCAATTCATGATTGATTTTAGATGCCTGAAGGTTGGAACAGACCTCTCCCTCCGGGGTGGACCTGGGAATCTCAGCCTTATGAGGGTATGAAATTTCTCTGCTTTCCAGACCAGCCACTGTCTTCCCATGCACTTAATAAAAATCCTGTGGAGGAGAATTGGTGGGTGCTGAGCACTTGCTCTGTATCTATGTGACTCCTGATTCCAACCCATCATGCTTGCTCACATAATCATTGAAGGATTAGTTGGATTTCCCCAGCTCCTCAAAGTGCTCTGTCCACACTGGATTTGCTCCTAGGCTGATAGCAGTCCCCAGTCTTTCTCACCTAGGAAGGGCTCATCTGTACTTCTTTGCATACTGATATGCATATCTGATAGGTTAAATGATATCATTTTACAGGTTCTCTGGTTCCTTGAAATTACAGTGAGAGTGATGGTGTTTTGTGACTGTCTCTATGCTCACTGAATGGATCTCCTCAGTATTTAAAGTCTACCATTTCATTATCTTATATCTGATGGCACTGTTGAGAAGTCTGGTGCCAATTGGATTATCGTTCTTTTGAAGACTCTTGTTCTTTTTTTCTCTAGATAGTTTAAGAATTTTTTCTGATTGTCTCTGATATTCTTAAATTTTGCTATAATGTGCTAATGTTCCTCTTTTCTCCTGTTTGATGTTCTGGGGCCCTTTCAGCCTGTGGTGGTTCATTTGTTATTCTGGGAACTGAGCTCCATAGTGGCTCCAACATTTCATTGTGTTTTTATTTTTCTTTTTCTTGGACTCCTGTTATCTCAGTGTTGACACTTCTGTCCTCCACAGTGCCTACATCTCATTCTCACAGACCTCCCTGCTTCTCTGTGGGAAGAGTCCTCAAACTGGTCTTTTAGCTCATTAACTTAGCCTTCATCTGTATCCATTTATAAATTGTGTCTGTTATTTCAACTATTATAGTTTCTCAGTCCTCTTTTCCACTCTCTTTTGTTAAAAATGATTTATCGACCCTGCTTCTTACGACTAGTGCCATGTTTCCTTCCGTGTATCTATCATGCTTATATATATGCTTGTCCACCTTCTAAACTTCCACTCCCAGTAGTATATGTTGTTTGGATTTTATTGTTACTGTCTTTGGAGAGGGCTGGGCTTGGATAGATAGGAGGACAGGAAAGACCCTCGGGACTAGGCAGCCCCATTTGTCTTCCAGAATTCCTCACCTGTGTAGGGCTGCACAGCTTGGGCTCTGCAGGGCATTGGGACAGAGCAGTCTTAGGTAGTCCCTGAGCTACTTTGTTTAAAAATCCTTGTTTGGTGAAAGATGTGTTAACATCACACAGGTTTTCTGATGAACAGAGTTAGGGATGCTTAGGCTTAATGCAGCACACCTGCAGTTGTGTTAGTGACCCTGTGTCTGCAGGGGCATGGGGGTGCCCTGCCTCCAGGCCATGTACCCCGGCACACTGTGGGAGCCCGAGGTGAAGCTCTCTAATGCAGCACTCCTCAAATAGCTCTGGGGGTCCTGGGGGGCTTTGTTCAAATGCAACATTTGCTTCCATGGGTCTGGGTGGTGCCGGGGTAAGAGGCCCTGAATCCTAATCTGCCTCTTGAGGACTCTGCCTTTGGGCTACCTCAGCCTCAGCTGCTTCATCTGCAGGGTGGGCATATGGGTTGGATGCCCTGCTCTAAGAACAGGGAAGACCTAAGTGAACAGTCCAGAGTGGAGCTGGCACTAGTCCTCACCACCCTCCCCATAGGGTCATGGCCTCACTTTGCAGGAAGGTGGGGGAGGGCCAGGGTCAGAACTGTGGTTCCTGTGCTCCTGAGTGGCCCCATTAGGAGGGTATGGACCCCACTGGCTCTGCCCGCGTGCCCGCCCACCCTGCCCCAGAAGGCCTGCAGATCACCGTGGCACTGTGGAGGTTCGCTCCAGACTCCCTGTGGCTGGCAGACTCGGACGTAGTTGGGGGAGCTCAGGCTGTAGCCTTGGTCACACTTGTACAGGGCCACGGATCCCAGCCGAGTGCCATTGAAGCGCAGTGTGGCATGTTTCACCTCTGCTGGGGTGCCGCAGTCGACCTCTGCAGGGACACAGAAGCCTTGTCCTGCACTGTGGGGCACCTGCCTGAGGCCCCTCCCTTTGCTTTGCCCTCTGCTCTACCAGGCCACTGGGCCTAGAACCCCTGTTCCCTGCACAGCCCTCCCAGGTGAAAGTGCCTTGACTTCCAGGAGTGGCTGCCCATGGTTTTCTCCTTTCCCCTCCCTCCTCTCAGCTCCGTCTGGCCCTGCTCTGCTCTTCTGGGATTAGGAAGAAATCCCATGCCTTCTGCCCCAACCCCCAGCCCTCTCACCCGCCTGGCATCGGCGTCCCATGTACCCTGCTCGACAGCGGCAGGAGAAATCTGTGCCCAGGTCCTCACAGGTACCCCCATTCATGCAGGGGCTCCGGAAGCAGGGGGAGGGGGCTGCAAGGACAGAGGGTGTCATCATCGCTGTGTCCTCCCCAAAGACCTCTAGGCTTCATGGGAGCTCTGCCTCCCACTCCTCCAAAGCAGGGCCACCCCTGCCCACTGGGAGCAGCTGCAGCCCCCAGGTGCCCTGTCTGTGCTGCCCCCATCTGGTCTAGCCTGCTGGCTTCTGCCCACCTTACCTATCTCACAGTGCCGCCCAGAGAAGCCTGGGGGACAGTCACACTTGTATTTGCCAATGTAGTGGAAGCAGGTGCCGCCATTGTGACAGGGGCCTGAGGCACAGGAGTCCGGCTTCCCTGGAAAAAAAAAGGCCCCCATGGGAGTCAGGTGTCATGCATCCATACCCAGAGCCCCTCCCCCAATCTCCAACATTCCAGGGGGTGCTCCTGACAAGCAGACGCATGGTGGCTGGGGCAGGACTTGGCTTCCCCCATCCAGGCTGACTCCAGCTGGCATGGAGCCGCACCGATCTCGCAGTGCCTCCCGGTGAAGCGGTAGGGGCAGCTGCAGTGGTACTCGCTGCCTGCCTCCCTGCACGTGCCCCCGTTCCGGCAGGGCCCAGAGCTGCACAGGCGTGGTCGGGCTGTGTGGACAAGGATGGGGAGAGACAGAAGAGGGTGAACAGGGCCAGCTCCCGGCCATGCAGCACCCATGACACCCTACTCATGTCTTCTCAACCTGTAGGCCCCATGGGCCCACCCATCTTCTCTTCTCTGTCCCGGGCCCTGGTGACCCGTGGCCCCTTCCTGGTGGAGAACTGGCCTGCATGGCAGGGAACACAGCTGCAGCTCATAGGACTAGGATCCACCGCAGTCTAATTTTTGTTTTCGGCACCTCTAGTGGCACCAGTGTATTTTCTCTGGGTCCTAACACACTCCCACGGCCCTGAGGGGCTCACATGTAGTGCCTGTGCTGTAGACATCTGCGTATTTAAAGGTCTGCCCTCCACCCCGAGGAATGGTGCCTTCAGAGGCCCACAGAGGAATTTAGCCCCTCAGCTTCTTCGACATTCTTGGGAGCGACTTGCAGCAGGAAGGGGGCCTGCCTGCCGTCCTCAGCCCTTCTCTCCCCACCATCCCACACCCTGCAGGGCCTCACAGGCTGCATGCCCAAGTTCCAGCCACTCCCCCAAAAGCTGCCACCACCCCATGTCCTGCTTTGGATGCCTTTGTTGAAGATGAAGGTCCTCGGCCACATGTGCAGAGAACCAAGACAAGGAAGTCTTCTCTTTGGAAACACCCTCCTCCTCCTGCAGGCGTGGCTGAAGCTGAGGGGTGACAGGGACCTGCCCTCAGGGCCACCATGAGAGCAGAAGATACTTCCAGGTAAAGCCACTGAGGCCTCTGTTCTTGGGACAAGCGAGGGCAGCAAGAGGCCCAGAGAGGTGTGTGTGGTCCAGGTGCTGAGCTCCATGAGGCAGGCATGAGCCTGGGCTCTGAGGAAAACCAAGTAGTGACCAGGGGGCCACAGAGCAGAACCACTAACTGAACAAGCAGCACCTGGGGCAGGGGCAGCTGTGCAGGACCAACACACAGAAGCTGGGCAACACATGACCCACTTGAACAGCAACTGAGAGTGGGTGGAGCCCTCTCTGCCCTGCCCTGCCCTCCTAACCCTGCCACCCCAGCCCCCCCCCTGCCCCCCCTTGCCCTCCCCCACCGCCCACCTTTCTCACAGTGCCTGCCGTGGAACCCTCGGGGGCACTCGCAAGTGTAGGAGTCCTCGTGGGCATCACAGGAACCTCCGTTGAAGCAGGGGTCTGAGTCGCAGGGTGATGGCAGTGCTGCAGGGGCAGAGGGTGGTCACCCTGCCATCCCAGCTGGAACCAAGGGCACTTAAAATATACTCTTTTCGGGGAAGGGTCTTAATTCTTTACACCAGGCTCTAAGGCCCTTCCCTGGAAATTCTTTTATTCTCAATTTTTCCAGAATTCTCCCTACCTCTCCTATGAGCTAGGATTGAGCTATGGCACACAGATGTTTTCGTGCCAGCACCTCCATCGTCTTCATTATCCAGTATGCAAACCATTAGTTATTTGTACACTCAAACACAGTGGTATTTAGTTACATACTGAATCAGATAGGCGTGAAGTAGTTTAATAGCTAAGCTAGGGACTTAGGGAGAGCTTGTAGGTGTCCAGAGGTGCTTTTCCAGCTGTGAGCTTCCCACAGCTGAGGGGTTAGACAGCCAGGCCCGTTTTAGAGAGGGCGACACCAGGAAAGGCGCACCCATCCATGGGGCTACTTGTGGGCCAGTAGAGAAGCCCTGGCCTCTGCCTGCTCTGCCCCCACTTTTTCCTGCTACCACCCCCTCCCTGGTTTCTAGGCAGGCCTGTGCCTGTACCTCCCACTCACAGTGGCTGACGTTGTGGTCCGTGTGGCAGACGCAGAGGTAGCTCCCACCATACTCCATGCAGTAGCCCCCGTCGGGACACTGCGTGTTCATGTTGCAGGGAGTGGCTGTGACTTCTGCAGGGAAAGAAGAGGCCCATTCATTTTCCCAGGGACTTCTCTTTGAGAAGGATCAGGTGGCCCCACCAGGATGGCCTAGTTCAGGCACTGGTGGGTGGGCCCCCTCCTGGGTTGGGAGTGGGGGATCATGGGACCACTAGTTAAGGGTCTGGATCGATAGTTTGGGCCCAGACCCAAGACACCAGCTATACTCTGGTTTGGGGGATTTTCAGGGGCAGGGCAGGAAGTGTGCCCCGCTGCAGCCCTGGGCACTTACCAAATTCACAGAGGAGCCCAAAGAAGCCTGGGGGGCACTGGCAGAAGGTGGTGTTGGCCCCTAGGCATCTGCCACCATTACGGCACTCACAGTGGTCAGGGGTTCCTGTTGTAGACCGAGGGGGAGCCTCCAATGTGGGGGTGCTGGAGGCCTGGGGCCCTCTCTTGCTCCTGACCCTGCCCGGCTCCTGTAGCTACTTTCCCATGAACACTGCTGTGCAGACACACATGCACACACACTCTTTCTTTCCCCCACCCACTTGTGGGTGTTTGAACACACCCCTGTCTGCCTTCCTGTGTGTACTACCCACAGGAGGACCCTGTCCTGGACTGTAGCCCTGGCAGCCCCAGCCCACTCACTCTCCCTGCAGTTGGGGCCGGTGTAGCCCTGGGGGCATTCGCACACATGGCCCTCATCTGCATCCACACAGGTGCCCCCATTCTGGCAAGGGGCCGAAAAGCAGGGATCCGGCACTGGGTGGTTTCCTGCAAGAAAGACAGAGGTCACCAGAGGCTGCACAGAGAGCATGGGGGTAATGGGGCCAAGGGCCCCCTCGTCCAGGCCCACAGCACTCAGTTCTCAGTGCAAGTGGGATTTAAGCCCAAGGCCCACTTTCTGGAAACTGGTTTCTAGTTGCCTCTTACCATCTGAGCCCCCTCTGTGGAGCAGAAGGCGAAGCAAGAGTATGGAGAGCCCACGGTGTGCACCAAAGGGCGCAGCTGAGACCAGGGGGCTCCAAATGCTTCTAATCAAGCATAACATGGTTGGAATTTGCCAGATACAGTTTTTGTTGATTTCTAGTTTAACTACTGTAATCAGAGAACACAGTCCTTTTCAACTGATTGAGCTTTATTTTATGTCCTACAGGATGGTCTGTCATGGTGAGCACGCCATGAGCACTGGGAAAGGATGTGAGTGTCGTAAATGTCACTTAGGTCAGGTGGCCTGATGGTGCTGTTTGCATCTTCGAGGTCCCTGCTGATTCCTGTGAATCACTGAGAGCGGCAGGTTGGAGCCACTGCCTGTAGTTACAGATTGGTCAATTTTTCCTTGTTTTCCCTTCCCCTATGATTTTGATGTATGTTCATAGGTGCAAGTACATTAGAATTGCTCTGCCTTTTTGATGACTTGACACCTTTGTCTTAAAAGACCCCTCTTCCTGGCAGTATTCCTTTTCCTAGAGTTTTCCTAGAGTTTAATTTGTTTGCTATGAATATAACCACTCCCAACTTGTCTTGATCAGTGTTTGTCACTGATTGTTTGGGTGCTCGATTTCTTCATGTGGTTCAGAATTTATCTTTTTAAATAGTTTATGGCAAAATTGACTTTTGGTCGATGTACACTTCTATGAATTTTAACACATGTATAGATTTGTGTTGCCCCTACCACAATCGGGACACAGAACATTCCATTACCCCAAATACATCCTTGTTCTATCTTCAGGGTTATAGACTTCCTCCCCTCCTGAAGCCTGAGCAACTACTGATCTGTTCATCACCACAGCTTTGTTGCTTTAAGAATACCAGAAGTGGAAGATTACTCATGAACAGTATGTAATCTTTTGAGGCTGGCTTCTTTCACTCAGCATAAGGCCTCCAAGATCTGTCTCAGTTGCGTGATCAGCAATCATGTATCCCACGAACAGCAAAGGACATTTGGGTTCACAGGTTTTGGTGGTTGTAAATAGACATGCTATAAACATTTGTGTATTTTGTGTGAATGTAAGTTGTCATTTCTTTAGGGTTAATAGCTAGGAATGAGATTGCTGGATCATATTATAAGTGTATGTTTAACTTTATGAAAAGCTGCCAAGTTGTTTTCACGGTGGCTAAACATTTGGCATCACCACCAAAAATACGTGAGAGTTCCCACAGTTCTGTGTCCTCACCAGTCAGCACTTTTTATTTTAGCTATTCTGATAGGTTTGTGGTGGTATCTCATTGTGGCTTTAATTTGCAACTCACCAATGACTAATGATAATGACAAATGACTGCATTTATTCATCTGCTCCTTTGCCTTCCAGATACCCTTTTTGGTTAGATGTCTTGTTTAGATCTTTTGTCCATGTTTTGGTTGGTTTCTCACAGTTGAGCGTGGAGAGTTCTTTCAGAACTCTCTGTTCTGTCTCAGAACTCATCTGTTCCAGATGCCAGCCCTTTGTCAGACTGAGTGCTTTGAGCACCTCTCGAAGCACGCAGCCTGTCTTCTTGTTCTCTTGACTGTGACTTTCATAGAGCAGCCTGTGTCACTCTGATGAGGCCCACTTCTGTTTTTCTTTGCTGGAGTGTACTCTCCATGCCTTATCTAGGCATTGTTCATGTAACTGCAGGTCACACAGATTTTTCTCCAGTGTTTTCTTCTAAGAATGTTATGGTTTTATGTTTTTCATTCAGGTCATGATTCATTCTGACCTAATCTTGTACAAGGTGTGAGGTTGAAGTTGAAGTTCAGTTTCTAGAAGAGTGTCTAATTGTTCCAATACCATTTGTTGAAAAGATCATCCTTTCCCCACTGAATTGCTTCCATGCCTTTAAAAACACCTTGGCTATACTTGTACGGGTCTACTTCTGAATCCTCTCTTCTGTTCCATGGATGTATGTGTTAGTCCCTTTGCCAATACCACAGGATCTTGATCACTGTTGCTTTATAGTAAGTCTTAACACTAAGTAGTATGATGCCTCAAAATGTATTCTTTTTCAAAATTGTGTTGGTTATCCTAATTCCTTTGCCTTTCCATATAAATTTTAGAACCAGCGTATTCAAAGCTACAGAAAACTCTGCTGAGACTTTGATTGGAATTCTGTTAAGTCTATCTATCAGTTTGGGGAGACCTGACATATTTACTATGTTGAGTCTTCCAATCCATGAACATGGATGTCCTTTCATTTATTCAGATCAGCATACAAGTCCCATACATGTTTTATTAGATTTATACCAAAGTCTTTCAGTTTGGGGGAAGCTATTGTAAATGTAAAATGTTTTTAATATTTTGGATCAGATTACAATGCCCAATGTAGGGAATTCAAGAGTTCATAGATGACTGTAGGGTTGCAGCCTGAGATCCCCCCTCTCTGCAACCTCCCCATAGTTTCCAGTGCTCTAGAGCTGCCCTTTTTGTCCTTTGGCAAGAGAGCTAGGGCTTTTATTGCCCCACACTACTACTTTCTTCCTGTGAGTGCACTCATGTCTTAGCCAAGTGGTGGGTGGATAGAGAAAAAGAAAATGATGGAAGTTGCCCAGTCTTGCGGAGCTGTAGGACTTCCAGTTGGAGAGAAAGTTTCCTCCTGTCAGTTTGGGCCCCCGAGGGAATCCCCCCCCTTTGCTGCTATTGTTGGTCCTGCTTCTCATGCCCAATGAGTGGCTGCTCTTGGAGCTCTTTCCATCCATCTGATGCTCACTTTTCTGGTCTGGGAGCTGCTTTGAGTCCAGGCGGGGGTGGACACCAGAGGGAAAAAATCGTGAACTCACCACTGGTTCTGTGGTGCTTCGAAGCTTGGTCCTCTTCCCCAATCCACCTGCTACTATTTATTTTTCAGAGTCCTCAGATAGCTACTCCATGCATTCTGTCCAGGGTTTCTGGCTGCATTCAGTGGGAGACACAAGGTAGAATGTGCTTACTCCATCTTATCCCAAACCAGAAACCCATTCCAATTTTCAAATTATTTTCAAATTATCTGTGTCTTTTTATATTTATAGCCGGTTTCTTGTAGATAGTATATAGTTGCATTTTGCTTTTCAGTTCAATTTTACAATGTCTGCCTTTTCATTGGTGTGTTTAACCAATTAACGTAACTATCAATATGATTAAACCTACCATCTTGCTCTTGGCTCTCATTTGTCCCAATTATTCTTTATTCCTTTTGAGTCTTGAAGTTGAAGTTCAGTTTTTAATGGAATTAAATGGAATTGGATTAAATGGAATTGGATTAAATGGAATGGAATTTAATGGAATTAAATGGAATAATAATAATATTATTATTGGATAAAGTGTTTTTAGGATTCCATTTTATTTCCAATACTGGTTTGTTGGCTGTAACTATTATTATTATTTTTTCTTTTTCCTCTGAGTTTATAATGTATATCTTTAACTTATTGTAGTCTACCTTCAAACAGTATTACACCACTTCATATATAATGCAAGGCTATTACTAAATTATTTCCATCTTTCCCTTTCTATCCTTTATGCCAGACATTGATAAACTATGGCTTGCAGACCAAATCTGGCCTGCCATCCATTAAAAAAAAAAAAAAAAGCTTCATTGGGAAACAGCCATGTCCATTCATTTATGTATGTCTATGGCTGGCTGCTTTTCCATTGCACTGGTAGAGTTGAGTATCTGTGACCACATGGCACATAAAGCCAAAAATACTAATATCTGGTTCTTCACAGAAAAAGCTCATGTACTCTGCTTATTTAAGCTATTGAGGTCATACATTTTATTTCTATAAATGTTATAAACCCATAACATATTGTTATTTTTTGTGTTAAAATTGTCTTTAAAGAGATTAAAAAGTAAGAAGAAAAGTATTTTACAGGCATACCTTGGAGATGTGGTGAGTTCAGTTCCAGACCACTATAATAAAGCGGATATGGCAATAAAGCAAGTCAAATAAATTTTCTGGTTTTCCAGTGCCTATAAAAGTTATGTTAACACTACACTGCAGTCTATTAAGTGTGTAATAGCATCATGTCTAAGAAAATGTACACACCTTAATTAAAAAATACTTTGTTAAAAAATGATAACCAACACCTGAGTCTTAGTGAGTCATAATCACTGACCACAGATCACCATAACAAATATCACCATAATTTAAAATTTTGAAATATTGCAGATAAGACACAGAGACACAGTGAATGAATGCTATTGGAAGAATGAACCTGTTGGGCTCGCTTGGTGCAGGGTTGCCACAAAGCTTTAATTTGTACAGAACACAGTGTCAGTGAAGGGCAATAAAATGAGGTGCGCCTGTGCGTTTACCCAGGCATTTACTGTTTCTAGAGCTCTTCATTTATTTGTGTAGATCTGGATTTTCTTGTGCCATTTTTCTTCAGTCTAAGTAATTTCCTTTAATGTTTCTTATAAATAAGATATGCTGGTGATGAATAATTATCTGTTTCTGCTATCTGAAAAATATCTTAATTTCACCTTAATTTTTGAAAGATGATTTTTCCTGTGTATAGACTACTAGGTTGACAGCACACTGTCTCTGGGCTTGTGTTGTTTCTGATGAGAAATCTGTTAGATTCTTACTTCTCTGTATGTACTGTGTCTTGTCTTTTTCCTCTGGCTGCTTTTCAGGTGTTCTCTTTGTTCTTGGTTTTCAGCAATTTGACTATGAGGTGCTTCATGTGATTTTCTTCATGCTTTTCTTGGATGTGTGGGTTTTAATTTTCATCAAATTTAGAACAAATTTGGCTCTTACTTCTTCATTCATTTTCTGTGCTCCTCTGGTCTCCTCCCTCCTTCTGGGACTCTACCCATACATACACCAGACTGCCAAGCAACCCCACAGGTTGCTGAGAATATGGTCCTGGGTATAGTCTCTCCTTCCTGTGCTGCTTGTTGGGCTGTTTCTTTCTTCACATTCACTGATCTTCCCTTCTGCAATATCTAACCTGTTGTTAATATAGCCAGTATATTTTTTAAGTTGATATTTTATGTTTGTTTGTTTGTTTGATCTCCTAGAAGCTTGTTTTCTTCTATCTTCTACTTCTCACTGTGTCTTTTTTCCTCAATGGTCTTGAGCACATGGAGCATGTTCACAGTGGACGATTAAACACGCATATCTGGGCAGATAATTTCATCATCATCTCTGCCATCTGTTTCTATTGATCTGCTTTTCTCCTGGCTGTGGTTCATATATTCTTGATTCTTAGTATGCTTGATAATTTTTGGTTGGGTATTTGGAGGTCCTGGATTCTGTTATATTCCTTTAAAGAGTATAGGATTTGATTCTGGCATATGGTTCAATTACTTGGGATTGTTTTGAACCTTTCAAATTTTCCTTTAATATTTGCTAGGACAGGTCAGATTAGTCTTTATTCTAGTGTTTATTTTTCCATACCAGCAAGATAATACCCCAGTAAAGACTCTCTCCACCTTGGCCATGGGTGTGAGGAGCTCTGTATGCACTCTGGCTGTAGAGAAGTGAGTCATACCCCCCCACCCCCATGCTGAGTGAAGAGGCAAGGGGTCCCTCTGCAAATTCTTCTTGTACTCTCCCCAGTCCCTCTGAGTAACTCCATCCTTTCTGGAATTCTCCCCACCAATTGCAGCTACCAAACTAGAATCTCTGTCTCCATGACCCAGAGACTCAGAGAAACTGCTAGAGCCTGGATCTGCTTGCTGCACAGTGGCCTGGAAATTCCCACGGGCAGAATATAGGGTGCCCTTCCTTTCAGTCCCTCCTCACAGGGGTAGCAACCCTGTGATGCCTGTGGTCCTATGGCAGAAAACAGTCATTTCATATATATTTTAACTGCTTTTCTAGTTTTGATGGTGAGGGAAATTCTCAGAGCAGTCAATCTTTCTTGGCCAGAAGCAGAAGAATGGGTACTCTTTTTTTTTTTTTTTTCAATTATCTCTAATTTTTGTCCACCTTCCTGTTGAATCTGGGTAGAATGACCAGACTGCCACCTTGTAATGGGACTAATAAGCTTTTACTAAGGGTGAAAGTGTCAGTTCTGTTGTTTCGTATTGGTTGCTTTTCTTTGTATCATTGTTTCTCTGCAACAGGTGGTTTTTTTGCAAATCTTTTGAAATCACTGATCTGTTTTCTAACACGATCTTAGTTAAATACACAGATATTAGATATTTAGATAACAATCTGGGCAAGGTGAACTGTGACCCATCACAGTGATTTTAAGCAACCAAACAGGTAAAGTTGCTGCGCTCCCCTCCTCCCCCTCTGCATGGCAGAGCCTCACCCTCTCCTCAGGACACGGGCTGTCCTGTGTGTGGCCCTCTGACCAAAGGCTGATGGAGGGCATAGCATCCATCTATATCTTACTTATGGGTAAAATTTAATTTCCTTCTTAAGTTTTTAGGCTCAAACTAAATCTGACAAGCTTCTCATGAGCTTCTCCCAGGGGGAGCAGCTGCCCATGCTGTGACCTTTGCTTTGCTGGCACAGTGGCCGAGTAAGGCCTTTGGTGGTCAGGGCGATGTCAGATGCTAACCTGAATTTATTCTGTGGGTTGTAAAATCGAGTTGGCCTCTTAACTGATCTACCAAGTCATAACCAGCATTTAAAACAACATGAAGTAGCAACTAGCAGATTTCATCACATGTAATAAAGGCCAGTTTTCTTGCCAACTACTATGGCTTATTCCCTTGCATGGTGAGGGGTCTGGAGTAGGAAAAAAGGATGTTAATAAGCTAAGACTCTCCTGAGCAGGAAGAAAGGCCATGAGAGGGTGGCCATCTTGCCCTGCATCTCATAGATGGCTACCAGGACTGGAGGGGACTAGAGGGGACAGGAGGCACACCCAGCCCTGCACCACCCATGGTGGCAGAGTTGGGATCAGCATGGAAGCTCAGGGGACAGACTGGTACAGGCAGGGCTGGGGAAAGTACCCCCCAGGACAGAGGTGAGGCTGAGCTGGACAGTGAGGGAAAGGGGCCAGGTGGCTGCAAGGGACTACTGTTCTGGGGGCTGCAGGCACGGGCTGTTACCTGTCTCACAGCGAGGTCCCTCGAAGGGCTCTGTGCACAGGCAGGTGAAGTTCCCCACGAGGTTGACACACGAGCCCCCGTTGAGGCACGGGCTGGAGGCACACTCATCCACATCTGGGGGCAGCGGAGGCGGGATCTTGGCTCAAGCCAGCCTTTGACTCCTGGGCATTAGCCTCTCCCGCCCCCCCAGGGCTGGCCCCTCACCCGTCTCACAGGTCACACCCGTGTAGCCAGGCAGGCATAGGCACACCGCTGAGCCCTCCTCCGCCTGGCACCGGCCACCGTTCTTACATTCTCTGGTGTCACATGGAGACAGTGCTGCAAGGACAGAGCGGTGGAAGGCATCGGACCTCCGGCTGGGCCCCTGAGGATTCCTGCTGAACCCCATTCTGGAGGGCATCAGGCTGTTGGGGGGGCCTGGCTGGATAGTCCCCACTCAGCAGCCCAGCAACTGGCCACACGGGGTCTGTTTCAGCCCATCCCCCGTGGTAGGAGGCTGTGTGCATGCTGGTTGGGGACACAGGGCTGAGTGTTCTCAGCTGCCAGCACAGAGCGGGGTTCCTCTGGGTGGGGCAGAGTGACACAGCCTGTGACAGGGTCTTGAAGGTGGTGCACGTGCAGATGTGCAGGAGGGGCCTAAATGGCTCTGAGGTGATGGGTTATGGGCAGGCAGGTGATGTGTTGCATGGTCTGGTACAAAGGCACTCAGCCCCCATCAGGTGGGAACCCACCGAGGTGGAGCTCGCCTCTGGCCACCTTCACCCAGCATGCCGGCCCCTCAGGCTCCCTGGTGGCTCCTGGCAGCTGAGCCGGGGGGGAGGGGAGTGGGAGGGACACTGCCTTCCCTCAGCTATGTCACATGTCCTGATGACAGTGCATGCCCCAAACAACTCAGTATAGGAGCCAAGGCAATCGTTAGAGCATGAGGCCCTCCTAGACTTGTGGGGGCCAGTGGGAGGGAGGATAGGGGACGTGTGGAGGTGCTTTGGTGGCCACAGCGCTAGGTGACTCCTGTCTCCTGGGTCCTGACCCCACCAAAGAGCAGTGCTGGACGCCTGTGGGGAGGAGGGGCTCCAGGTGAACAGCACACATGTCCCTGCTATTGTGTGCTCTGGGGGCGCAGGTGGGTCCTGAGACCAGTGAGCCTCCATGGGGACCTGGGACCTGTTGCTGTCATCACAGTGGCCGCGAGGAGGCCAAGGCACAGGGCTACTGGCTATAGCCCCGGGCCCTCCTAGGGGCCTTGCTGGGCCCAGACATGTATATATACACTGGGGTCCCAGACTTTAAAACATTTCTTGTGGCTCTAAGTCACTCTTAGAAACAGTTCTTCTAGATTGAGACATTCTTGTACAATTGTTATTTGTACACACTTGATTTAACCATGTGTTATACGTGTTCCTAAATAATGGTTACACATCAGTAAGTATATTTAGGGGAATGGCTGTGGGTCCAGCTCAGTGGGGATTAGAGGACATGGTGCTTTGATTTTAAGGGACTCTCTTTTTTGGGCTCCCCTAGCAGCTTCCCACAGTGAGACTAGGGGCAGCAGTGGGGGTTCCATCTTCCTTTACCAGGTGGGCAAAGAGCCAGGATGTGGGGGCCCCAGAGAGGGCTGGGTGAAGGGCAGGAAGTGGAGGCTGGATCTGCCGGCATTGCTTCAAAAGAGCCCCACTCAGAAGGGGGTGGCAGAGTGGGGTGCAGCTGCAGTCTGGAAGCAAGGGAGGTCTCAAGAAGGACCCCAACCCATGTCAAGGCTGTGAGACCCCAGGGGCTGGAGAGAAACAGCCAGCAAGCCAGTCCAGAGCTGAGGGGCAGTGATGACTCCAATTGTACCTGGGTGGCTGTTGGGCAGGCCCCGTGGCCAAGCTGGAACTGGACACTGGCCTGTTCCAAGGTGCCATCCCTGGTCTGAACACCAGGGCCCAGGAGGCATGAGTGCCATGGTCAGTGTTCCTGCCGTACCCATGAGATGGGGCTTTCCTCTAGAGTCTGGGCTCTGTCCCCAGTGGGCCCACTGCCATGCCCTCTGTTGATGCTGACTCAGGGCTCCCATGAGGCTGACCAACCCCCACCCCAGGTCAGGCAGGACCATTCTGGTCATTCTTCCACCAGTGGGGCCAGAGGACCTGGGCATGCTCCTCTTACGTGTCTCACAGGTGGGTCCCCCGAAGCTGGCCGGGCACTGGCAGCTGAAGCTGTTCACACCATGTGTGCAGGTCCCGCCATTTTGACACGGATGGGAAGCACATTCGTTCACATCTGAAAAACGGGGCAGCTGGGGCCTCAGTGGAGGAAGCCAGGTTGGGGAGGATCTGCCCAGACCCATTCTGGGCCTCACTTCCGGGGGGGGGGGTTGGCTTCAAAGGGGCAGATGCACCCCCAGCCCACATGCTCACCATCAGGGAGCCACAGCGTTTATGTACTCCCACCACCCCCTCGCTACCCCATCCTCCCACCCCACAGCACCCACACCATGGAGACAGAGACCCTGGACCTTTGGCCCTGAGGCCACTGGTGTGCTGGCAGTTTAAACTCACCCAGGTGACACCGCCTCCCCGTGAAGCCTGAGAGGCAAGAGCAGGTATAGGAGGGGTTGCCCGTGACACAGTCGTCGATGCACTTGCCACCGTTAAGGCACGGGCGCAGGGCCAGGCACACGGAGGCTGTGGAAACAGGAAGGAACAAGCCGTCCCTTCCCTCCCCGGACCCAAAGGGCCCATCTCGGAGGAATGGCTGTGTGGTCTGCTGGCAGCCCAGCATCCGCAGTTAACTTCCCAGTTCTTCCCAGGATGCCCAGTGCGCCTGCTGTCTACTGCCTGCCCACATGTCCCGCTGACACCTGGAAGCCCAAGCTGGGACGTTGGCTTCCCCTGCACCCATCATGGCCACAGCACCATCTTCTTCTTCTTTTTTCTTTTCTTTCTTTTTTTTTAAAGTTTTTATTTGTTTATTTGTCAGAGAGAGCGAGAGCAGCACAAGCAGGAGGAGCTGCAGACAGAGGGAGAAACAGGCTCCCCATGGGGCAGGGAGCCTGATGTGGATCTCAGTCCCTGGACCCTGAGATCATGACCTGAGCTGAAGGCAGACGCTGGACCAACTGAGCCCCCCAGTCTCCCCTCCATAGCACCTTCTTATGACTTTAATCCATCAACTTCTAGATTTTTCTGAGGAACTAAGAAGACAAAGACCCAAGGGTGCCCAGCAACACAGGAAGATGGGAGTGTGCCTCATGGGAAGAACATCCATAGACGTGGAAGAGGAGGGACCCCCGTGGGAGCCAGAGGTGGGTCAGGGGCCCTCAGACCCTCCAAGGGGGGGATGCAATCTGATCTCAGCACTGCCGCCAACTGTTGCCTAAACGTAGGCCCAGCTGCCCCTCCAGATCTTCCCATGGAAACAAGAGGGCCGCCCTCAGAGCTCTGGAAGGCAGGGTTTCTCGTTTCACAGCCTCCTGGTCAGGGAGGGCCTCCAGCAGTTCCTGGGGCCCACCTAACCCCGTGCCTGGGCCCTTCAGGACCAGCCACCCTCAGAGCCCAGCTCAGGGGGCCCTCCCCCTCTGGAGAAGTAAGGCTATTGACATTGGCAGGGAGGGAGCACAAATTGGCAGGTAACTAGAGCACCCCAAGGTCTCGGATCTCCTGTTGCTAGGGGGCGCCCGGGAGATCTGGCCTAATCAAGGGGAGCAATAGGGGACACTCCTGAAAGTAGCCTGGGGCCCAGAGCACCATCAGGGCAAAGGGCGTCTTTTGGATTGTTTCTGCTCCTCGTGCATGCACTTCTACTCACGTAGCCACACTGTCACTTAACCAGTTGTGGTTTGGCGACCCTGTAGAGTGTGCTCTCTGCATGGTCCCAGTTTTGGGACCTGCCTTTCTCAAGAGCTAGACTTCCAGATGTGGATGCACTCAGGGCCTCTCAGGTGGGACTCGGCCCTCCCTTGCCAGCAAAGCCAGCGTGTGGGCTCTATCTCCTGGGCTTGCAGTGTGGCCGTGGGGAAGCAAGGGGGCTCCAGCGGGCTTCTGTGTGCACTAGTTGGGAAGGCCCAGCAATGCCTCCTCATCTACTCCCCCTAGAAGTCTTAGATAGCAGAGGAAGCACATCCACGTGGGAAAGGGATCCCGGGGGGACTGGCCAGACCCTCCTCTGAAGATCCCGTTTCTCAGGGTCTCACAGCCTACAACCTTTCTAGAAAGGGGGCATGGGCCTGCCCACACCTAGACCCACACCTGTACCTACACGTGCACCCACATGTATAGCCACAGCTGTTCACACCAGTCCCCACGTGTACCCACACCTGTCACCCACCGCTCAGGCTTGCGTCCACACTACACTGATGCCAGCTCACGGCAGCCCACATCCGCACCCATGCCTTGATCCTCAGCAACCCAAGCCCCTGGCTCTTGGGCTCCTTGGTTGGGAGTTCCCCCATCCCCTAAGCTCAGACTCGGGCTGAGGCGTACTTGGTGCTCCAGTGAGTGGGTGGGCTCAGGTTCCCCAGGCATCTCTTGCTGGAGCATCTTTCCTGGTCCTTGGTGAGCTTTTCTGCCCACCAGCGTGTGCCTGCCCCCCAGGCCCTGGGCCCTCAGAAGTGTGCGTCTGCCCCCCTGGCCAGTCCCGATCGGCTGCACCTGCCCTGGGTTAGCTCTCAGAGACTGGTGTTCTGAGAAGCCCTCCGCCTCCTTGTGGGTGGGAGGTGAGTCTGCTAGGATACCAGCCTCACTGTGGCCTTTGTGGGGCCTGTGGTTAGCTCTCCACGGAGTGGCTAAATCAGTCCCCTCATCTCTGTTTATAAGCATCATGTTTCAGGAGCTTCTGTGCCTCCTCCAGGGCGCCCCCAGGGGAAGGGGCCAGGATGCATCTTTCTGCCCTGCGGGGGGACCCTCCCCCTATCTACTGCACCTTCTGAGCTTTCAACTCCCTCCACTCAGTAGATGGCTGGGGTGTGTAACAAGTGTCAAATCCCAGGAAACAGCAAGCCCACGGCAAATGTGGGGAAATGGGTGAAAAGAGTATCTGACTTCTAGGTGGTCCTGGGGACACAGGAGACCTGGGTGGTGCTCCTCCCCCACCAAGGACACAGGCTGCGAGAGAATGAGGGGAAAGCGTTGACTCCTGGCCCCAAGAAGGGGCGGCCCCGACTCCTCCACTTTGCACCACAAACCTTGGTCTCCAGCAGATTCCCTGGCCCTGGAGCCGGAGCCGAGGTAGGGAAGCCTCCCCAGGAGGAGACAGGGCTCAAGGGGCAAGCTGCTACCTGCCCATGTTCATGGCTGGGGGAGAGGGGTGTGGGAGGCCAAGCCCTCCTGGCCAGCAGCCTGCCCCATCCCCAGCCTCCCTCTCCCTCCTCCCTCCTAGAGTCCCACCCTCTCCTGTCATCCCCGCACTCCCTGAGCCCCCCCCAACCCACAGCCCTGAGCCGCTGGCTCCATCCTCTTACTTGTATGGCTGCAGCCCCCCACGCGCACCTGGGCATCATCGATTCTGAACGCCCAGCGCCCGGGCACGCCCACGTTGGTGGTGGTCTCCACCTCCGCCATGTCCGCTGTGCGGGAGCCGGGGATGCTGAAGTAGCGCTGCCCATCACCTGCATTGAAGCCGGCCTGGGGGTGGGGTGGGGGATGGAGAGTTGGGGGGGCAGGCATGGGTTGGTCTGCAGGTCTCCCTAAAATTCCTGAGACCTACCTCCCTGCGGTGGCCATAGTCAAAGAGATCACGTGGAAGATGGCCTTGTAGTCCTGGAGTTTTTGGGTTTGGGGGTACCCTACCACCCTCCATGTTGTTACTGTTCTGAGCAGCAGCCTCCCAGCTGGGCCAGAGATCCTGGCCACCAACACAGTTGGGCCCTAGCATGCTGCCCTCACACACCTGCAGGGACTCCCTCCCTGGCCTCTTGGCTCCCGTGGAGACCAGGGGCAGGTGTGACTTCAGAAGAAAGTAGATGGCTAGGAAGGAGATGAGGGTATTCCCATCCTGAGGGAGCACTCGATGGCCTTGGGGACTTGCACTTGACCACTCCCTTGACACCTGTGATTTCCTGCTGGCCACAGTTCTATGGGCCACAGGGCAGGGCAGACCCCAGGACAGGTAGCGTGCACAGAACCAGGGTCCCATGTGCCTTGGCTGCTGCTGGCCCTGGGAGGCCAGGGCAACACGGGGCAGGACAGAAGTGCCTTTGACCTGAGGATGTTTCTGAATCTGGCCTGGGGTTAGCATCAGAAGGCCTCACATTGGCGTCTGCACAGTACTGGGTGTGTGTAGGGGGGTCTGTCTGGACAGACAGGACAGTCGTGGCAGTGGGGAGCCGGGCCCCTACCTGGGCTGCGATGCCCCCCAGGCCCGTGGTGTCGCCCCCGCTGCTGGCGTGTGTGCCCGTGGTCCACGTGATGGACTCATAGTTGAAGATGGTGAAGGAGAACTTGCCGTCAGTGATAAGCACAGTCTGGAACGTGTTGACCTGCCAAGGAGGGAGGCCTGAACCAGGTTCTGGGCTCCCCCATCCACGCTGCAAGGCCCTGCCCCCTTCAGCATGCCTTCACACAATGTCCTCATCCACTGACCCTTCCTCTGTCTTCCTAACTAGCTGGTCAGCCATCTGCCGTCGAGCTGATGGCCTCGTCCTCATCCTCCACTGTGTCCCTAGATCCTGAGGCCCTGGCATAGGCCAGGACCCCTAAGAATGGTTAGCTGGTGAGTGAGACACACTGAGGTGTCACCAGGGCCCACAGACGCCAGGTGCAGACACTGCTCCCTGAGGTGGCTGGGGCAAGAGTTAGTATTAACCGGGTAAAATCCCCAAAATTGCTTCTTGTGAAACAAAAAATGTAAAGAGGGAAAGATAAAAAGAGGAAACAAGGAAAAGCAGGGTTTTTTTTTTTGTTTTGTTTTTCATGGATTTCTCTTCCACGAAGATATTGAGTGGTATATACATGAGATGTTATTTCAGACTGGGGAAGGGGTGGGATTAAGAAGTGATCTTGGAAAAAAAAAAAAAAAAGAAGTGGTCTTGGGACAAATAGGAAACTGTCTTAAAAAGAAGAAATTTAGAACTTTATATCATTCATGAAATAAATACCACATCAAGTAAGGCTGTGAACAGAACCATCAATACCCTAGAGGAAAATATAGGCGAGTGCTTGGAGCCACGTTGAGGAAAGACTTTAAGTGTAACATTTGTTAACTGCAAAAACCAAAAAGGAGATTTATATATTTGACTACAAAAACCTCTGCATATAAAAAAGTGCCATAAGATCAAACAGAGTGGCAACACAGCAAAGTGAAAAATGTGTAACAGAGGGGGCAGGTGAAATTATTGATATCCTAAATTGAAGCAGAACTTCCATGGGCCAGGAAGAAAAAGACAACAGAAAATTGGCAAAGTTTATGTGAACAGAGGCATTACCACGGAAGACACCTCGTTGATAATGCAGGACAAATTCAGCAGCACTAGAAGCTGAGAGGTGAAGCGTAATAGAGAAAGAGCTTCCGTGTCTGCTGGAGCGGCTGGCAAGGGCGCAGCATGCTGGGCCCCCTGGCTGGGCATGGGGAGACCCGAGCTTACACATCTGGCTTGTTCGCGCCTGGGAGGGGGGCACAGGCTTGAGGGGCAATCAGGCCTCTGTGGGCAGCAACCTTCCCGCTGGAGACTCGTGCCAGACAACGGCCCCCAATCTAGCAGGGCCTGGCAGTGCCCACCGCGGGACACCTTGCCATCGGTGCCACCCAGCACTGGGATGGTCTGCAGGTGTGCACAGTGGGACAGCACTGGTCTGTCCTTTCCCTTACATAACCATGAACAGCAGGAAGACTGAGTGCTCCCCTTCGGGATCACAGACCTGCTGCTAGCACTCTGAAGACAACCAGGATCAGTGGCCGTGAAAGCAGAGTGGTGGTGAGCTGAGGAAGGGCAAGCCAGCGGCCGGTGTGGCTAGAGGTAGGGTCCAGTGTGTGAGGAGACCCAGACCCCGCATGGAGTTTCACGCTCCCTCCCTGCCGAGCAGCTGGCTCTGGGAGGCTCCCAGGTTACAGACCAGCACCCAAACCCAGAGCTCTGACCCCTTCCAGGGATGCATGTGTTGCCTGATAATCTATAACCCCCATATCCGGGCCTGCCAGCCTGCAAACTGGAGAAGTTAGGGTTTCCTCTGTTGGCGTAGGAGGGGCTCTGCTCCTTCTCCTCCCAGGGGGCTGCAGAAGTGCCACGGATTTCCATGTGGGAGAAGGAGGAAAATGCCCTACTACTGCTGAGTAAAAAAACAAAACACAAAACAGCGCGTTCTAGCCGGCTCTATTTGTTCAAGTGTGTCAGGATGCAATAGGTGTTTGATGGGATTGATCTCTTGCTAGCAGACTTACTGATTCTTTTTTCTCTTTGTTACAAAGATGTTTTTCTTACAAATTGATAAGAAAAACAAGTGAAGCTGACAAAATATTAGTGGACTGTGCATGAATAAATTTCATGAAAAGTGTAAATATTTATTTGTAGTAATGTTTATAGAAAAAGCCCGTCTTCCCCTATTCACTGTCATACTGCTTTTAAGATATTCAACAGTGAACATCTCGGGCCCTCAGTGTCCCTGGTTGATGTGCTTGCTGGCATTCTCTTTGTCATCTTGGCCGCTGGAGAGCTCAGTGTTTGTGCGGGACTCGCGTGTCCCTGCCTGCAGGCCCTGTCTCCCACTCACACTGTTTACCTGAGTCACCATTGCTAGGGACCCCGGCTGCACCTCCAGGTTCCCACCGGGCATCCCTACACCCTGAGTGAAAGCCTCACCTGCCCCCACCCTCTGCCCAGGCATGTGTATGATGGGAAGCTCGGCCCTGGTGTTGACTGCTCTGCCTCTCCCCTGCAGCCCAGGGTCCTGACACAGCTGTCCCTTGGGCTGCTCTGAACCATCCCATTCTCCCCGCTCTGGAGCCCCATATGGCTTGCAGAGCAGTCTCCGTGAGAGTTCCTGCCCCAGGTTGTGCTGTGCTGAGCACTTCTCAGCGCTTGGCATCGAGAGTGTGCCCCACAGGAAAGACGTGCCCCTGCTGCCTTTGTTGTTTGGCGTTATCCCAGAATAAAGGATAAAACAGAATAAACTTCCCACTTAGCCTATTGAGCATTGAACCATTCCAGATGGAAATCCTTCTGACACATGCAATCTGCATCTCTCTGGTGTGTGAACTACTGTGTCAGGGCATTTGGCATTTTCCTATGGAGGCAAGTGTTTTCTGGGAAGGCTGGGAAGGTCAAGGCTCTGTCCTCATCCAGCCTTGCTCTGTGACCCTGGGAGAGTGACTTCCATCCCTGAGCTGGGTGTTCCTGTCTCAGGCATGGACCAGTGATTATGTCTGGCCCACCTCAGCGAGGTGTAGCCCCTAGGGGGAGACCCTAGACCCCAGACGGACGTCCTCCCTACCCCAGGACAGAAAACTCACAGGGGAAGAGGAGCTGCCTCCGAAGAAGGTCACACGGTACCAGGTGGCTATGAAAACCCAGGTGGCGGAGAAGTCCAGGAGCTCAGGGAAGTATCGCCTGACATCCTCTGTGGCTCTGCGCAGCGTGGCTGGGTCAGTGGCCTCCCGGTAGTACACATCACCTGCACGTCGATTGTCCACATCTGCCCAGAAGGCTGCCACTACGCAGCGGTCCTTGGCGATGGGAAAGGCCACTGGGGTGAACTGAGAGACCTCCTTCAGGAAGGAGATGATCCCATTATTGTTCACCTGTCAGAAAGTCAGAGAGGGGACCAATGGGCACCTAGGGGTGGCAGGTGGGCCTGACGGCCTCCCCTGCCTCACCCACCAGGCACCCTCCAAGGGTGACCTGGCCTTGGGCAAGGCATCCCCAGGATGGCTTGATAGTTCCTGGTCCCTGATATGGGACCCCTTGGCCTGCTTCAGCCCCTTGCAGACAGGCTATGTGCTTGGGGACAGGCTCTGGTCTGTTTGCTGGACCTGATGCCCAGCAGAGTGCCCAGACCTGGGTTGCTGCTGTGGGGTTGGGGAGCTCCCACTGTGGGCCTTGACTTTGGACAAATGAGGTGCTCAGGGCCTGGGTTCCACTTGAATCAGGGACTTTGAGAGGGCACAGTAGAGTTTCAGCCTCCGAGTCAGGTCTGGACAGGTGCATAGGAATCATGTAAGGTAGGGGGAGGAAATAGCACCCACAGAGCAGAGCTGGGGATGGGCAGGAGTCAGTGTGGCCAGGGGAGGCTGGAAGGGCCTTGATTGCTGGGTTGGGGGTGGGGTGGTCTGTTCTCAGGACTCCAGATGGTGGGGAGCCCCAGAATGCTCCTAAGAAGAAGAAGGGGAGCAGCATCTCTGCAGTAATACACAATGGGTCACCATGCTGATCCTGCCACTCAGTTAGCTGTGCAACCTTGAGGCAAGTTAGCCTGGCCTCTCTGTGCTCCACATGTTTACCTGTGAGATGGGGATAACACTAGTACTTGCCTCCAGGATGCAGGGCAGCCTTGAATGAATTAATGATCACAAAGCTGGGCTCTAGACTATCATGATTTGCTCCTGGCAAGACTGTGGTCAAAGCTGTGCTTTTAGAAGAGACCTTCTGGACTTCTCCTTTAGGTGAGATCCTGCTCTATAATCCAGACCAAAACAAAAGACTGATAAGCATACCTCTCTTCTGAAAGGCACAAAAGAGCAAACAAGCAAGTGAGGGAGTTTCAGTGTTTGTGCTCCAAATTGAGGACAGGGAAGGACTGGGGCGAGCCTGGCACTCAAAACTCCTTTTGTCCTGAGGGCATCTGCAGACTCACAAGCAACAGCTGCAAAGAAGACCTGCAGTTTCAGCAGCCTCATGGAGGGAAAGGGAGAGAAACTTCAAAGCTCAGAACTCACTTAGGGTTGGGGATAAACCCCCACATTAGGCAGGGTGAGCTTGAAGTACACAGCCCCTGTGCAGTCTCATACTCTGCTGTCCCCTCACCTAAGCAATCCAGGGCCCCTCAAACCTGGACTTGGTTTATGGTGACTCCCAAAGGGTAGCATTCCAAGGTTCCAGGCAGAAGCAAATAAAACCCTCTCTGGCAGAAGATAGCAGCATCTTAGACCTCAAGCTATTCATATAAGTAATTTTTCAAATACAAAACCCAGGACACAGTCAAAGATAATCCAGCACACAAGGAAGCAAGATGCCACTAACAGGAGTAAGTCGAAATGAGAGAAACATTGGATATCAGAATCATCAAAGGCTATAAAATAGCTAAGTTTACCATGTTCCAAGAAAACACAAACTTTAAATTTTGTCAAGAGAATAGCCAAAACAATCTTGGAAAAGAAGAACAAAGTTGGAGGATTTATACTTTCTGCTTTCAAAACTTACCACAAAACTATAGTAGTCAAAACAGTGTGACACTGGCATAAAGATAGAAAGACAGACAGAATAGAATGGGATGCCCAGAAATAAACCATCACATATACAGTCAAAGGATTTTCATCAAGGCTGTCAAGAGCAATAGAGATAGGACTGGCTTTTCAACACATGGTGCTGGGAAAAATGGATATCCACATGCAAAAGAATGAAGTTGGACTCAACATAGAATAAAAGCTTCATGACATTGGTTTTGGCAATGATTTCTTAGACACGACACCAAAGGCACAGATGACAAAAGAAATAACACAAACTGGAGTTCATCAAAATTAAAAATATTTTTTTAAAAAAAGATTTTATTTATTTATTTGACAGAGAGAGAGATCACAAGCAGGCAGGGAGGCAGGCAGAGAGAGGAGGAAGCAGGCTCTCCGTAGAGAAGAGAGCCCGATGCGGGGCTCGATCCCAGGACGCTGGGATCATGACCTGAGCCAAAGGCAGAGGCTTTAACCCACTGAGCCACCCAGGCTCCCCTAAAAATATTTTTTGCATCAAAAGACACTATTAGCAGAGTAAAAAGGCAACCCACAGAATGGGAGCAGATATTTGCAAATCATATATTTAATAAGGGATTCTTATCCTAAATATATAGAGAACTCCTACAACTAAACAACAACAAAAAGCATCCTGATTAAAAAATGGGCAAAAGACATCAATAAATATTTCTCTGAAGAATACATACAAATGGCCAATAAGCCCAGGAAAAGATGCTCAACATAACTAATCATTAGGGAGAAGCAAACACAAGCCACAATGAGCTACCACCTCACACCCATCAGGATGGCTACTATCAAAAAAATAGGAAAGAACAAGTGTTCTTTTCCAAAGATATAGAAAAACTGGAATGCTTGTGCATGGCTAGTGGAAATGTAAAATGACAGAGTCACTGTGGGGAACAGATGGCTATTTCTTAAAAAATTGCAAATAGAATTACCATACGTTCCAGAAATTCTACTCTTGGGTAAATATCTGTATTAGTCTGCTAGGGCTGCCATAACAGAATATCAGACTGACTGGCTTAAACAACAGAATTTGTTTTCTTGTAGTTCTAGAGCTAGACATGCAAGGTAAAGGGGCCATCAGAGTTGTTTTCTAGTGAGGTCTCTCTTCCTGGCTTTAGATGGCTTCGTCCATGCTGTGTCACCACATGGCCTTTCCTCTGTGTGCACATGAGGAGGGAAAGAGCTCTCTGGTGTTTCTACCTCTATATCAGATTAGGGTCCCACCCATACAACCTCATATAACTTTAATTACCCCTGTAAAGCCTCTATCTCCAAATACAATCATATTGTGGGGTTAGGAATTCAACAGCTGAATTTTGGGTGGCACACCATTCATCCACAACAATACCCAAAATAATTGAAGGTAAGGCCTTCAAAAGATATTTGTACACCCATATTCATAGCAGCATTATGCATGACAGCCCAAAGAAATCCAAGTTCCAACACTGCATGAATGAGGAAACAAATGTGGTCTATCTACACAATGGAGTATGATTCAGCCTTAAAAAGAAGGAAATTCTGACATGTGCTACAAGATGAATGAAACTTGAGGGCATTACGCCCAGTGAAATAAGCCAGTCACAAAGAGACAAATGCTATGATTTCACGTATATGAGGGACCTAGAGTAGTCAAATTAATAGAAAGTAGAATGGGGGTGGCCAGGGGCTGGGGGGAGGGGAAAAGTGGGAGTGTCTGATGGGGACAGAATTCACATTCACAAGACAAAAAGAGTCTGAAGGTGAAAGATGGTGATGACTGCACAACATGAATATCCTTAATACCACTGAACTGTACACTTAAAAGTGGTTAAGGGCACCTGGGTGGCTCAGTGGGTTAAGCCTCTGCCTTCGGCTCAGGTCATGATCTCAGGGTCCTGGGATGGAGTCCTGCATTGGGCTCTCTGCTTGGCAAGGAGCCTGCTTCCTCCTCTCTCTCTACCTGCCTCTCTGCCTACTTGTGATCTCTGTCTGTCAGATAAATAAATAAAATCTTAAAAAAAAAAAAGTGGTTAAGATGGTCAGTTTTATATAATGTGTCTTGCCCATAATACAAAAAATATGATTTGAAAAAGGGCTGGGGGGCCACCTGGCTGGCTGGCAGTAGAGCATGTGACTCTTGATCTCAGGGTCATGAATTTGAACCCCACGTTGGATGTGGAGATTACTTTAAATGAAATAAATATTGTTTTAAAAAGGGGTGGGATAAAAAAATCATCAGGGATAGAAGTTATCTTTTATTATTTTTTTAATTTTTAAAGAAGATTTTATCTATTTGGCAGAGTGAGAGAGGGAACACAAGCAGGGGAAGTGGGAGAGGGAGAAGCAGGCTTCCTGCTGAGCAGGAAGCCCAATGTGAGGCTGATCCCAGGACCCTGGGATCATGACCTGAGCTGAAAGCAGACATTTAATTAATGAATGAGCCACCCAGGTGCCCCAGAATTATCTTTTAAAAAGGCCATTTTAAAGAACTAAATAGAAATTCTAGCACTTAAACTAAGTAAAAAACAAATTAAGAACTAAGTAGATGGATTTAAGAACAGATTTGAAGCAATTGAAGAAAGAATAAATGAACTGGAACTAGAAGATAGGTCAGAAGAAACTATCCAGAATTTAGAACAGAGACAGAAAGACGGAGAGTAGAGAAGAAAAAGTAAGACTTATGTGAAGTAATAACATGATCAGATAAATGTATGGTTTGTAGTACCAAAGGGTAAGGAGCTACAAAGGCAATGACTGAGAATTTCTAGAACCAATGAAAGACATCAGGCCACATATTCAACAGTCCCAGTGATTCCCTAGCTGGAAAAATTAAAAATAAAGCAACAACTAATGACTGCTAGAGATGCAGAAAATGAATGACAAGGAGACAATTGTAAAAGGAGAAAACATATAAATTACCATCAAGGATCTTATAGGTAGAGTGACAGTTGATTTCTCACAAGCAATGATGGGAACTAGAAATCAGTGGGATCATATCTTTAATATGGTGAAAGAAAATAACTGCTAACATAAACTTATACCCAGATAAAATATCCTTTATTACTGAAGGCAAAATAAAGATAATTCAGATAAATAGTAAGTAAGTAAATAGTATCTAAACAGCAGACCCACATGAAAAAAAAAATTCAAGTTAAAGGGAAATGTAAAGTCAGAGAAGCAGGAAGGAAAAAGGGCAAAGAAGATGCTATGGACTGAATGTCTGTGTCTCCCCAAAATTATGTTGAAACCTGACCCCCACTGTGATGACATTGGGGGAGACCTGTGGGAGGAGATTAGGCCATGAGGGTGGAACCCTCATGGAGGAGACTATAAAAGAGAGCCCTTATAAAAGA